CACATCACTCACCTACCACATCACTCACCTACCACATCACTCACTCACCTACCACATCACTCACTCACCTACCACATCACTCACTCACCTACCACATCACTCACCTACCACATCACTCACTCACCTACCACATCACTCACTCACCTACCACATCACTCACTCACCTACCACATCACTCACCTACCACATCACTCACTCACCTACCACATCACTCACCTACCACATCACTCACTCACCTACCACATCACTCACTCACCTACCACATCACTCACTCACCTACCACATCACTCACTCACCTACCACATCACTCACATACCACATCACTCACCTACCACATCACTCACCTACCACATCACTCACTCACCTACCACATCACTCACTCAACTACCACATCACTCACCTACCACATCACTCACTCACCTACCACATCACTCACTCACCTACCACATCACTCACCTACCACATCACTCACTCACCTACCACATCACTCACCTACCACATCACTCACTCACCTACCACATCACTCACCTACCACATCACTCACCTACCACATCACTCACTCACCTACCACATCACTCACTCACCTACCACATCACTCACTCACATACCACATCACTCACATACCACATCACTCACCTACCACATCACCCACTCACCTACCACATCACTCACTCACCTACCACATCACTCACCTACCACATCACTCACTCACCTACCACATCACTCACTCACCTACCACATCACTCACTCACCTACCACATCACTTACCTACCACATCACTCACTCACCTACCACATCACTCACCTACCACATCACATCACTCACCTACCACATCACTCACCTACCACATCACTCACTCACCTACCACATCACTCACCTACCACATCACTCACTCACCTACCACATCACTCACTCACCTACCACATCACTCACTCACCTACCACATCACTCACCTACCACATCACTCACCTACCACATCACTCACTCACCTACCACATCACTCACCTACCACATCACTCACTCACCTACCACATCACTCACCTACCACATCACTCACCTACCACATCACTCACTCACCTACCACATCACTTACTCACCTACCACATCACTCACCTACCACATCACTCACATACCACATCACTCACTCACCTACCACATCACTCACTCACCTACCACATCACTCACCTACCACATCACTCACCTACCACATCACTCACTCACCTACCACATCACTCACTCACCTACCACATCACTCACCTACCACATCACTCACTCACCTACCACATCACTCACCTACCACATCACTCACCTACCACATCACTCACTCACCTACCACATCACTCACCTACCACATCACTCACCTACCACATCACTCACCTACCACATCACTCACATACCACATCACTCACCTACCACATCAGATCTCTCACCTACCACATCACTCACCTACCACATCACTCACCTACCACATCACTCACCTACCACATCACTCACCTACCACATCACTCACTCACCTACCACATCACTCACCTACCACATCACTCACTCACCTACCACATCACTCACTCACCTACCACATCACTCACCTACCACATCACTCACTCACCTACCACATCACTCACTCACCTACCACATCACTCACTCACCTACCACATCACTCACTCACATACCACATCACTCACTCACCTACCACATCACTCACCTACCACATCACTCACTCACCTACCACATCACTCACCTACCACATCACTCACTCACCTACCACATCACTCACTCACCTACCACATCACTCACTCACATACCACATCACTCACTCACATACCACATCACTCACTCACCTACCACATCACTCACTCACATACCACATCACTCACCTACCACATCACTCACTCACCTACCACATCACTCACTCACCTACCACATCACTCACCTACCACATCACTCACTCACCTACCACATCACTCACTCACCTACCACATCACTCACTCACCTACCACATCACTCACTCACCTACCACATCACTCACCTACCACATCACTCACCTACCACATCACTCACTCACCTACCACATCACTCACCTACCACATCACTCACCTACCACATCACTTACTCACCTACCACATCACTCACTCACCTACCACATCACTCACTCACCTACCACATCACTCACCTACCAAATCACTCACTCACCTACCACATCACTCACCTACCACATCACTCACTCACCTACCACATCACTCACTCACCTACCACATCACTCACCTACCACATCACTCACCTACCACATCACTCACTCACCTACCACATCACTCACCTACCACATCACTCACCTACCACATCACTCACCTACCACATCACTCACATACCACATCACTCACCTACCACATCAGATCTCTCACCTACCACATCACTCACCTACCACATCACTCACCTACCACATCACTCACCTACCACATCACTCACCTACCACATCACTCACTCACCTACCACATCACTCACTCACCTACCACATCACTCACTCACCTACCACATCACTCACCTACCACATCACTCACTCACCTACCACATCACTCACTCACCTACCACATCACTCACCTACCACATCACTCACTCACCTACCACATCACTCACTCACCTACCACATCACTCACCTACCACATCACTCACTCACCTACCACATCACTCACTCACCTACCACATCACTCACTCACCTACCACATCACTCACCTACCAAATCACTCACTCACCTACCACATCACTCACCTACCACATCACTCACCTACCACATCACTCACTCACCTACCACATCACTCACTCACCTACCACATCACTCACTCACCTACCACATCACTCACCTACCACATCACTTACCTACCACATCACTCACCTACCACATCACTCACCTACCACATCACTCACCTACCACATCACTCACTCACCTACAACATCACTCACCTACCACATCACTCACTCACCTACCACATCACTCACTCACCTACCACATCACTCACCTACCACATCACTTACCTACCACATCACTCACCTACCACATCACTCACCTACCACATCACTCACTCACCTACCACATCACTCACTCACCTACCACATCACTCACCTACCACATCACTCACCTACCACATCACTCACCTACCACATCACTCACCTACCACATCACTCACTCACCTACCACATCACTCACCTACCACATCACTCACCTACCACATCACTCACTCACCTACCACATCACTCACTCACCTACCACATCACTCACCTACCACATCACTCACCTACCACATCACTCACCTACCACATCACTCACTCACCTACCACATCACCCACTCACCTACCACATCACTCACCTACCACATCACTCACCTACCACATCACTCACCTACCACATCACCCACTCACCTACCACATCACTCACCTACCACATCACTCACCTACCACATTACTCACTCACCTACCACATCACCCACTCACCTACCACATCACTCACCTACCACATCACTCACCTACCACATCACTCACTCACCTACCACATCACTCACTCACCTACCACATCACTCACCTACCACATCACTCACCTACCACATCACTCACTCACCTACCACATCACTCACTCACCTACCACATCACTCACCTACCACATCACTCACTCACCTACCACATCACTCACATACCACATCACTCACCTACCACATCACTCACCTACCACATCACTCACCTACCACATCACTCACCTACCACATCACTCACCTACCACATCACTCACCTACCACATCACTCACCTACCACATCACTCACTCACCTACCACATCACTCACTCACCTACCACATCACTCACCTACCACATCACTCACCTACCACATCACTCACCTACCACATCACTCACTCACCTACCACATCACTCACTCACCTACCACATCACTCACCTACCACATTACTCACCTACCACATCACTCACCTACCACATCACTCACTCACCTACCACATCACTCACTCACCTACCACATCACTCACCTACCACATCACTCACCTACCACATCACTCTATCTTTGTTACTTTGTTAGTCTGTTGAATCTTTTGACTGATCTATCTTTGTTACTTTGTTAGTCTGTTGAATCTTTTGACTGATCTATCTTTGTTACTTTGTTAGTCTGTTGAATCTTTTGACTGATCTATCTTTGTTACCTTGTTAGTCTGTTGAATCTTTTGACTGATCTATCTTTGTTACTTTGTTAGTCTGTTGAATCTTTTGACTGATCTATCTTTGTTACTTTGTTAGTCTGTTGAATCTTTTGACTGATCTATCTTTGTTACTTTGTTAGTCTGTTGAATCTTTTGACTGATCTATCTTTGTTACTTTGTTAGTCTGTTGAATCTTTTGACTGATCTATCTTTGTTACCTTGTTAGTCTGTTGAATCTTTTGACTGATCTATCTTTGTTACTTTGTTAGTTTGTTGAATCTTTTGACTGATCTATCTTTGTTACTTTGTTAGCCTGTTGAATCTTTTGACTGATCTATCTTTGTTACTTTGTTAGTCAGTTGAATCTTTTGACTGATCAATCTTTGTTACTTTGTTAGTCTGTTGAATCTTTTGACTGATCTATCTTTGTTACTTTGTTAGTCTGTTGAATCTTTTGACTGATCTATCTTTGTTACCTTGTTAGTCTGTTGAATCTTTTGACTGATCTATCTTTGTTACTTTGTTAGTTTGTTGAATCTTTTGACTGATCTATCTTTGTTACTTTGTTAGCCTGTTGAATCTTTTGACTGATCTATCTTTGTTACTTTGTTAGTCAGTTGAATCTTTTGACTGATCAATCTTTGTTACTTTGTTAGTCTGTTGAATCTTTTGACTGATCTATCTTTGTTACTTTGTTAGTCTGTTGAATCTTTTGACTGATCTATCTTTGTTACTTTGTTAGTCTGTTGAATCTTTTGACTGATCTATCTTTGTTACTTTGTTGAATGTTTTGCCTGGCTGGTCTGTAGAGAGCTGAGTGAAAGCAGGCCCAGCTGTTTGATCAATCAGTTCCCTTGTGAGAGTGTACTCACAGTCAAGGACATGCTGGCCATTGTGGCACGGCGAGCAGGTCAAGGTCAACCTTCTTGGCTGCCTGTGACCTACAATCTTCAGACAGAATTAAGACAATTTGTCTCCTACTTCCAGTACAGGCAACACAGGTAAGTCTGTCTGATGTCTGTCTGATGTCTGTCTGGTGTCTTGTCTCATGTCTGTCTGGTGTCTGTCTCATGTCTGGTGTCTGTCTCATGTCTGTCTGGTGTCTGTCTCATGTCTGTCTGGTGTCTGTCTGATGTCTGTCTCATGTCTGTCTCATGTCTGTCTGGTGTCTGTCTGATGTCTGTCTCATGTCTGTCTGGTGTCTGTCTGATGTCTGTCTCATGTCTGTCTCATGTCTGTCTGGTGTCTGTCTCATGTCTGTCTGGTGTCTGACTGGTGTCTGTCTCATGTCTGACTGGTGTCTGTCTCATGTCTGTCTGGTGTCTGTCTCATGTCTGTCTGGTGTCTGTCTCATGTCTGTCTGGTGTCTGTCTCATGTCTGTCTGGTGTCTGTCTGGTGTCTGTCTCATGTCTGTCTGGTGTCTGCCTCAAGTAGCACTTGATTTAGACCTTTATACAAATGATGTGCTTTATGGTGTGCTCTAGAAATTTGGGAAACCACTGGATCATCAAACCCTGGAATTTAGCTCGTGGCCTTGACACTTGGGTGACAAAAAACTTGAACCAAATCATTCGCCTGACAGAATCTGGACCAAAGGTAAGAACTTAAGTGTAACTAAAAGTATGACTGCTAGCACCAAAGATAAGAACTTAAGTGTAACCAAAAGTATGACTGCTAGCATACGACATGACTGCCAGACTATGACCAAATGTGCTGACGGCTGTTATTTCCTACACCAGGTGGCATGCAAGTACATAGAACAGCCAGTCTTATTCTACCGCCAGGACATCCAGTCTAAGGTCAAGTTTGACATCCGCTACCTTGTTTTCTTGACAGGAGTCAAGCCTCTTCGGTTATATGCATACCAAGTCTTTTGGCTGAGATTTGCAAACAAGTAATTTTCTTTTCAAAAATTTTTTAATTCTTTAGCTACAACTAATACAGCTTTTTTAATGGGAGACATCACCAACACAACTGTTCATCGCTGAAATTACTACTTCCGGTCAACGTAAGTTACTCAAAATTTGACAGATGGCAGAGAATTAGAGCTTTTACTTACTACATGTGAAATTTCATTTATCTATCTGAAATAGTACTCAAGTTTTAGGCTTTTGAAAAATTGAAAGAAAAAGTTCCACTTCCTGTTATCGGAAATGGCTGAAAAGTTGATACAGAACTACAAATTTGATATAATACTTATTATATATAAAATTTCATGACCTACTGGTACTACATAGTGCACCCCTTAGAATTGTTGACCTACTGGTACTACATAGTGCACCCCTTAAAATTGTTGACCTACTGGTACTACATAGTGCACCCCTTAGAATTGTTGACCTTCTGGTACCACATAGTGCACCCCTTAGAATTGTTGACCTTCTGGTACTACATAGTGCACCCCTTAAAATTGTTGACCTACTGGTACCACTAAAAAAAATTTTTTTTTAACTTAAATACTTTAATAGCAATATTTAGTTTGCATTGAATTTATTTTTAAATTACCCCCACTAGCATAATTATTAAACATTTGAATTTATTAGTTTTATTTGACCCTACTGTTATTAAAATGAATCAATTTTTTCTAGGAATATAAGCGAGAATATTATTTGACATTGATCTGCTTATTAAGTTTTAGCAGTATTTAAATATTTTCTTCTTTTTTTTATATATGCAAAAGAGTAAAAACTTTGCTGACTATCAAAAACTTTAAGTTGTTACATAAATAAACCTACTCCGTTACTTATAGTAAGACATCAAAAAGCCAGTAAAATCATGGCATATGTTGTTTACTTTAGTAGATCTAGAATCTATAGCAATAACAGAATGACTGACACACTAATTGGCTGCTTATATTACAAATATATATATGTGTGTGTAGATATAGATATATATATAGATATATATATATATATATATATATATATATATATATTGCATTTGTGTTTAGGTGTTGTGCTAGCGATTGTGTTAGCAATAGTGTTTGTTTTATTTGCTTTTGTGTTTGCATTGTTTGTTTGTGTTTGCATTGTGTTTGCGTTTTCTTTTGTGTTTTTTTCTTGTGTTTATGTTTTCTTTTGTAATTGGTTTTGTTCTGTTCCCAAGTTCGTTTATTTAAAAAAGATTCACCGTATGCAGCTATCTATATAATATATATATCTATCTGTATATATCCATATTTATATCTATAAAATATATATAAAGAGAGAGATAGATTGATTAATTTGTATGTCAGAATCACAAGATCAGAAAATCTGCTATTGTTATAAAATTTAAAATGTGCAGTTATATAGAGAAACAATTTCTTTTTTAAATTAATGTAAAAGCTAAATTGTATTTAAATTTAAAGATATTTATTCAAATATAGATTCACTTAATAAACGCCTATAAACTAAGTGGTTTTCAAATATGGTTCTGAAAACAAAGAGAAAATTGCCATTTGAAAACTGAACTGGATTACTCTAACAGCTTTCATTTGTTGCTTCTGTTATTAGATTCAACATTAGTCCTTTTCATCAGACAATCTTCCTAATAGATAGCTACATCTGTTCTTTTATTATCTATTGTTCATCATGGGCCACCTCAAGTACAAACATTTTGTCTTGGCCAATAATGGATTCCCCCCCCCCCCCCTCCCCACTCAACTCCCTTTAAGCCAATGAAATAATTTTCTGTCTGAGGCCCTACAGCCTGAGTGACCTGCATGACTATGAGAGACATTTCACTGTGATGAACTATGTGGAGGGGGCTGAAACTAAGCTCAAGCAGGTGCACTATCATGAATTCATCCCACAGTTTGAGGAACAAAACCCTGGATATAAGTGGCAAGACGTACAGGTCTATGTCATTTCAGTTGAGCAATCCTTGTCTTTAGTTGTATCTTTATCCAGATTTTAAATGTATCTCTATCCATGTGTTTAGTTTTATGTCTATCTGTGTGTTTAGATGTTTGTATGTCTATCTGTGTGTTTAGATGTTTGTATGTCTATCTGTGTGTTTAGATGTTTGTATGTCTGTGTGTTAAGATGTTTGTATGTCTATCTGTGTGTTTTCCTCAGACCAAAATCTTGCAGATGTTCAAAGAACTGTTTGAAGCAGCCACATCTGAGCCCGCACCTTGTGGCATAGCTCCGTCCCCCCAGTCCCGGGCCATGTATGCTGTTGATCTCATGCTGGAGTGGGAGACCACAGCAGCAGGTACAGTCAAACACAGTGTCTCAACCTGGTGGCCAAACATCCAATGTCTATTCTGGTGGCCAAACATCCAATGTCTATTCTGGTGGCCAAACATCCAATGTCTTTTCTGATGGCCAAACATCCAATGTCTATTCTGGTGGCCAAACATCCAATGTCTATTCTGGTGGCCAAACATCCAATGTCTATTCTGATGGCCAAACATCCAATGTCTATTCTGGTGGCCAAACATCCAATGTCTATTCTGGTGGCCAAACATCCAATGTCTATTCTGATGGCCAAACATCCAATGTCTATTCTGGTGGCCAAACATCCAATGTCTATTCTGGTGGCCAAACATCCAATGTCTATTCTGGTGGCCAAACATCCAATGTCTATTCTGATGGCCAAACATCCGTCTTTTCTGGTGGCCAAACATCCAATGTCTTTTCTGGTGGTTGTCCAGTTAAATGTAAGCTGGTGTGCTCAAAAACAAAAAGGTAGATTACCAATTGCTACTTGCTGTAAAGCTTTTCCTAAAGCTAACGAGCAGAATCACTTCTTGGGGGTGAATTCACATACATTAAGAAATCCACAAGTATCACTACAAGGAGGGACATGTTCATCTAGTTTTCCGTGATGTTTGACTAGGATTTTCATGTGAGTTTCAGCAGCAGCAAGTGGTACAGGTGGTGGCTAACAGTTTAAAAATAGAAGCAGATTCAAAATATTGGTATCAGCAGATTTGGACAAACTGGTACATCTGCCAAAAATCTTTTCAAGTCATATCCCTGATTTAAAAAAAGCTTTTTTTTTATGGGGATTTTTTAGTCAGGTGGGAGAGCGCTAACAAGGGGAGGGGTGGGGGTGTAGAACAGCAACCAATCTGAGAAAGCTCCAGAAGAAATCCCATTTGTTCTGGGGTGAGCAAAGGTTATGGAAGGGCAACACAAAGCAGGCTAAAGTTAGAGTCAGATACTTAGTTGTGTTAAGCCCTTCAACTTCAGTAGAGAATAACAAATTTATTCATTTTTCTTTTTAGTAATTCACTCTCAAAATAATTGCTCTGAAATGCATTCAGTAGTAAGTATCTGCATTTTCTTAACATCTGCAGCTGCTCTCAGGTGTGAAAGCAACTTTGCGTTAGCACAGTTAACTGTGGTAATGGGTTGAATGAGAGAACTAATATCCTCTTGTTGAGTTTGATGGGGTTTTTAAATTCATTTTTATGATAAATTTGCGGATGCTTATGAGATAATAGTGTTGCGTTATATTTCAATGACCACTCTTTGACTTTACATGACAGAGTTGCCTTTTGATTTGCAGGTGATCAGACCATTGAGCCAAAGATTTGTGAAGTCAATTTTAGTCCAGACTGTGCCCGAGCTTGTAAATACCACCCATCTTTTGTCAATGATGTCTTCAGTGTACTGTTCCTTGGCGACACCCACCAGAAACATGTGATTGAGTTGTGATTCATCGTTTCAATGGAAGATGCGAGTTGTCTGTCTTGTGAAAAAAAGAATGACACTAAAGAACATTCAAATTCTCTCATGTTGAAAAAAGTGTTTGAACTTGCTTTTTTATTTAACTAGTATGTTATCAGTTCTAAGAAGTTTTGTTTTCAAACTCTTTGTGTAAGTTGCTTACTTAAACTATCTAGTGATACAATTAGGTGCTCTTACTCAATTGAACCAACTGCATTAGCTTTCACAAACATGAAGGTGACACAAAAAAATGGTACAAAAAATTTTATTAGACAAGAATATAAGAGTCAGTCAATAATCAATTCATCCAATGCCCAGTCTTCATAACTCCCATCTGGTAAATATCTCCTGATGATAAAAGGAATTTTTCTTGCTCTGTCAAGAGTGAAACAATGTATCAATTTTATCATTGACATGCTGGGGTTACAATTTACAAAAATGAAGACAAAAATATTTACTTAAGCTCTTTCATGGCTATGGCGAGAGGGTCAGTTTCTCCTTCTAGCTCCACCATCACAGGGGCACACATCCTAGGAGGAACATTTGGCATTAACAAAATGACAGATATCAAAGAGTACCATTAGGAGTCATGTGACCCACAGATATCAAAGAGTACCATTAGGAGTCATGTGACCCACAGATATCAAAGAGTACCATTAGGAGTCATGTGACCCACAGATATCAAAGAGTACCATTAGTGACCCAATCAAAGAATTTCCTTTTCCTGATGACATTAATAGTTTTTCCATGCTGACCTATGACCCATACATTTCTAAAAGATCAACTTTAGGCATCTACTGACAGGGTTTATACAGCTTTATTCCAGATTGTCCAGCCCCTACAGATGCTTAACTAAGTAGCTTACTCTCATGTAATGATAGGAAATCATTGGACTTATAATTCCTACAGATGCTTTAGTTAACTAAGTAGCCTACTCTCATGTAATGATAGGAAATCATTGGACTTATAATTCCTACAGATGCTTTAGTTAACTAAGTAGCTTACTCTCATGTAATGATAGGAAATCATTGGACTTATAATTCCTACAGATGCTTTAGTTAACTAAGTAGCCTACTCTCATGTAATGATAGGAAATCATTGGACTTGAAGCCACTTTTCTCAAACCAGTTGTCAAAGAAATATATCTCAGGGTTGCCCATTCCCCCCCCCCCCCCCCAACACTTTAAAGATACATCCAAGTTAACATTCCAATGTTATAAATGAACAGATTGGGATTCCACATTTCTCTAACAGTTTGGAGAGAGAATCCTATCAATAAATATCCATACTTGTATCATTTTATTTTTAGCTTAGCTGCTGTTCAACATTGATGTCCAGTTGTTTTAATTTAGCAGTAGTTACCCCCACCCCTCCCATAACCATTGGGATTGGAATGATCTGTCCTCTCTTCTTTCCCCTTGTCATTAAATGTTTAATCAAAGTAATAATGTAGTACCAATGGGTCGGGCATGTTGCTAAAGAAAGTAAAAAGGGAGGGAAAGTTGAGAGCATCCCATGTATCAACAGCAGGACCAGGAAACCACATAGGTAGCAGTGGGTTTTTTATTTACCTACACTAACATAGGTAGCAGTGGGTTTTTTATTTACCTACACTAACATAGGTAGCAGTGGGTTTTTTATTTACCTACACTAACATAGGTAGCAGTGGGTTTTTTATTTACCTACACTAACATAGGTAGCAGTGGGTTTTTTATTTACCTACACTAACATAGGTAGCAGTGGGTTTTTTATTTACCTACACTAACATAGGTAGCAGTGGGTTTTTTATTTACCTACACTAACATAGGTAGCAGTGGGTTTTTTATTTACCTACACTAACATAGGTAGCAGTGAGTTTTTTATTTACCTACACTAACATAGGTAGCAGTGGGTTTTTTATTTACCTACACTAACATAGGTAGCAGTGGGTTTTTTATTTACCTACACTAACATAGGTAGCAGTGGGTTTTTTATTTACCTACACTAACATAGGTAGCAGTGAGTTTTTTATTTACCTACACTACATGCAGAAATAGAGAATAACCTTTTTTTTTTCTACAACTAACTGTATGAAATCAGGCTATTCTCACATATTTTTTTTGAATGCTTTATTTTAAAGCCTTTAACATAACCTAGGCCCATTCTAAGCAAGGGACCACTGTCTGTGATGCGATGTTTGCTACCTAACAAGCTGGAGAAACTAAAGTTGACTTGGCATTGTAATGACACGGGCACAGAAACTTTTACCCTACCGGTCCTAAACCGGTGAACTTGACTTCATCTACCCAGAGGCGTAGCAGGGGTTGCGGATTGGGTGACACCAAGGCAAAAAATAGCAAAATATAAACAGGAAATGATAATTTCACTGAATGAAATGATTATTTAGAGTGAATTAAATAGTGTTTTAAGAGCAACATCCAGCTGAATTTAAAACCAAATATAGATACAAATCCTTCGCATTATCTGAGCACACTTTAAAGCAATAACCGTGGGGTGACGACTTACATCAACTTAACTTTGCAATATATAAATATGCCTGAGGAAAATGGTTTGGTTGAGAATCATAATAAGCTATATGTTAATCAATGTATGGGGGAGGGGTAAAAAAATTATATCCGGCATAAAAAAAATTGAATACGTATACACATGAGTATACATATACTTACAAGTGCATATGGAATGTATATATCGATATTTTTTTTCCCCACTTACGGGGGAGGGGGGGCGCGGGACAGACAGACACCGACCTCGCTACAGCACTGCATCTACCCTACTGGTCCTAAAGATTGGCTATGTTTACCATATTATTGGTTAACCATTTTTTTCAGTCACATCCCAAAAACGGTCAGAGTGCTGAGACAATTGGTAGAGGTGGTCAGAGTGCTGAGACAATTGGTAGAGGTGGTCAGAGTGCTGAGAAAATTGGTAGAGGTGGTCAGAGTGCTGAGACAATTGGTAGAGGTGGTCAGAGTGCTGAGACAATTGGTAGAGGTGGTCAGAGTGCTGAGAAAATTGGTAGAGGTGGTCAGAGTGCTGAGACAATTGGTAGAGGTGGTCAGAGTGCTGAGACAATTGGTAGAGGTGGTCAGAGTGCTGAGAAAATTGGTAGAGGTGGTCAGAGTGCTGAGACAATTGGTAGAGGTGGTCAGAGTGCTGAGACAATTGGTAGAGGTGGTCAGAGTGCTGAGAAAATTGGTAGAGGTGGTCAGAGTGCTGAGACAATTGGTAGAGGTGGTCAGAGTGCTGAGACAATTGGTAGAGGTGGTCAGAGTGCTGAGACAATTGGTAGAGGTGGTCAGAGTGCTGAGAAAATTGGTAGAGGTGGTCAGAGTGCTGAGACAATTGGTAGAGGTGGTCAGAGTGCTGAGAAAATTGGTAGAGGTGGTCAGAGTGCTGAGACAATTGGTAGAGGTGGTCAGAGTGCTGAGACAATTGGTAGAGGTGGTCAGAGTGCTGAGAAAATTGGTAGAGGTGGTCAGAGTGCTGAGACAATTGGTAGAGGTGGTCAGAGTGCTGAGACAATTGGTAGAGGTGGCCAAGATTGCTTCTAGAGGGTTCAAACAACACCCACTAAATTAAAGGCCAGACATACGCTATTTGCAGTGCACGTGTTCCTAAAACTCTGGCCCGCTCATATTTTGTCATGTACTTGGTTGTTATTCTTTTCTGGGGCTCCACCTGGCCTGTGGCTCCATCACTGATGATCTCCACTCTCTCACCCTGCAACAAAGATGGGAATAAACAACAGGAGAATCTGCACACTGTCCATGTACAGAAACTGGCCTATTTGTGTACAGCTAGAGGACTGGCTTAATATGGCTAGAGGACTGAGCACAGCTAGAGGACTGAGCACAGCTAGAGGACTGGCTGTGTATGGCTAGAGTCCTTTCAGTGTACAACTATCCTTTAAAAACCAGCTATTGGCCAGAACTAGAAAAATGAGACTAGTGGTCTAGCTTGACCTACCTGTTCATGATCTATAGGTTCATCTAATGGCTCATCATCTTCTATTTCAGCTCCATCTTCAAAGCTGAAAATTTTAAAATAATAAATCCCAAATAGGCAATCAACAATTAGAAATATCTTTACATATTCATCAAACATTCAAGAATTCTATAAAGAAAACTGGAAACTACTGATATACTAAAATAGGTTTATTAAAATATGTTTAAAACAACAATGGACATCAGCGAGAAAAGTCTCAAAGGTATTTGAGAGGTCCATAAATTAATTTTAAAATCTTGCACGGCGTAGTTAAAATTAATATGGTTATAAAATCCTGTCTGTCTGGTTTTTTTCGGACTTTACTAAAGATTGGATGTATTTGATGTTTTTAATATTTTCGGTAACTAAATAAAATTTTTAAAAAAGCAAAAAAAAGCAAAAACAATTTGGTTTTCACGTGTAATGGCGACATAAACAATGGCATCCTGCTATTCGATAGGCCACCATAAATTTTATTGTACACATTGTAAGCTAAAAATAGAAAAACTAGGTCATGGTGTTTACATTTGCATTGTTATTTAAAAACTTGATCTGCAAAGTTTTGTAAACAAAATAACTATAAAGTGGGGCTGTCAGAAATCGATCACGGAGCTCCTTTACAGCCAATCAATGTTTGTCTTACGAAAGTGAAACATCGGGTTATAACTTAGGCTTGATGAAAATAAATAGAAATGTAGCCTTAAACTCAACAAATTATTTTCAAGTTCTCTGGATCTGCAACTTGTATAGCATTGATTCTAAAAATATTACATTTCTGAATTAATTTTAGGCTTAAGTTTTTAATAAAATTGTATCTTTTATTATTTTTACGGTCCTAAATCTAAAAAAGCAAATTTTTATTCCATGTCAACAACATTACGGAAGGATTTTCATCAACTCACTGGTGTCCATTAGGAGATTTGTTTGTACATTACAAAAGAATGCTGTTGTTACTGTGTCAAAACTAAAAGCCAGCAGATGGGGATAAAGAAATATAACAATGGTGGCAATGAGATCTACATACGGTGACTACTTTCAACTGGGTATTTACTAATGTCAAAGTCAAAATATCCAAAAACAAATATCATTTCTATAAAAATGAGATGTAGATCTATCTGCTATGGAAACTTTATATAAGAGGAAACTTTTCGAAAATCGAATTTTTAACGCATTTGAAGCTAACCTTTATACAGCGGTAAGACAAAAGCAGAGACAGCATGCAATCAGATCGTAAAACCATCAAAATAACGGGAAAACCATTCGACTTTTTATGTAATATTGGGAAATGGCCTTTAAAACTTAATTACCATAAATTAAAAACTCATCAGTATGCAAAAACCAAATCTCGTGTAATGGGAGATTGTGGGTAATGTTTGCGAACTCGGCCGATAACCCTATTAAGAGAGTTAAGGGGTCGTCCATAAATGATGTCACATTCGTAGGGGGGAGGGGTTAAGATGGTGCGACGTCACACTTTTGAATTAAAAATAAACCGGGAGTGATCTCCCCTAAACTTTCTCGAATATTCTAATATAACACTACATGGGATGGCAACTCGGAATATAGACATGATTTTTGTTTACTTAAACTTTTAAAAATAGAATAAAATCTAGTATAAATTTACATGCGTTTTTTGAGAAATCGGAAATAGCGTAAATTAGTACTTCCGGTCAACGGAAATTACTCAAAATTTGATAGAAGGTAGAGAATTAGATCTTTTACTTACATTTGAAATTTCATTTATCTATTTAAAATAGTACTCAAGTTATAGGCTTTTGAAAAATTCAAAGTAGAAAAAGTACCACTTCTGGTTATCGGAAATCGCTCAAAAGTTGATACGGATCTACGATTTTGATAAAATACTTATATATGAAATTTCATCAACCTAGCTGTAACGGTACTCAAGTAATCGTGTTTACACACAGACAGACACACACACAGACATACGGACAAGATTGCAAAATTATGTTTTTCCGTATCAGTGAGGTGTAAAACGTCGAGATTTGTAAAAATCTCGATTTTATTTTTTTGCACGATTACAAGACTTTCTCTTTACTTCGTATATATACGAGAAAGTGAAAATACAATGTTAGAAAACGAATTTTAGACATTTTGCATTTTAGAAAACTGTTTTAATAAATTGTAATAGGAATTGATTAAAATAATGTATTTTGACAGAGTTCAGACAAGATTTTGGAAAAAAAAATCGACATTTAAAAAAAAATTCAACTGCAATTTTGAGGAGGGTTGTAGGCTAAGGTGCGACATCATTTTAGGGGGGTCTGGCTTTCTGTGATGACGTGTGACAGACGGGAGGTAAAAATCGTCAAAAAAAGCGTGACGTCATTTATGGATGACCCCTAAGGTCATTGAATTGCTGTGTCTTCTGCTAGCCAGCAAAAGCTTCTACTAGATTAATCTAGATCTGGATTCTAGATCTAGTCACTTTGTTATTTTAATATTTTTTATCTTTTTCTTACATAGCAAACGTCATGTTAGCATATTGGGAAAATCTCCCTGATCATTATACAATATACATGGATTTATGGGAAATTATAACCCATTTCTAAATACTCAAGAATTATCATTCTAGGCCAAGTAGTTTTTTTAACACAAGTTATGTGTTTAACTTGTTATGTTTTATTGTAAATTGCATTCGAGAATTGTGATTGGCTTTAAACTTGCATACCAATGTTGCTATTTAAGATATAATGATAAAACTTGACACATTTGTACTCAATGATATAGGCAATAGAAGATTTTTCAGTAATAATGACTTTGCACAGAAAGTTAAAATATGCTAAATTGGCTTAGTTTACTAGTGTACTAGCTATTATTGCTAATTTTTTTAATAAAAAAATCATTTTGAAATTTTCTGTAATCTATCGGTTTAGGTGCGTAAAATCGGCCGACGCTAGTAATGTGCGGAAAAGTTGCCTCATTGTTAATGCTTTAATAGAAGTAAATTGTGATATATTTGTGTCAAATATTAGAGATAACTGAATAATAAACTAAAATCAATGGCTAAATATATCAATATAGGTCAGAAATTAACTTTAAACAGAGATGTTTGCGAGCAAGAGTTGATATAAACATCGGCCATCTGTAAGTAAGAGTGGTTTCCACTGAATCCCTTTTGATCAGGGCGCCCCCCCCCCCCCCCCACATGACTTTGTGATTTAAATGGGAGTCTTCAACAGTAAATAGCCTAACTGTAATTTTAACTTTTTATCATTTGATGAACAAGTAAATCAACCTGAGTAGCTTAGATTTGTCCTACTAGAAATAAACTGTATTTTGGAAATAAGAGCAAGGGGTCATCCCTAAATGACGTCGCGCTTTTTTTGATGATTTTTACCCCCCCCCCCTCCACTCCGGCACACGTTGTCACAAAAAGCTAGACCCCCCCCCCCCCAAATGACGTCACACCTCAGCCTACAACCCCTCTCAAAATTGCTGTTGATTTTTTCTTAAAAAATCGATATTTTTCCAAAATCTTGTCAGAACGCCGTCAACATAGAGTATTTTGATCAATTCCTATTACAATTTATTAAAACAGTTTTCTAAAACGCGAAATAACGGCTAAAATTCTTTTCTAACATTGCTTTCTATGATGCAAAAGTGTGACGTCCCACCATCTGAGCCCCCCCCCCCCCCTCATCACACACCGTCACAAAATTACGGACCCCCCTACCCCCTACAGTGTGACGTCATTTATGGACGACCACTAATACTTGAAAAATTTAAAATATTTCAGCCAAAAAATAGAATTTCAGATAGTTTTTTATTTTATTGCCGGTAGCGTATTTTTTTCCCTCCAGCTTGACACGGTCACGCTGTGTCAGTTTGGGTTCATCTAAGCTGACAGTTGGCCTGTAGTATACTGCTGATGACATCACTAGCGGGTCACACAGAGTTCACTTCATATACCCAACCAGCGGTCCTCCCTCCCCCACCCTGTCGTGGGAAAGAAACTGAAATGCGGGATGGGAGGGTGGTAGTATTACAACACGCATGTAAAAATAGAAAGTAGATCTAGAGCCTATCGGACTGTAGATTCAAATTAGCTGTGCAAAAACTAGATTTTGGCCTAGGCCTACTTGAGATTTTCCAAATTAAAAAAAAAGTCAGGCCTATTAAACAGAGTCGCACACATAGAAAGACGTTAGAAAAAAAAAATTAAACCAAACCCACATGTTAAAGACAGCTTTAGGTCTATATTTTAAAATGTGTGCCTTGTAATGCGAAGAATTGAAAAGGCAGAACACTTTTACCGGGGCGGTCAGATCTGATTACCTGAAATCTAACGCGCCAAAAAAATATTCGCTAAAATTATCGATGCGAGTAAAATTCCAGGACACATTACAAAATTTCAGGAGAAATGTTAAAATTCCAGAATTCCAGGACTTTTCTGTTTTTTTTTTAAATTCCAGGAGAATTCCAGGACATCCTGGAATTTTAGGAGGCCGGGGGAACCCTGGATCTATCTTGATAAAATCTGTTACGAAAAAAAAAAAAACGATAAAATCTCTCCAATTGTAATTTTAACAGACGGAAATGATGCTCGCGCAAAAAAAAAATGTAACTAGATCTATGTCTAGCTTAAAAAAAAACTCTTAAAATGCCCATAAACAGATTATTTAGCGCCAAAAAAAGGCCGTTGAACGAGCATTGTTTAAAATACGCAGCAATGACAAAGGCTAACGGCCGATCAATAAGTCTAAAAAACGACCGTAATTAGGCCTAGCTCTGAAAAAGGTCACTGAACGAGCATCACTGATTATATAAACAAATAGGCCACGCAGCGTTGACCACCGGTCACGAATGCAGCAACTGTCGGCCCACAGTGAAGAAAAAATCAATATACTAATAATAAAAAAAAAGTAAAGTAAAGTTTCCCTTTCAAACCTGACGGTCTATGGGGCAAGTGAAGTAGAGTTCACTTGTTTCTGTGACCTCGGCATATGAAGAGATAGTGTGGTCAGCACTATGCCCAGCCGCCTTTACTTTCCCTAACGTGAGTTAGGTACCCATCAGAGTTAGGTGGACTCAGGGACGGTATACTGACTTGAACCCGGATTCGAACTCGAGGCTTACGGGTTAGCACTCCAGCTCTCTACCGCTAGACCACTCCGTCCCATACTAATAATACTATCATATTATTTTATGCATAGGCCTATTTATTATTTAAAATTAGAATTTGAAATAAAAATATTTATTATGGTCATTTGATTTATGCAGGTGTTCATTATTTCATAAAATGGTATGAATAACATGTAGCGTAGAATTTAATCTATATATATAATTCTCTTCTTCGAGACGTTAGAAAACAAGCTGCAAACGCTCTCCCTACCTCCCCACCCCTACATGGTTTTAGTGAGCTGTGTTCACTCTAAATGTTTACAAGCAGAGCCAACGATTTTAAACGTAGGGGGGGGGAGGAGGGAAGGAAGGGGGGGGGGTTATGGTCCTTAACGAGCTACTTATAGTGTTTTAAAGAAATATTTTCAGTGTCAGCGTTGCTACTGTCGAATTCACAAATTATGAATTATTGAAAATTAGAAACAACTAAATAGCGGCGTATGTTATGCCGCGGGCCGGCTCGTAAATAATAAAATAACTAGATCTAGATTTATTATCAACCAGTTGCTTTTTGTTATTTTCCGATGAGTAAATAAGCTGATGCAATTACCATGGCGGGAATGAAAAGCTCGTAATGTTCAAGAATGCTGTTTCGTCATTCATCTTCCATTTTAAGATAATTTTTAAATTCTCTCTTTTCTCGTCAACCGAGTAAGCTAGATATATAAATGTGGTGTCAAATGTTCTCTTAAGGGGTAAGGAAGTTAATGGTGTATTTAAAATAACAGAATATTTTATTTTAAAAAATCCATAATTCAACCTACATTTTATCCATTTTCATCTTGTGTTAAAATAATGATGACAATTTGCGTGATAAAGAGTTTTTTCATTTGTCGTGGATAGGACCCCTAAAACAAACGTAAAAACCGCCAGAAAACGATGTGTGACGTTTCAGGGTCAGAGGTCAATCCAGCCATCTAAGCAACGAGCCGGCCTACATTATTTGCTACTTGTGTTTTAATAGTTTTTATACAGTTGTTTAAAAACAGCTACATTAATGAAACTTTGATAATTATTATTAGTATTTCTCGCTAACTTTGAGGCGTGGTCGGTTGCTAACAACAATATGGCGTCCGGACCGGACGCATGACTTCCGGCGATTTTTTGGCCGAATTCCAGAGACCTTCTACTAATTAAATTTTAAAATGTTTACCACGCGCAAAATGGCGGGATTTCCGTGTCATAACAACAAACAATAGGTGGCAGGGTTAGATATGCCAGAAAAGCATTTTAAAATTTGGTTTGGAGAACGGAGGCTAAATTCAAAAGTTGGTTTCATTAAAATTAATAGAATTTGAAAAATATCAACTATATAAGTACAAAAATGATCATATAAGTAAAGCATTATTAAGTCTATCAGTCTATGTAAAAAGAAAGCAAATATTGTCGGCACTTTTTTTATAAGATCGGCTCTCATATCACAACCAATTTATTTTTATTTTTTAAAAACCACGTGACCGCTATTTGAGATCACTAGTGAGGAACTCTGGGTGCATGGCCACTTAAAAAGTCTAACCTGATTTGTGGTTTTCTTTACGTTCAAGCTTAAGAAGAGTTGTCATGGAGAGGTGTGTTGGCCATGGCAGTGAGTGTCAATAAATATTAAATTAAGTAATTTAGTTTAAAATGAACTAAAAACTTCAAAATTAGTGCCTAATGGATTAAATATGGATGTCTATTATTCAGTGGTCATGTTTATATTGAAAATTGCATAAATTTTAGATTTAGTAAGAAAAACTAATTATTATTGTAACTTTCAAAACATAAATCCTCTTTAAAATATGAAATAATTACTAAAATTTAATGAGTCACCTTATTTTCACATTACTAGATCTAGTCTCGGCCGATTTTACGTAGATCTAACTAAAACGATAGATTACCAAATTTTCATCCCAAAATGCCTAGGCTAGCTAGAAGATCTCTAGTTTTTGTTTTAATCTTTTCTTGAAAATTCTTGATCTAAATCTAGACCTAGCCTAATCAAAATTGTTTTTTTAGATTAGGGCCTATTCAAGATTGGGTATCGTCGCTCAAGAGATCGAATGTTTACATGTTCTTGTCTGCGGGAGAAAATTCCCAACATGGTTAGATTTAAAACTTACTCGTCCCCGTCAGCTTCTTCTGGATCCATGAGTTTTAACACTAAATCTAGACTAGATCTAGATCTAGATCAAGAACTCTTCTGCACATAAGGTTTGTTAATGAAGTTTTCTAAAAATGTTGAAGCATGATTTAAAAATAGGAATTTTCGCAAAATTAATAATAATAATAGTCTAATAATATTAATATACTAGACTATCCGTTATCTAGTTAGATAACTGTGGGTTTCGGGGGTCATCCATGAATGACATCACGTCTGTCACTAACAGAGTTTCTTCCAGGCATCTCTTCGGGGGAGCGAAGCCCCCCGAAAAAATTTTACCGCCCCCCCCCCCCCCCCCGAACGAATGAAATTTATATAATTTATATAGAAAATATATACTTTTAACAGTGTCCGCCCCCCGAAAAAAGTCTACCGCCCCCCCCCCCCCCCGAAAATTTCAAGTGCCTCCCCCGGAGAAAAAAGTCTGGAAGAAACACTGGTCACTAATCATCACAAAATAACCAGACCCTACGTTCAAAAAGGCGTCACACCTCAGACGTTTTTGTCTTTTAAAAACACTGACTTCGTCTGAGCCTGGGTCTGACAACATAATCTCTTCATATGCTGAGGTCACAAAAACAGGTCAACTCTACTTCACCTGCCCAGCGTCCTCCCAACTCATACATGTTTTTGTCTGTGAAAACACAGATTTTGGCTGAGCGTGGGTTTGACCACACTATCTCTTCATATGCTGTCGTCACAGGTGAACTTTACACCTACCCAACACTACTTCACCTGCCCAGTGTTCCGCCAAGTCTCAGACAACATGTTTTATCTTTAAAAAAAAGATTCCGGCCGAGCATGGCTCTGACGACACTATCCACGTTATATACTGAGGACAAAGAAACAGGTGAACTCTACTTCACCTGCCCTGTCTCCCGCTAATTTCCAATAGGCAAAGACAACATTATCATTCACAACTAAAAAAAAAAATCACTGACATGTCTAGAACCCATGCCACCCGCATGGTAAACTAATGTGCTAACCTCTTAACTATATAGGCTCGTACTCTCGAGAAGTTAATAACTTATATATTTTACTTCTTAGCGGCGTAACAATCTACGCGAATCAGCCCTAGAATTAGATCTAGAATTATTTCAAATTAAATGTATTGTATCTAATATATAACGCTCAATTCTGTATGTAAAAATAAGTTTGTTTGTCGTTGACATACTTCTATGGACTTAAGTGTTAGATAATTCAAGTCTTTATGGTCTAAATTTATGAGTTAAAAAATTAATATTGAAAGTTTTGGGAAATAATTTTCATTTATCAAACTGAAAGTAATAATTTTCGGCATGTTCATTAAACACAATTTAAAAAAAAAAAATATCATCTTTTACAAAAATTCTAATTATGTCTTTATTTAGTCCTATAGCACTTACTTCCCTTTAATAAATTAGGAAAACACAATTACTTCCCTTTATAAAACCATTGCATTAGTGGAAAAGAATTTACTTTTTATTACTTTGTTTTGGTGTTGGGAAAAAAAATAATTACATAATTAGCGGGGATTGATCAAGTGCAAATGTTGTAGGTATTTTACGGGTAAGCTTGGAGTATTATAATTGTTCATTAAATTGAAACAGGCGCGTTCGTTTAAGTGAGTGCAAAAGACTATGAATAAGTTGGGGTACTATAGTCGTTTATTAAGCTAAAACAGGCGATTCCGCCCCGGACTAGACTGTGAGCACTTTGCGTTTATGTTCGCGTTAGTGTTTTCTTTGTGTTTAGGTTGGGTTTGCGTTAGTGGTTGCGGTTTGATTTGGTTCGTTTTTGTGCTTTCTTTTTTTCGTTTTTGTTTGTGTTTTTTTCTTTGGGTTTGTATTTGTGTTTTTGGTTGGTTTTGCGTTTGGATTTGGCTTGTTTTCGTTTGCTTTTTCGGTTTTTTTTGTGTTGTTATTGGTTGGTATTGGTGTTTGTGGTTGTGGTTGGGTTTGTTGTTAGGTTTTTGTTTTCGTTTGTATTTGTAACTGTGTTAGCGTTATGTTTGCGTTTTGTTGTTTTGGTTGGTTGTGGTTTGGGTGGGCAATGCCGGGTTTATGATGATTACTAAACACACAGGTGATGGTCTTTAACAGAAAGGTTTTTCACAGAAGCCAGAGCAGGGCCTGGCCGGGACGGCTAGTAATAAAATAAAAAGAAGTGTTAAAACATTGATAATAGTGTTGAAACGTAATTAAAATAGCAAACGGACATATTGATAAAGTTATAGCAGACAGAAAATTAGTACTAAATTATATTTTACTTTTTAGCGCAATTTCCATTCTGGAGAATTGCGTTTATTAACCCGTCATTTCTGGATGTATGAATGTATGAATGAATGGATGGATGGATGTGTGTCCGCAGCTTTAAGTCGTATCTCCTCCTCAACGAAGCAATATCGAGGACTAGTTCCAAAAGCAATTATGTTAAGCAAGTTACGAGGATGAACATAGGCCAAAAAAATTCCGGGTTTCTTTCATGGATTTCCCGGAAAAGCCAAAAAACCTCGAAAAAATGCAGTTTTTGGCCCATATCTCGACAACCAGACCATTTAGCGACTTGAAACATGTACCAATCGATTCCTGCCATAATTTAGAACAATATTGCCGAAGAAAGTTTTCAAAAATATCCTTTCGTTCGGTCACAAAAATTTTTTTGAGGTAATTAAAATTTGGACCGAATTAGTAGGCATTTTTATCCAACCACACCACACGCGTCATCACGTTCAATAGCTGCGCCATCACGTTCAATGGCTGCAACATCACGTTCGGTAGCTAGGCGCGCAATGGTTTTTAGTCATGTAACTCTATTGTAAATAAAACATGTAAAATACTGAATTTTTTTAAAAATAAAAAACGTTTTAATAACTAACCAATGGTTTTACTAACCCTGCTCTTGATCCACATCTTGCCTCAAGTTTTGACTGTTCTAAAACTCAATGAGTGTACCTATATGTTCTAAAACTCAATGAGTGTACCTATATGTTCTAAAACTCAATGAGTGTACCTATATCTTCTAAAACTCAATGAGTGTACCTATATGTTCTAAAACTCAATGAGTGTACCTATATGTTCTAAAACTCAATGAGTGTACCTATATATTCTAAAACTCAATGAGTGTACCTATATGTTCTAAAACTCAATGAGTGTACCTATATGTTCTAAAACTCAATGAGTGTACCTATATGTTCTAAAACTCAATGAGTGTACCTATTTGTTCTAAAACTCAATGAGTGTACCTATTTATATACTACTAAAACTCAAGTTTGTTTACATGTTTGAATATTTATTTGTTTGTTTGTCTGATTTGGTACTGTAAGGAAACTGCTCTATATGGGGGGCTGTAAAATAGTATGTAGGTAGAGAACAATTTGGGTTTTCAGACAGACTGTTAATCACAAATTTATTTAAAGACGTTAATTAATTTATTGATTTATTCATAGGTAGATTAACCACATTAATTTTAAAGTTTTAGAACAATGGCTTAACTTGATTGAATAGTGATGTTTGATAACTCATTTTTTCGTTTTTTTTTAATTTTTTTATTTCTTATTAGGGAGAATCTGCATTATGTGTAGAGCTGTAAAATAGGATTTTGGGTGGTAAATATTGTTCTTTCTTAAACACAGTGTTAATTACAAACTAATTTAAAGCCGTTAATTAATTTATTGATATATCCATTGGTAGATTAACCACATTAATTATAAAAGTTTAGAACAATGACTTTAGTAATAGTAAAAACATTTTTATTATAAAAATGCTTTCAATTATTTTTTCTTAAGGCCTAGATCTATATTTGAATGATAAGGTTGACTATCAGGACCTCGCGGGGCACAGGGCAGGTGAAGTAGAGTTCACCTGTTTCTAGGTTCTCAGCATATGAAGGGATAGTGTGGTCAGAGCCATGCTCGGCCGGAATCGTTTTTTTTATTTTAAATACAAACATGTCTGAGACTTGGCGGGGCACTGGGCAGGTGAAGTAGAGTTTAGTAGAGTTTTCAAAAAATAAAAAAACGTCTTTTTGAATGTGGGGTCTGGTTATTTTGGGGTGAAAAGTGCTGGCAGACGTGATGTCATTTATGGATGACCCCCCCGAAACCCAGTTATCTAACTAGATAACGGGTAGTCTAGTATGTTCTAAAACTCAATGAGTGTACCTATATGTTCTAAAACTCAATGAGTGTACCTATATGTTCTAAAACTCAATGAGTGTACCTATATGTTCTAAAACTCAATGAGTGTACCTATATGTTCTAAAACTCAATGAGTGTACCTATATGTTCTAAAACTCAATGAGTGTACCTATATGTTCTAAAACTCAATGAGTGTACCTATATGTTCTAAAACTCAATGAGTGTACCTATATGTTCTAAAACTCAATGAGTGTACCTATTTGTTCTAAAACTCAATGAGTGTACCTATATGTTCTAAAACTCAATGAGTGTACCTATATGTTCTAAAACTCAATGAGTGTACCTATCTATATATATAATTCTCTTCTGGGAGACGCTAGAAAACAAGCTGCAAGCGCATCCTTGCAGTCCCCTCTCTTTCTCTCTATCACTACCACCCCCACATGGCTTGGTGAGCTGTGGTCACACTTAAATGTTTACAAATCATAGAGACGGGTTTAGTGACGGCTATTAGGGGCAGATAATTTAGTTTGAAACGATTTTAAACTTACAGGAGGTAACTAAGAGGAGGCTGCTTTCACGGGGGAGGGGGGGTGGGGGGGAGGGTAGGGTCGGGGTTAGGGGAAAAGGGGGGTGGGGGGGTTAGTGTTTTAAAGCAAATATTTTCAGTGGCAGCGTTGGTACTGTCGAATTCACAAATTATGAATTACTGAATAGTAGAAGATAAAACAACTAAATAGCGGCATATGATACGCCGCGGGTAGGCTCGTATGTTCTAAAACTCAATGAGTGTACCTATATGTTCTAAACTAGCATGCCGGGCATATTCTAAACCTATCTCAAATTACATTTACAGTCAGGAGGAGAATTCATCCAAACACAAAGCTTATTCTTAATCTATCCTTAATCTACTAGAAAATATTCCTTGACCTATCCATAGATTAGGTCAATTAGCAATGGACCAGTAGGGACATAATACCATTTAGCAATACAACAACAGTTCTTACACTAGCAATGTAATATTGGGCTAACAGTAACATTGGAACAAATGGCTTGAGTAGTTCAATAATGGGGCTATTACACAAGATATGTAACCTTGGGTTAGACCCATAATGTTGAGGCTTACATATAAAGTACAGAAATATAATTTTGTTATGAGATATCAGCATAGAATTTTACTCTTTCATTTATAAATAGAAATGATGAAGCGGAGTTGGTCTAATGAAGAAAAAAAAACCACTTTCAAAACAGAATATTTAATTATCACCATCAAGACAATCCAATCATGTTATAAGTCATTGTACTCTCAGATCTCACAATGGTACATCAAGGTACAAAGTATAAATAAACATTTCATTACAGAAAAACAGAAATCACACATTACTGTCAGAATAAATAATCCATCATGTAAACTGACTTTCAACATGCACCAACACCAATCTATTCATTCACTGGATCAACACCAATCTATTCATTCACTGGATCAACACCAATCTATTCATTCACTGGATCAACACCAATCTATTCATTCACTAAATCAACACTTAATTCATTCATTCACTGCATCAACACCAATCTATTTATTCACTGGATCAACACCAATCTATTCATTCACTGGATCAACACCAATCTATTCATTCACTGGATCAACACCAATCTATTCAATCACTGGATCAACACCAATCTATTCATTCACTAAATCAACACTTAATTCATTCATTCACTGCATCAACACCAATCTATTTATTCACTGGATCAACACCAATCTATTCATTCACTGGATCAACACCAATCTATTCATTCACTGGATCAACACCAATCTATTCATTCATTCACTGGATCAACACCAATCTATTCATTAACTGGATCAACACCAATCTATTCATTCACTGGATCAACACCAATCTATTCATTCATTCACTGGATCAACACCAATCTATTCATTCACTGGATCAACACCAATCTATTCATTCACTAAATCAACACTTAATTCATTTATTCACTGCATCAACACCAATCTATTTATTCACTGGATCAACACCAATCTATTCATTCATTCACTGGATCAACACCAGTCTATTCATTCACTAAATCAACACTTAATTCATTCATTTACTGCATCAACACCAATCTATTTATTCACTGGATCAACACCAATCTATTCATTCACTGGATCAACACCAATCTATTCATTCATTCACTGGATCAACACCAATCTATTCATTCACTGGATCAACACCAATCTATTCATTCACTGGATCAACACCAATCGATTCATTCACTGGATCAACACCAATCTATTCATTCACTGGATCAACACCAATCTATTCATTCATTCACTGGATCAACACCAATCTATTCATTCACTGGATCAACACCAATCTATTCATTCACTGGATCAACACCAATCTATTCATTCACTGGATCAACACCAATCTATTCATTCACTGGATCAACACCAATCTATTCATTCATTCACTGGATCAACACCAATCTATTCATTCACTGGATCAACACCAATCTATTCATTCACTAAATCAACACTTAATTCATTCATTCACTGGATCAACACCAATCTATTTATTCACTGGATCAACACCAATCTATTCATTCACTGGATCAACACCAATCTATTCATTCACTGGATCAACACCAATCTATTCATTCACTGGATCAACACCAATCTATTCATTCACTGGATCAACACCAATCTATTCATTCACTGGATCAACACCAATCTATTCATTCATTCACTGGATCAACACCAATCTATTCATTCACTGGATCAACACCAATCTATTCATTCACTGGATCAACACCAATCTATTCATTCACTGGATCAACACCAATCTATTCATTCATTCACTGGATCAACACCAATCTATTCATTCATTCACTGGATCAACACCAATCTATTCATTCACTGGATCAACACCAATCTATTCATTCCTTCACTGGATCAACACCAATCTATTCATTCACTGGATCAACACCAATCTATTCATTCACTTGATCAACACCAATCTATTCATTCACTAAATCAACACTTAATTCATTCATTCACTGGATTAACACCAATCTATTCATTTATTCACTGGATCAACACCAATCTATTCATTCACTGGATCAACACCAATCTATTCATTCACTGGATCAACACCAATCTATTCATTCATTCACTGGATCAACACCAATCTATTCATTCACTGGATCAACACCAATCTATTTATTCACTGGATCAACACCAATCTATTCATTCACTGGATCAACACCAATCTATTCATTCACTAAATCAACACTTAATTCATTCATTCACTGGATCAACACCAATTTATTCATTTACTGGATCAACACCAATCTATTCATTCACTGGATCAACACCAATCTAATCATTCACTGGATCAACACCAATCTATTCATTCACTGGATCAACACCAATCTATTCATTCACTGGATCAACACCAATCTATTCATTCACTGGATCAACACCAATCTATTCATTCATTCACTGGATCAACACCAATTTATTCATTTACTGGACCAACCACATACTAGGCCATGTAGATAAAAGTGTTGATGTCCTCTTCATCCCTCCTCATGTACTTGTGTTCTATCAGCCACTCAATTTGTTCTTTGATCAGTTTCTTGGAAGGCAAAAACATGTTTTTTAAGATCTCCACCAGTTCAGTCTGTAGGGCTGCATTGGTGAGCTTTTTCCTCATCTTCATGATCTTTACAATGGCTTCCTACACAGACAACAAAACATCTTTACAATGGCTTCCTACACAGACAACAAAACATCTTTACAATGGCTTCCTACAGACAACAAAACATCTTTACAATGGCTTCCTACACAGACAACAAAACATCTTTACAATGGCTTCCTACACAGACAACAAAACATCTTTACAATAGCTTCCTACACAGACAACAAAACATCTTTACAATGGCTTCCTACAGACAACAAAACATCTTTACAATGGCTTCCTACAGACAACAAAACATCTTTACAATAGCTTCCTACACAGACAACAAAACATCTTTACAATGGCTTCCTACACAGACAACAAAACATCTTTACAATGGCTTCCTACACAGACAACAAAACATCTTTACAATAGCTTCCTACAGACAACAAAACATCTTTACAATAGCTTCCTACACAGACAACAAAACATCTTTACAATAGCTTCCTACAGACAACAAAACATCTTTACAATGGCTTCCTACAGACAACAAAACATCTTTACAATAGCTTCCTACACAGACAACAAAACATCTTTACAATAGCTTCCTACAGACAACAAAACATCTTTACAATAGTTTCCTACACAGACAACAAAACATCTTTACAATAGCTTCCTACAGACAACAAAACATCTTTACAATAGCTTCCTACACAGACAACAAAACATCTTTACAATAGCTTCCTACAGACAACAAAACATCTTTACAATAGTTTCCTACACAGACAACAAAACATCTTTACAATGGCTTCCTACACAGACAACAAAACATCTTTACAATAGCTTCCTACAGACAACAAAACATCTTTACAATAGCTTCCTACACAGACAACAAAACATCTTTACAATAGCTTCCTACAGACAACAAAACATCTTTACAATAGTTTCCTACACAGACAACAAAACATCTTTACAATGGCTTCCTACACAGACAACAAAACATCTTTACAATAGCTTCCTACAGACAACAAAACATCTTTACAATGGCTTCCTACACAGACAACAAAACATCTTTACAATAGCTTCCTACACAGACAACAAAACATCTTTACAATAGCTTCCTACACAGACAACAAAACATCTTTACAATGGCTTCCTACAGACAATAAAACATCTTTACAATGGCTTCCTACAGACAATAAAACATCTTTACAATAGCTTCCTACACAGACAACAAAACATCTTTACAATAGCTTCCTACACAGACAACAAAACATCTTTACAATGGCTTCCTACAGACAATAAAACATCTTTACAATAGCTTCCTACACAGACAACAAAACATCTTTACAATAGCTTCCTACACAGACAACAAAACATCTTTACAATAGCTTCCTACAGACAACAAAACATCTTTACAATGGCTTCCTACAGACAATAAAACATCTTTACAATAGCTTCCTACACAGACAACAAAACATCTTTACAATGGCTTCCTACAGACAATAAAACATCTTTACAATAGCTTCCTACACAGACAACAAAACATCTTTACAATAGCTTCCTACAGACAACAAAACATCTTTACAATGGCTTCCTACACAGACAACAAAACATCTTTACAATGGCTTCCTACAGACAACAAAACATCTTTACAACAGCTTCCTACAGACAACAAAACATCTTTACAATGGCTTCCTACAGACAACAAAACATCTTTACAATGGCTTCCTACACAGACAACAAAACATCTTTACAATAGCTTCCTACAGACAACAAAACATCTTTACAATAGCTTCCTACACAGACAACAAAACATCTTTACAATAGCTTCCTACAGACAACAAAACATCTTTACAATAGCTTCCTACACAGACAACAAAACATCTTTACAATAGCTTCCTACAGACAACAAAACATCTTTACAATAGCTTCCTACACAGACAACAAAACATCTTTACAATAGCTTCCTACACAGACAACAAAACATCTTTACAATGGCTTCCTACACAGACAACAAAACATCTTTACAATAGCTTCCTACAGACAACAAAACATCTTTACAATAGTTTCCTACACAGACAACAAAACATCTTTACAATGGCTTCCTACACAGACAACAAAACATCTTGACAATAGCTTCCTACAGACAACAAAACATCTTTACAATGGCTTCCTACACAGACAACAAAACATCTTTACAATAGCTTCCTACACAGACAACAAAACATCTTTACAATAGCTTCCTACACAGACAACAAAACATCTTTACAATGGCTTCCTACAGACAATAAAACATCTTTACAATGGCTTCCTACAGACAATAAAACATCTTTACAATAGCTTCCTACACAGACAACAAAACATCTTTACAATAGCTTCCTACACAGACAACAAAACATCTTTACAATGGCTTCCTACAGACAATAAAACATCTTTACAATAGCTTCCTACACAGACAACAAAACATCTTTACAATAGCTTCCTACACAGACAACAAAACATCTTTACAATAGCTTCCTACAGACAACAAAACATCTTTACAATGGCTTCCTACAGACAATAAAACATCTTTACAATAGCTTCCTACACAGACAACAAAACATCTTTACAATGGCTTCCTACAGACAATAAAACATCTTTACAATAGCTTCCTACACAGACAACAAAACATCTTTACAATAGCTTCCTACAGACAACAAAACATCTTTACAATGGCTTCCTACACAGACAACAAAACATCTTTACAATGGCTTCCTACAGACAACAAAACATCTTTACAATGGCTTCCTACAGACAACAAAACATCTTTACAATGGCTTCCTACACAGACAACAAAACATCTTTACAATGGCTTCCTACACAGACAACAAAACATCTTTACAATAGCTTCCTACACAGACAACAAAACATCTTTACAATGGCTTCCTACAGACAATAAAACATCTTTACAATGGCTTCCTACAGACAATAAAACATCTTTACAATAGCTTCCTACACAGACAACAAAACATCTTTACAATAGCTTCCTACACAGACAACAAAACATCTTTACAATGGCTTCCTACAGACAATAAAACATCTTTACAATAGCTTCCTACACAGACAACAAAACATCTTTACAATAGCTTCCTACACAGACAACAAAACATCTTTACAATAGCTTCCTACAGACAACAAAACATCTTTACAATGGCTTCCTACAGACAATAAAACATCTTTACAATAGCTTCCTACACAGACAACAAAACATCTTTACAATGGCTTCCTACAGACAATAAAACATCTTTACAATAGCTTCCTACACAGACAACAAAACATCTTTACAATAGCTTCCTACAGACAACAAAACATCTTTACAATGGCTTCCTACACAGACAACAAAACATCTTTACAATGGCTTCCTACAGACAACAAAACATCTTTACAATGGCTTCCTACACAGACAACAAAACATTTGGGGAGGGGGATTTTTCTGGTGAAAATCTGTACACAGGTGAAGACATCTGACCCACCTGTACACGCAAGATTCTCAACTGCATGATACCTTCGTTGTCTTCTTCTCGACTTTTTTCTGTTGTTAGTTGAAGGCGGCCAATTAAATTTGTTTTTCCTCTTTTCTGTATTTTGCCGGATTTCCTTTCAAATCAAATCAAAAGCTTGTATTAACAAAACACAACTAGCTACAACTAGCAGCAACATATCACAAACATGTATGATTGAATATGGAGACAGTAGACTTACAACATATCACACACATGTATGATTGAATGTGGAGACAGTAGACTTACAACATATCACACACATGTATGATTGAATGTAGAGACAGTAGACTTACAACATATCACACACATGTATGATTGAATATGGAGACAGTAGACTTACAACATATCACAAACATGCATGATTGAATGTGGGGTGAGACAGTAGACTTACAACATATCACACACATAGATGATTGAATGTGGGGTGATACAGTAGACTTACAACATATCACACACATGTATGATTGAATGTGGGGTGAGACAATAGACTTACAACATATCACATACATGTATGATTGAATGTGGAGACAGTAGACTTACAACATATCACAAACATGCATGATTGAATGTGGGGTGAGACAGTAGACTTACAACATATCACACACATAGATGATTGAATGTGGGGTGAGACAGTAGACTTACAACATATCACACACATGTATGATTGAATGTGGGGTGAGACAATAGACTTACAACATATCACATACATGTATGATTGAATGTGGAGACAGTAGACTTACAACATATCACACACATGTATGATTGAATGTGGGGTGAGACAATAGACTTACAACATATCACATACATGTATGATTGAATGTGGAGACAGTAGACTTACAACATATCACACACATGTATGATTGAATGTGGGGTGAGACAATAGACTTACAACATATCACACACATGTATGATTGAATGTGGAGACAGTAGACTTACAACATATGACACACATGTATGATTGAATGTGGAGACAGTAGACTTACAACATATCACACACATGTATGATTGAATGTGGAGACAGTAGACTTACAACATATCACACACATGTATGATTGAATGTGGAGACAGTAGACTTACAACATATCACACACATGTATGATTGAATGTGGAGACAGTAGACTTACAACATATCACACACATGTATGATTGAATGTGGGGTGAGACAGTAGACTTACAACATATCACACACATGTATGATTGAATGTGGAAGACTTACATGTGGGCATACTGTTGATTGATCCAGAACTCTGTGTTGTCGCTGAAGTCTCTCAGGGTCTTGATCTCGTGAGAGCTCAGCAAAATTTTATTTTTTGATGCCATCAGGGACTGAAAAAATAAAGTTTTCTTTTGACCACTTAGTTTATCATTATGTATGGTGTGGTCTGACACCACCTGTATGGTGTGGTCTGACATCACCTGCATGGTGTGGTCTGACACCACCTGCATGGTGTTGTCCCATGACACCACCTGCATGGTGTTGTCCCATGACACCACCTGCATGGTGTGGTCCCATGACACCACCTGCATGGTGTTGTCCCATGACACCACCTGTATGGTGTGGTCCCATGACACCACCTGTATGGTGTGGTCCCATGACACCACCTGTATGGTGTGGTCCCATGACACCACCTGTATGGTGTGGTCCCATGACACTACCTGTATGGTGTGGTCCCATGACACCAACTGTATGGTGTGGTCCCATGACACTACCTGTATGGTGTTGTCCCATGACACCACCTGTATGGTGTGGTCCCATGACACTACCTGTATGGTGTGGTCCCATGACACCACCTGCATGGTGTGGTCCCATGACACCACCTGCATGGTGTGGTCCCATGACACTACCTGCATGGTGTGGTCCCATGACACCACCTGCATGGTGTGGTCCCATGACACCACCTGCATGGTGTGGTCTGACACCACCTGCATGGTGTGGTCCCATGACACCACCTGCATGGTGTGGTCCCATGACACCACCTGCATGGTGTGGTCTGACACCACCTGCATGGTGTGGTCCCATGACACCACCTGCATGGTGTTGTCCCATGACACCACCTGCATGGTGTGGTCCCATGACACCACCTGCATGGTGTGGTCCCATGACACTACCTGTATGGTGTTGTCCCATGACACCACCTGTATGGTGTGGTCCCATGACACCACCTGTATGGTGTGGTCCCATGACACTACCTGCATGGTGTGGTCCCATGACACTACCTGTATGGTGTGGTCCCATGACACTACCTGTATGGTGTGGTCCCATGACACCACCTGCATGGTGTGGTCTGACACCACCTGCATGGTGTGGTCCCATGACACCACCTGCATGGTGTGGTCCCATGACACCACCTGTATGGTGTGGTCCCATGACACCACCTGCATGGTGTGGTCCCATGACACCACCTGTATGGTGTGGTCTCATGACACCACCTGCATGGTGTGGTCCCATGACACCACCTGCATGGTGTGGTCCCATGACACCACCTGCATGGTGTGGTCCCATGACACCACCTGCATGGTGTGGTCCCATGATACCACCTGTATGGCCAAAAAATTAGCCACATATAAAATGTGGTCTGAAAAGACAAAATTATGAAGAGAGCAAATGTTGACAAACATAGAATGTGGTAAGGACTCACCATGAGTGTTTTCCTTAATTCATTATCTGGCAGCTCTGTGGCCAACTTTAAACTTTCATAAGACAAGCGTTCACGTGGCCTTTGATTCCATGCAAATAAAACAGCCATTTGAAAGGTTGTTACCTCCAGCTCATAGCGGCCCACGTCATTAGAGAAAGTTATCTGGTGGACAGTCAGCTTTTAGATTGGCCAGACATTCATACGCTCACCACCCTATTAGACAACTCACCACCCCATTAGACAACTCACCACCCCATTAGACAACTCACCACCCCATTAGACAACTCACCACCCCATTAGACAACTCACCACCCCATTAGACAACTCACCACCCCATTAGACAACTCACCACCCCATTAGACAACAACTCACCACCCCATTAGACAACTCACCACCCCATTAGACAACTCACCACCCCATTAGACAACAACTCACCACCCCATTAGACAACTCACCACCCCATTAAACAACAACTCACCACCCCATTAGACAACAACTCACCACCCTATTAGACAACTCACCACCCCATTAGACAACTCACCACCCCATTAGACAACTCACCACCCCATTAGACAACAACTCACCACCCCATTAGACAACAACTCACCACCCCATTAGACAACTCACCACCCCATTAGACAACAACTCACCACCCCATTAGACAACTCACCACCCCATTAGACAACAACTCACCACCCCATTAGACAACAACTCACCACCCCATTAGACAACAACTCACCACCCCATTAGACAACTCACCACCCCATTAGACAACTCACCACCCCATTAAACAACAACTCACCACCCCATTAGACAACTCACCACCCCATTAAACAACAACTCACCACCCCATTAGACAACTCACCACCACATTAGACAACTCACCACCCCATTAGACAACAACTCACCACCCCATTAGACAACAACTCACCACCCCATTAGACAACTCACCACCCCATTAAACAACAACTCACCACCCTATTAGACAACTCACCACCCCATTAGACAACTCACCACCCCATTAGACAACAACTCACCACCCCATTAGACAACTCACCACCCCATTAGACAACTCACCACCCCATTAGACAACAACTCACCACCCCATTAGACAACTCACCACCCCATTAGACAACTCACCACCCCATTAGACAACTCACCACCCCATTAGACAACAACTCACCACCCCATTAGACAACTCACCACCCCATTAGACAACTCACCACCCCATTAGACAACAACTCACCACCCCATTAGACAACTCACCACCCCATTAAACAACAACTCACCACCCCATTAGACAACTCACCACCCCATTAGACAACTCACCACCCCATTAGACAACTCACCACCCCATTAGACAACTCACCACCCCATTAAACAACAACTCACCACCCCATTAGACAACAACTCACCACCCCATTAGACAACTCACCACCCCATTAGACAACAACTCACCACCCCATTAGACAACTCACCACCCCATTAGACAACTCACCACCCCATTAAACAACAACTCACCACCCCATTAGACAACTCACCACCCCATTAGACAACAACTCACCACCCCATTAGACAACAATTCACCACCCCATTAGACAACAACTCACCACCCCATTAGACAACAATTCACCACCCCATTAGACAACTCACCACCCCATTAGACAACTCACCACCCCATTAGACAACAACTCACCACCCCATTAGACAACAACTCACCACCCCATTAGACAACAACTCACCACCCCATTAGACAACAATTCACCACCCCATTAGACAACCTACCACCCCATTAGACAACTCACCACCCCATTAGACAACTCACCACCCCATTAGACAACAACTCACCACCCCATTAGACAACTCACCACCACATTAGACAACTCACCACCCCATTAGACAACTCACCACCCCATTAGACAACAACTCACCACCCCATTAGACAACTCACCACCCCATTAGACAACAACTCACCACCCCATTAGACAACTCACCACCCCATTAGACAACTCACCACCCCATTAGACAACTCACCACCCCATTAGACAACTCACCACCCCATTAGACAACTCACCACTACATTAGACAACAACTCACCACCCCATTAGACAACTCACCACCACATTAGACAACTCACCACCCCATTAGACAACAACTCACCACCCCATTAGACAACAACTCACCACCCCATTAGACAACAACTCACCACCCCATTAGACAACAACTCACCACCCCATTAGACAACTCACCACCCCATTAGACAACAACTCACCACCCCATTAGACAACAACTCACCACCCCATTAGACAACTCACCACCCCATTAGACAACTCACCACCCCATTAGACAACTCACCACCCCATTAGACAACAACTCACCACCCCATTAGACAACTCACCACCCCATTAGACAACTCACCACCCCATTAGACAACTCACCACCCCATTAGACAACTCACCACCCCATTAGACAACTCACCACCCCATTAGACAACTCACCACCCCATTAGACAACAACTCACCACCCCATTAGACAACTCACCACCCCATTAGACAACAACTCACCACCCCATTAGACAACTCACCACCCCATTAAACAACAACTCACCACCACATTAGACAACAACTCACCACCCCATTAGACAACAACTCACCACCCCATTAGACAACTCACCACCCCATTAAACAACAACTCACCACCCCATTAGACAACTCACCACCCCATTAGACAACAACTCACCACCCCATTAGACAACTCACCACCCCATTAGACAACAACTCACCACCCCATTAGACAACTCACCACCCCATTAAACAACAACTCACCACCCCATTAGACAACTCACCACCCCATTAGACAACTCACCACCCCATTAGACAACTCACCACCCCATTAGACAACAACTCACCACCCCATTAGACAACAACTCACCACCCCATTAGACAACAACTCACCACCCCATTAGACAACAACTCACCACCCCATTAGACAACAACTCACCACCCCATTAGACAACAACTCACCACCCCATTAGACAACAACTCACCACCCCATTAGACAACTCACCACCCCATTAGACAACTCACCACCCCATTAGACAACAACTCACCACCCCATTAGACAACAACTCACCACCCCATTAGACAACAACTCACCACCCCATTAGACAACTCACCACCCCATTAGACAACTCACCACCCCATTAGACAACTCACCACCCCATTAGACAACAACTCACCACCCCATTAGACAACAACTCACCACCCCATTAGACAACAACTCACCACCCCATTAGACAACAACTCACCACCCCATTAGACAACAACTCACCACCCCATTAGACAACAACTCACCACCCCATTAGACAACAACTCACCACCCCATTAGACAACAACTCACCACCCCATTAGACAACTCACCACCCTATTAGACAACAACTCACCACCCCATTAGACAACAACTCACCACCCCATTAGACATAGCGTGATGCCACTGAAGTTTTCTGCCACTATGTTTGTGCTTGTAGAATTCTTCAACCTAGTTATAAAAATAAAAGTTGGGATTTGTGTCAGGGTCTCAATCAGATAATAACAGCAATGGTTTAATATAAGGGTTAATTTACTTTAGACTATGGCCAAGACTGACCAGCTGAACCAATGGCCAAGACTGACCAGCTGAACCAATGGCCAAGACTGACCAGCTGAACCAATGGCCAAGACTGACCAGCTGAACCAATGGCCAAGACTGACCAGCTGAACCAATGGCCAAGACTGACCAGCTGAACCAATGGCCAAGACTGACCAGCTGAACCAATGGCCAGGACTGACCAGCTGAACCAATGGCCAAGACTGACCAGCTGAACCAATGGCCAGGACTGACCAGCTGAACCAATGGCCAAGACTGACCAGCTGAACCAATGGCCAAGACTGACCAGCTGAACCAATGGCCAGGACTGACCAGCTGAACCAATGGCCAAGACTGACCAGCTGAACCAATGGCCAAGACTGACCAGCTGAACCAATGGCCAAGACTGACCAGCTGAACCAATGGCCAAGACTGACCAGCTGAACCAATGGCCAAGACCGACCTGGGGGATGTAGTCTTCCAACTCTAAGGGAAGTGAGACTGGCATTCTCTCACTGGACCTGGCCCAGGCTCCAGCATTTAAAATTTTTATGTTGATTGCATCTGTTAACAAATTAAATTTTGAATTGCATGGTTTGACAAATTAAAATTTGGATGTTGATTGCATCTGTTAACAAATTAAATTTTGAATTGCATGGTTTGACAAATTAAAATCTGGATGTTGATTGCATCTGTTAACAAATTAAATTTTGAATTGCATGGTTTGACAAATTAAAATTTGGATGTTGATTGCATCTGTTAACAAATTAAAATTTGGATGTTGATTGCATCTGTTAACAAATTAAAATATGAATTGCATGGTTTGACAAATTAAAATTTGGATGTTGATTGCATCTGTTAACAAATTAAATTTTGAATTGCATGGTTTGACAAATTAAAATTTTGATGTTGATTGCATCTGTTAACAAATTAAAATTTGGATGTTGATTGCATCTGTTAACAAATTAAAATATGAATTGCATGGTTTGACAAATTAAAATTTGGATGTTGATTGCATCTGTTAACAAATTAAATTTTGAATTGCATGGTTTGACAAATTAAAATTTGGATGTTGATTGCATCTGTTGACAAATTAAATTTTGAATTGCATGGTTTGACAAATTAAAATTTGGATGTTGATTGCATCTGTTGACAAATTAAATTTTGATGTTGATTGCATCTGTTAACAAATTAAAATTTGAATTGCATGGTTTGACAAATTAAAATTTGGATGTTGATTGCATGGTTTGACAAATTAAAATTTAGATGTTGATTGCATCTGTTAACAAATTAAATTTTGAATTACATGGTTTGACAAATTAAAATTTGGATGTTGATTGCATCTGTTAACAAATTAAAATTTGAATTGCATGGTTTGACAAATTAAAATTTGGATGTTGATTGCATCTGTTAACAAATTAAAATTTGAATTGCATGGTTTGACAAATTAAAATTTGGATGTTGATTGCATCTGTTAACAAATTAAAATTTGAATTGCATGGTTTGACAAATTAAAATTTGGACGTTGATTGCATCTGTTGACAAATAAAAAAGCTTGACATGGTTCTGTAAAAGATGGAGATGTCATGTCCTAATTGTCCCCTTGTGTGGATGTGATGTTATGTGAGTGTACCTGCAATGCCTTCATTGTTGTTTCTATGGGCTTCTTTAAACTCATAGTTCAGGTCTTCAGACACCTTGATGTCCTGGAACATTCTCTGGAGTTTGTTGACAAAGTCAGCCGGCATACCAACATCCTAGACATTGAATCAGAACTTTTGATCAGTTTAATAACTTTTACAATCTCTCTAACCTGACAATTTCAGTCCTTTTTTTTAAAACAGAAATTATGTTACGTCTTGACAACAACAACAAACCCAAGTCTTGACCACAACAACAAACCCAAGTCTTGACCACAACAACAAACCCAAATCTTGACCACAACAACAAACCCAAGTCTTGACCACAACAACAAACCCAAGTCTTGACCACAACAACAAACCCAAGTCTTGACCACAACAACAAACCCAAGTCTTGACCACAACAACAAACCCAAGTCTTGACCACAACAGCAAACCCAAGTCTTGACCACAAACCCCAAGTCTTGACCACAACAACAAACCCAAGTCTTGACCACAACTACAAACCCAAGTCTTGACCACAACAACAAACCCAAGTCTTGACCACAACAACAAACCCAAGTCTTGACCACAACAACAAACCCAAGTCTTGACCACAACCACAAACCCAAGTCTTGACCACAACAACAAACCCAAGTCTTGACCACAACAACAAACCCAAGTCTTGACCACAACAACAAACCCAAGTCTTGACCACAACAACAAACCCAAGTCTTGACCACAAACCCCAAGTCTTGACCACAACAACAAACCCAAGTCTTGACCACAACAACAAACCCAAGTCTTGACCACAACAACAAACCCAAGTCTTGACCACAACAACAAACCCAAGTCTTGACCACAACGACAAACCCAAGTCTTGACCACAACAACAAACCCAAGTCTTGACCACAAACCCAAGTCTTGACCACAACAACAAACCCAAGTCTTGACCACAACAACAAACCCAAGTCTTGACCACAAACCCAAGTCTTGACCACAAACCCAAGTCTTGACCACAACAACAAACCCAAGTCTTGACCACAACAACAAACCCAAGTCTTGACCACAACAACAAACCCAAGTCTTGACCACAACAACAAACCCAAGTCTTGACCACAACAACAAACCCAAGTCTTGACCACAACAACAAACCCAAGTCTTGACCACAAACCCAAGTCTTGACCACAACAACAAACCCAAGTCTTGACCACAACAACAAACCCAAGTCTTGACCACAAACCCAAGTCTTGACCACAACAACAAACCCAAGTCTTGACCACAAACCCAAGTCTTGACCACAACAACAAACCCAAGTCTTGACCACAACAACAAACCCAAGTCTTGACCACAAACCCAAGTCTTGACCACAACAACAAACCCAAGTCTTGACCACAACAACAAACCCAAGTCTTGACCACAACAACAAACCCAAGTCTTGACCACAACAACAAACCCAAGTCTTGACCACAACAACAAACCCAAGTCTTGACCACAACAACAAACCCAAGTCTTGACCACAACAACAAACCCAAGTCTTGACCACAACAACAAACCCACGTCTTGACCACAAACCCAAGTCTTGACCACAACAACAAACCCAAGTCTTGACCACAACCACAAACCCAAGTCTTGACCACAACAACAAACCCAAGTCTTGACCACAACAACAAACCCAAGTCTTGACCACAACAACAAACCCAAGTCTTGACCACAACAACAAACCCAAGTCTTGACCACAACCACAAACCCAAGTCTTGACCACAACAACAAACCCAAGTCTTGACCACAAACCCAAGTCTTGACCACAACAACAAACCCAAGTCTTGACCACAACAACAAACCCAAGTCTTGACCACAACAACAAACCCAAGTCTTGACCACAACAACAAACCCAAGTCTTGACCACAACAACAAACCCAAGTCTTGACCACAACAACAAACCCAAGTCTTGACCACAACAACAAACCCAAGTCTTGACCACAACAACAAACCCAAGTCTTGACCACAAACCCACGTCTTGACCACAACAACAAACCCAAGTCTTGACCACAAACCCCAAGTCTTGACCACAACAACAAACCCAAGTCTTGACCACAACAACAAACCCAAGTCTTGACCACAACAACAAACCCACGTCTTGACCACAACAACAAACCCAAGTCTTGACCACAACAACAAACCCAAGTCTTGACCACAACAACAAACCCAAGTCTTGACCACAAACCCAAGTCTTGACCACAACAACAAACCCAAGTCTTGACCACAACAACAAACCCAAGTCTTGACCACAAACCCAAGTCTTGACCACAACAACAAACCCAAGTCTTGACCACAAACCCAAGTCTTGACCACAACAACAAACCCAAGTCTTGACCACAACAACAAACCCAAGTCTTGACCACAAACCCAAGTCTTGACCACAACAACAAACCCAAGTCTTGACCACAACAACAAACCCAAGTCTTGACCACAACAACAAACCCAAGTCTTGACCACAACAACAAACCCAAGTCTTGACCACAACAACAAACCCAAGTCTTGACCACAACAACAAACCCAAGTCTTGACCACAACAACAAACCCAAGTCTTGACCACAACAACAAACCCAAGTCTTGACCACAAACCCCAAGTCTTGACCACAACAACAAACCCAAGTCTTGACCACAACAACAAACCCAAGTCTTGACCACAACAACAAACCCAAGTCTTGACCACAAACCCCAAGTCTTGACCACAACAACAAACCCAAGTCTTGACCACAACAACAAACCCAAGTCTTGACCACAACAACAAACCCAAGTCTTGACCACAACAACAAACCCAAGTCTTGACCACAAACCCAAGTCTTGACCACAACAACAAACCCAAGTCTTGACCACAACAACAAACCCAAGTCTTGACCACAACGACAAACCCAAGTCTTGACCACAACGACAAACCCAAGTCTTGACCACAACAACAAACCCAAGTCTTGACCACAAACCCCAAGTCTTGACCACAACAACAAACCCAAGTCTTGACCACAACAACAAACCCAAGTCTTGACCACAACAACAAACCCAAGTCTTGACCACAAACCCCAAGTCTTGACCACAACAACAAACCCAAGTCTTGACCACAACAACAAACCCAAGTCTTGACCACAACAACAAACCCAAGTCTTGACCACAACCACAAACCCAAGTCTTGACCACAACAACAAACCCAAGTCTTGACCACAACAACAAACCCAAGTCTTGACCACAACAACAAACCCAAGTCTTGACCACAAACCCAAGTCTTGACCACAACAACAAACCCAAGTCTTGACCACAAACCCAAGTCTTGACCACAACAACAAACCCAAGTCTTGACCACAACAACAAACCCAAGTCTTGACCACAACAACAAACCCAAGTCTTGACCACAAACCCCAAGTCTTGACCACAACAACAAACCCAAGTCTTGACCACAAACCCAAGTCTTGACCACAACAACAAACCCAAGTCTTGACCACAACAACAAACCCAAGTCTTGACCACAAACCCCAAGTCTTGACCACAACAACAAACCCAAGTCTTGACCACAAACCCAAGTCTTGACCACAACAACAAACCCAAGTCTTGACCACAACAACAAACCCAAGTCTTGACCACAACAACAAACCCAAGTCTTGACCACAACAACAAACCCAAGTCTTGACCACAACCACAAACCCAAGTCTTGACCACAACAACAAACCCAAGTCTTGACCACAACAACAAACCCAAGTCTTGACCACAACAACAAACCCAAGTCTTGACCACAAACCCAAGTCTTGACCACAACAACAAACCCAAGTCTTGACCACAAACCCAAGTCTTGACCACAACAACAAACCCAAGTCTTGACCACAACAACAAACCCAAGTCTTGACCACAACAACAAACCCACGTCTTGACCACAAACCCAAGTCTTGACCACAACAACAAACCCAAGTCTTGACCACAACCACAAACCCAAGTCTTGACCACAACAACAAACCCAAGTCTTGACCACAACAACAAACCCAAGTCTTGACCACAACAACAAACCCAAGTCTTGACCACAACAACAAACCCAAGTCTTGACCACAACAACAAACCCAAGTCTTGACCACAACAACAAACCCAAGTCTTGACCACAACAACAAACCCAAGTCTTGACCACAACAACAAACCCAAGTCTTGACCACAAACCCACGTCTTGACCACAACAACAAACCCAAGTCTTGACCACAAACCCCAAGTCTTGACCACAACAACAAACCCAAGTCTTGACCACAACAACAAACCCAAGTCTTGACCACAACAACAAACCCACGTCTTGACCACAAACCCAAGTCTTGACCACAACAACAAACCCAAGTCTTGACCACAACCACAAACCCAAGTCTTGACCACAACAACAAACCCAAGTCTTGACCACAACAACAAACCCAAGTCTTGACCACAACAACAAACCCAAGTCTTGACCACAACAACAAACCCAAGTCTTGACCACAACCACAAACCCAAGTCTTGACCACAACAACAAACCCAAGTCTTGACCACAAACCCAAGTCTTGACCACAACAACAAACCCAAGTCTTGACCACAACAACAAACCCAAGTCTTGACCACAACAACAAACCCAAGTCTTGACCACAACCACAAACCCAAGTCTTGACCACAACAACAAACCCAAGTCTTGACCACAAACCCCAGTCTTGACCACAACAACAAACCCAAGTCTTGAACACAACAACAAACCCAAGTCTTGACCACAACAACAAACCCAAGTCTTGACCACAAACCCAAGTCTTGACCACAAACCCAAGTCTTGACCACAACAACAAACCCAAGTCTTGACCACAACAACAAACCCAAGTCTTGACCACAAACCCAAGTCTTGACCACAACAACAAACCCAAGTCTTGACCACAAACCCAAGTCTTGACCACAACAACAAACCCAAGTCTTGACCACAAACCCAAGTCTTGACCACAAACCCAAGTCTTGACCACAACAACAAACCCAAGTCTTGAACAAAACAACAAACCCAAGTCTTGACCACAACAACAAACCCAAAATCTTGACCACAACAACAAACCCAAGTCTTGACCACAACAACAAACCCAAGTCTTGAACACAACAACAAACCCAAGTCTTGACCACAACAACAAACCCAAGTCTTGACCACAACAACAAACCCAAGTCTTGACCACAACAACAAACCCAAGTCTTGACCACAACAACAAACCCAAGTCTTGACCACAACAACAAACCCAAGTCTTGACCACAACAACAAACCCAAGTCTTGACCACAACAACAAACCCAAGTCTTGACCACAACAACAAACCCAAGTCTTGACCACAACCACAAACCCAAGTCTTGACCACAACAACAAACCCAAGTCTTGACCACAACAACAAACCCAAGTCTTGACCACAACAACAAACCCAAATCTTGACCACAACAACAAACCCCAAGTCTTGACCACAAACCCCAAGTCTTGACCACAACAACAAACCCAAGTCTTGACCACAACAACAAACCCAAGTCTTGACCACAACAACAAACCCAAGTCTTGACCACAACAACAAACCCAAGTCTTGACCACAACCACAAACCCAAGTCTTGACCACAACAACAAACCCAAGTCTTGACCACAACAACAAACCCAAGTCTTGACCACAACAACAAACCCAAGTCTTGACCACAACAACAAACCCAAGTCTTGACCACAACAACAAACCCAAGTCTTGACCACAACCACAAACCCAAGTCTTGACCACAACAACAAACCCAAGTCTTGACCACAAACCCCAGTCTTGACCACAACAACAAACCCAAGTCTTGAACACAACAACAAACCCAAGTCTTGACCACAACAACAAACCCAAGTCTTGACCACAAACCCAAGTCTTGACCACAAACCCAAGTCTTGACCACAACAACAAACCCAAGTCTTGACCACAACAACAAACCCAAGTCTTGACCACAAACCCAAGTCTTGACCACAACAACAAACCCAAGTCTTGACCACAAACCCAAGTCTTGACCACAACAACAAACCCAAGTCTTGACCACAAACCCAAGTCTTGACCACAAACCCAAGTCTTGACCACAACAACAAACCCAAGTCTTGAACAAAACAACAAACCCAAGTCTTGACCACAACAACAAACCCAAAATCTTGACCACAACAACAAACCCAAGTCTTGACCACAACAACAAACCCAAGTCTTGAACACAACAACAAACCCAAGTCTTGACCACAACAACAAACCCAAGTCTTGACCACAACAACAAACCCAAGTCTTGACCACAACAACAAACCCAAGTCTTGACCACAACAACAAACCCAAGTCTTGACCACAACAACAAACCCAAGTCTTGACCACAACAACAAACCCAAGTCTTGACCACAACAACAAACCCAAGTCTTGACCACAACAACAAACCCAAGTCTTGACCACAACCACAAACCCAAGTCTTGACCACAACAACAAACCCAAGTCTTGACCACAACAACAAACCCAAGTCTTGACCACAACAACAAACCCAAATCTTGACCACAACAACAAACCCCAAGTCTTGACCACAAACCCCAAGTCTTGACCACAACAACAAACCCAAGTCTTGACCACAACAACAAACCCAAGTCTTGACCACAAACCCCAAGTCTTGACCACAACAACAAACCCAAGTCTTGACCACAAACCCAAGTCTTGACCACAACAACAAACCCAAGTCTTGACCACAACAACAAACCCAAGTCTTGACCACAAACCCCAAGTCTTGACCACAACAACAAACCCAAGTCTTGACCACAACAACAAACCCAAGTCTTGACCACAAACCCCAAGTCTTGACCACAAACCCCAAGTCTTGACCACAAACCCCAAGTCTTGACCACAAACCCCAAGTCTTGACCACAACAACAAACCCAAGTCTTGACCACAACAACAAACCCAAGTCTTGACCACAAACCCCAAGTCTTGACCACAAACCCCAAGTCTTGACCACAAACCCCAAGTCTTGACCACAAACCCCAAGTCTTGACCACAAACCCCAAGTCTTGACCAAAACAACAAACCCAAGTCTTGACCACAACAACAAATCCAAGTCTTGACCACAACAACAAACCCAAGTCTTGACCACAAACCCCAAGTCTTGACCACAACAACAAACCCCAAGTCTTGACCACAACAACAAACCCAAGTCTTGACCACAACAACAAACCCAAGTCTTGACCACAAACCCAAGTCTTGACCACAACCACAAACCCAAGTCTTGACCACAAACCCCAAGTCTTGACCACAACAACAAACCCAAGTCTTGACCACAACAACAAACCCAAGTCTTGACCACAACCACAAACCCAAGTCTTGACCACAAACCCAAGTCTTGACCACAACAACAAACCCAAGTCTTGACCACAACAACAAACCCAAGTCTTGACCACAACGACAAACCCAAGTCTTGACCACAACAACAAACCCAAGTCTTGACCACAACCACAAACCCAAGTCTTGACCACAAACCCCAAGTCTTGACCACAACCACAAACCCAAGTCTTGACCACAAACCCAAGTCTTGACCACAAACCCAAGTCTTGACCACAACAACAAACCCAAGTCTTGACCACAACGACAAACCCAAGTCTTGACCACAACAACAAACCCAAGTCTTGACCACAACCACAAACCCAAGTCTTGACCACAAACCCCAAGTCTTGACCACAACAACAAACCCAAGTCTTGACCACAACAACAAACCCAAGTCTTGACCACAACCACAAACCCAAGTCTTGACCACAACAACAAACCCAAGTCTTGACCACAACCACAAACCCAAGTCTTGACCACAAACCCAAGTCTTGACCACAACAACAAACCCAAGTCTTGACCACAACCACAAACCCAAGTCTTGACCACAAACCCAAGTCTTGACCACAACAACAAACCCACATCTTGACCACAACCACAACCTGTGACACTTACCCTAAGCCACTCGACCATGTTTTCTTCCTTCTCATTGTCAGCAGATGAGTCGAGTATGAGCCTACGAGTCAGATGAGCCTTGTGGTACCTCATAAAGACATCTTTATTTTGTACATACTTGAGCACCAACAGCTGCAATAACAAGTAAGCTGTCAACAAGTGTTAGTAAACATCTCAAAATAACCACTTTTGAATTAGATATTTAAACAAAAGCACTTGCAGAATGTATGCGTGTTGTCTGGACGTATGGTGAAGGTGTACAACACCCAGGACATATATTCCAGGTGTACAACACCCAGGACATATGGTGAAGGTGTACAACACCCAGGACATATGGTGAAGGTGTACAACACCCAGGACATATGGTCCAGGTGTACAACACCCAGGACATATGATGAAGGTGTACAACACCCAGGACATATGGTCCAGGTGTACAACACCCAGGACATATGGTGAAGGTGTACAACACCCAGGACATATGGTGAAGGTGTACAACACCCAGGACATATGGTGAAGGTGTACAACACCCAGGACATATGGTGAAGGTGTACAACACCCAGGACATATGGTCCAGGTGTACAACACCCAGGACATATGGTGAAGGTGTACAACACCCAGGACATATGGTCCAGGTGTACAACACCCAGGACATATGGTCCAGGTGTACAACACCCAGGACATATGGTGAAGGTGTACAACACCCAGGACATATGGTGAAGGTGTACAACACCCAGGACATATGGTGAAGGTGTACAACACCCAGGACATATGGTCCAGGTGTACAACACCCAGGACATATGGTGAAGGTGTACAACACCCAGGACATATGGTGAAGGTGTACAACACCCAGGACATATGGTGAAGGTGTACAACACCCAGGACATATGGTGAAGGTGTACAACACCCAGGACATATGGTGAAGGTGTACAACACCCAGGACATATGGTCCAGGTGTACAACACCCAGGACATATGGTGAAGGTGTACAACACCCAGGACATATGGTGAAGGTGTACAACACCCAGGACATATGGTCCAGGTGTACAACACCCAGGACATATGGTGAAGGTGTACAACACCCAGGACATATGGTGAAGGTGTACAACACCCAGGACATATGGTGAAGGTGTACAACACCCAGGACATATGGTCCAGGTGTACAACACCCAGGACATATGGTGAAGGTGTACAACACCCAGGACATATGGTGAAGGTGTACAACACCCAGGACATATGGTCCAGGTGTACAACACCCAGGACATATGGTGAAGGTGTACAACACCCAGGACATATGATCCAGGTGTACAACACCCAGGACATATGGTGAAGGTGTACAACACCCAGGACATATGGTCCAGGTGTACAACACCCAGGACATATGGTCCAGGTGTACAACACCCAGGACATATGGTGAAGGTGTACAACACCCAGGACATATGGTGAAGGTGTACAACACCCAGGACATATGGTGAAGGTGTACAACACCCAGGACATATGGTGAAGGTGTACAACACCCAGGACATATGGTCCAGGTGTACAACACCCAGGACATATGGTGAAGGTGTACAACACCCAGGACATATGGTGAAGGTGTACAACACCCAGGACATATGGTCCAGGTGTACAACACCCAGGACATATGGTGAAGGTGTACAACACCCAGGACATATGGTCCAGGTGTACAACACCCAGGACATATGGTCCAGGTGTACAACACCCAGGACATATGGTGAAGGTGTACAACACCCAGGACATATGGTGAAGGTGTACAACACCCAGGACATATGGTGAAGGTGTACAACACCCAGGACATATGGTCCAGGTGTACAACACCCAGGACATATGGTGAAGGTGTACAACACCCAGGACATATGGTGAAGGTGTACAACACCCAGGACATATGGTGAAGGTGTACAACACCCAGGACATATGGTGAAGGTGTACAACACCCAGGACATATGGTGAAGGTGTACAACACCCAGGACATATGGTCCAGGTGTACAACACCCAGGACATATGGTGAAGGTGTACAACACCCAGGACATATGGTGAAGGTGTACAACACCCAGGACATATGGTCCAGGTGTACAACACCCAGGACATATGGTGAAGGTGTACAACACCCAGGACATATGGTGAAGGTGTACAACACCCAGGACATATGGTCCAGGTGTACAACACCCAGGACATATGGTGAAGGTGTACAACACCCAGGACATATGGTGAAGGTGTACAACACCCAGGACATATGGTCCAGGTGTACAACACCCAGGACATATGGTGAAGGTGTACAACACCCAGGACATATGATCCAGGTGTACAACACCCAGGACATATGGTGAAGGTGTACAACACCCAGGACATATGGTCCAGGTGTACAACACCCAGGACATATGGTCCAGGTGTACAACACCCAGGACATATGGTGAAGGTGTACAACACCCAGGACATATGGTGAAGGTGTACAACACCCAGGACATATGGTGAAGGTGTACAACACCCAGGACATATGGTGAAGGTGTACAACACCCAGGACATATGGTCCAGGTGTACAACACCCAGGACATATGGTGAAGGTGTACAACACCCAGGACATATGGTGAAGGTGTACAACACCCAGGACATATGGTCCAGGTGTACAACACCCAGGACATATGGTGAAGGTGTACAACACCCAGGACATATGGTGAAGGTGTACAACACCCAGGACATATGGTCCAGGTGTACAACACCCAGGACATATGGTGAAGGTGTACAACACCCAGGACATATGATCCAGGTGTACAACACCCAGGACATATGGTGAAGGTGTACAACACCCAGGACATATGGTCCAGGTGTACAACACCCAGGACATATGGTCCAGGTGTACAACACCCAGGACATATGGTGAAGGTGTACAACACCCAGGACATATGGTGAAGGTGTACAACACCCAGGACATATGGTGAAGGTGTACAACACCCAGGACATATGGTGAAGGTGTACAACACCCAGGACATATGGTGAAGGTGTACAACACCCAGGACATATGGTCCAGGTGTACAACACCCAGGACATATGGTGAAGGTGTACAACACCCAGGACATATGGTCCAGGTGTACAACACCCAGGACATATGGTGAAGGTGTACAACACCCAGGACATATGGTGAAGGTGTACAACACCCAGGAAATATGGTCCAGGTGTACAACACCCAGGACATATGGTGAAGGTGTACAACACCCAGGACATATGGTCCAGGTGTACAACACCCAGGACATATGGTGAAGGTGTACAACACCCAGGACATATGGTCCAGGTGTACAACACCCAGGACATATGGTCCAGGTGTACAACACCCAGGACATATGGTGAAGGTGTACAACACCCAGGACATATGGTCCAGGTGTACAACACCCAGGACATATGGTGAAGGTGTACAACACCCAGCACATATGGTGAAGGTGTACAACACCCAGGACATATGGTGAAGGTGTACAACACCCAGGACATATGGTCCAGGTGTACAACACCCAGGACATATGGTGAAGGTGTACAACACCCAGGACATATGGTGAAGGTGTACAACACCCAGGACATATGGTCCAGGTGTACAACACCCAGGACATATGGTGAAGGTGTACAACACCCAGGACATATGGTCCAGGTGTACAACACCCAGGACATATGGTGAAGGTGTACAACACCCAGGACATATGGTCCAGGTGTACAACACCCAGGACATATGGTCCAGGTGTACAACACCCAGGACATATGGTGAAGGTGTACAACACCCAGGACATATGGTCCAGGTGTACAACACCCAGGACATATGGTGAAGGTGTACAACACCCAGCACATATGGTGAAGGTGTACAACACCCAGGACATATGGTGAAGGTGTACAACACCCAGGACATATGGTCCAGGTGTACAACACCCAGGACATATGGTGAAGGTGTACAACACCCAGGACATATGGTCCAGGTGTACAACACCCAGGACATATGGTGAAGGTGTACAACACCCAGCACATATGGTGAAGGTGTACAACACCCAGGACATATGGTGAAGGTGTACAACACCCAGGACATATGGTCCAGGTGTACAACACCCAGCACATATGGTGAAGGTGTACAACACCCAGGACATATGGTCCAGGTGTACAACACCCAGGACATATGGTGAAGGTGTACAACACCCAGGACATATGGTCCAGGTGTACAACACCCAGGACATATGGTGAAGGTGTACAACACCCAGGACATATGGTGAAGGTGTACAACACCCAGGACATATGGTGAAGGTGTACAACACCCAGGACATATGGTCCAGGTGTACAACACCCAGGACATATGGTGAAGGTGTACAACACCCAGGACATATGGTCCAGGTGTACAACACCCAGGACATATGGTGAAGGTGTACAACACCCAGGACATATGGTGAAGGTGTACAACACCCAGGACATATATTCCAGGTGTACAACACCCAGGACATATGGTGAAGGTGTACAACACCCAGGACATATGGTGAAGGTGTACAACACCCAGGACATATGGTGAAGGTGTACAACACCCAGGACATATGGTGAAGGTGTACAACACCCAGGACATATGGTCCAGGTGTACAACACAAATACTTATACTGGTGGCCATTGTGGGGAAATGACATTTTAGATATTATGATGTCAACTTACAACATTTTTCAACTTTTTGTCCACCTCTTCTGGAGTCAGACGTTTGCTGACAGTGGTTTTCCTCAGTAACATATCACAGAAGTTGGCCAGGAGTTCTGGACATTTGGACTCAGGCTGAGATTTGGCACCCAGGCTACGACATGACCAATGAGAAAAGTTAGTTTGACTTGACCAATGATAAAAGTTAGTTTGACTTGACCAATGATAAAAGTTAGTTTGACTTGACCAATGAGAAAAGTTAGTTTGACTTGACCAATGATAAAAGTTAGTTTGACTTGACCAATGATAAAAGTTAGTTTGACATGACCAATGATAAAAGTTAGTTTGACTTGAATTGATTGATAAAAGTTAGTTTGACTTGACTAATGATAAAAGTTTGACATGACCAATGATAAAAGTTAGTTTGACTTGACCAATGATAAAAGTTAGCTTGACTTGACCACTGATAAAAGTTAGTTTGACTTGACCAATGAGAAAAGTTAGTTTGACTTGACTAATGATAAAAGTTTGACATGACCAATAATAAAAGTTAGTTTGACTTGACCAATGATAAAAGTTAGTTTTACTCATGGCAATTGTTGGAACACATAGGACTAGCACAGTAGCAGCACTTAGATGTTGTCTAGTAAATGTCACATTTGCATGTGGTGTCATCTTATCTTGGGTGTTTGGGCTTATAAAGTGTAGGACATGATAATACAATGAAAAGACTCACCCCTTATTTGGGCTTATAAAGTGTAGGACATGATAATACAATGAAAAGACTCACCCCTTATTTGGGCTTATAAAGTGTAGGACATGATAATACAATGAAAAGACTGGGTGTTTGGGCTTATAAAGTGTAGGACATGATAATACAATGAAAAGACTCACCCCTTATTTGGGCTTATAAAGTGTAGGACATGATAATACAATGAAAAGACTCATCCCTTATTTGGGCTTATAAAGTGTAGGACATGATAATACAATGAAAAGACTGGGTGTTTGGGCTTATAAAGTGTAGGACATGATAATACAATGAAAAGACTCACCCCTTATTTGGGCTTATAAAGTGTAGGACATGATAATACAATGAAAAGACTCACCCCTTATTTGGGCTTATAAAGTGTAGGACATGATAATACAATGAAAAGACTGGGTGTTTGGGCTTATAAAGTGTAGGACATGATAATACAATGAAAAGACTGGGTGTTTGGGCTTATAAAGTGTAGGACATGATAATACAATGAAAAGACTGGGTGTTTGGGCTTATAAAGTGTAGGACATGATAATACAATGAAAAGACTCACCCCTTATTTGGGCTTATAAAGTGTAGGACATGATAATACAATGAAAAGACTGGGTGTTTGGGCTTATAAAGTGTAGGACATATGATAATACAATGAAAAGACTCACCCCTTATTTGGGCTTATAAAGTGTAGGACATGATAATACAATGAAAAGACTCACCCCTTATTTGGGCTTATAAAGTGTAGGACATGATAATACAATGAAAAGACTCACCCCTTATTTGGGCTTATAAAGTGTAGGACATGATAATACAATGAAAAGACTGGGTGTTTGGGCTTATAAAGTGTAGGACATATGATAATACAATGAAAAGACTCACCCCTTATTTGGGCTTATAAAGTGTAGGACATGATAATACAATGAAAAGACTCACCCCTTATTTGGGCTTATAAAGTGTAGGACATGATAATACAATGAAAAGACTCACCCCTTATTTGGGCTTATAAAGTGTAGGACATGATAATACAATGAAAAGACTGGGTGTTTGGGCTTATAAAGTGTAGGACATGATATTACAATGAAAAGACTCACCCCTTATTTGGGCTTATAAAGTGTAGGACATGATAATACAATGAAAAGACTCACCCCTTATTTGGGCTTATAAAGTGTAGGACATGATAATACAATGAAAAGACTCACCCCTTATTTGGGCTTATAAAGTGTAGGACATGATAATACAATGAAAAGACTCACCCCTTATTTGGGCTTATAAAGTGTAGGACATGATATTACAATGAAAAGACTCACCCCTTATTTGGGCTTATAAAGTGTAGGACATGATAATACAATGAAAAGACTCACCCCTTATTTGGGCTTATAAAGTGTAGGACATGATAATACAATGAAAAGACTCACCCCTTATTTGGGCTTATAAAGTGTAGGACATGATATTACAATGAAAAGACTGGGTGTTTGGGCTTATAAAGTGTAGGACATGATAATACAATGAAAAGACTCACCCCTTATTTGGGCTTATAAAGTGTAGGACATGATAATACAATGAAAAGACTCACCCCTTATTTGGGCTTATAAAGTGTAGGACATGATATTACAATGAAAAGACTCACCCCTTATTTGGGCTTATAAAGTGTAGGACATGATAATACAATGAAAAGACTGGGTGTTTGGGCTTATAAAGTGTAGGACATATGATAATACAATGAAAAGACTCACCCCTTATTTGGGCTTATAAAGTGTAGGACATGATATTACAATGAAAAGACTCACCCCTTATTTGGGCTTATAAAGTGTAGGACATGATAATACAATGAAAAGACTCACCCCTTATTTGGGCTTATAAAGTGTAGGACATGATAATACAATGAAAAGACTCACCCCTTATTTGGGCTTATAAAGTGTAGGACATGATATTACAATGAAAAGACTCACCCCTTATTTGGGCTTATAAAGTGTAGGACATGATAATACAATGAAAAGACTCACCCCTTATTTGGGCTTATAAAGTGGAGGACATGATATTACAATGAAAAGACTCACCCCTTATTTGGGCTTATAAAGTGTAGGACATGATAATACAATGAAAAGACTCACCCCTTATTTGGGCTTATAAAGTGTAGGACATGATAATACAATGAAAAGACTCACCCCTTATTTGGGCTTATAAAGTGTAGGACATGATAATACAATGAAAAGACTCACCCCTTATTTGGGCTTATAAAGTGTAGGACATGATATTACAATGAAAAGACTCACCCCTTATTTGGGCTTATAAAGTGTAGGACATGATAATACAATGAAAAGACTCACCCCTTATTTGGGCTTATAAAGTGTAGGACATGATAATACAATGAAAAGACTGGGTGTTTGGGCTTATAAAGTGTAGGACATATGATAATACAATGAAAAGACTCACCCCTTATTTGGGCTTATAAAGTGTAGGACATGATAATACAATGAAAAGACTCACCCCTTATTTGGGCTTATAAAGTGTAGGACATGATAATACAATGAAAAGACTGGGTGTTTGGGCTTATAAAGTGTAGGACATGATAATACAATGAAAAGACTGGGTGTTTGGGCTTATAAAGTGTAGGACATGATAATACAATGAAAAGACTCACCCCTTATTTGGGCTTATAAAGTGTAGGACATGATAATACAATGAAAAGACTCATCCCTTATTTGGGCTTATAAAGTGTAGGACATGATAATACAATGAAAAGACTCATCCCTTATTTGGGCTTATAAAGTGTAGGACATGATAATACAATGAAAAGACTCATCCCTTATTTGGGCTTATAAAGTGTAGGACATGATAATACAATGAAAAGACTCACCCCTTATTTTTGACAGGTATCTCCAGTTTAAAGACTGAAATATCATTTACAACTGTTTTGTAGGCCTGAAAAACAGTGGACATGCTACAGCAATGGGCACAAATGTTCAATGCTACAGCAATGGGCACAAATGTTCAATGCTACAGCAATGGGCACAAATGTTCAATGCTACAGCAATGGACACAAATGTTCAATGCTACAGCAATGGGCACAAATGTTCAATGCTACAGCAATGGGCACAAATGTTCAATGCTACAGCAATGGGCACAAATGTTCAATGCTACAGCAATGGGCACAAATGTTCAATGCTACAGCAATGGGCACAAATGTTCAATGCTACAGCAATGGGCACAAATGTTCAATGCTACAGCAATGGGCACAAATGTTCAATGCTACAGCAATGGGCACAAATGTTCAATGCTACAGCAATGGGCACAAATGTTCAATGCTACAGCAAAGGGCACAAATGTTCAATGCTACAGCAATGGGCACAAATGTTCAATGCTACAGCAATTGGCACAAATGTTCAATGCTACAGCAATGGGCACAATGCAGCCATAATGGGCAGCACAAGAGATGGCAGAAGCAACCAACCTTATCTCTAGAGGTTAGAAACCTGGGGTCATCATTGAAAGCATCAGATACCAATCTACTAAATCTGTTAAACAGTTCTAAAAGTTGTTCTACATATTTTTCTGAATCCTGAAACAGACAGCATTGAATGGGTTATGTTGTACGTTTATGTTGTATGTTTTATGTTGTACAGTTTATGTTGTACAGTTTATGTTGTACTGTTTGTGTTGTACAGTTTATGTTGTACAGTTTATGTTGTACAGTTTATGTTGTACAGTTTATGTTGTACGGTTTATGTTGTACGGTTTATGTTGTATGGTTTATGTTGTACGGTTTATGTTGTATGCTTTATGTTGTAAGTTTTATGTTGTATGCTTTATGTTGTATGCTTTATGTTGTATGCTTTATGTTGTATGCTTTATGTTGTATGCTTTATGTTGTATGCTTTATGTTGTATGCTTTATGTTGTATGCTTTATGTTGTATGCTTTATGTTGTATGCCTTATGTTGTATGCTTTATGTTGTAAGCTTTATGTTGTATGCTTTATGTTGTATGCCTTATGTTGTATGCCTTATGTTGTATGCTTAATGTTGTATGCTTTATGTGTGTATGTGTTGTTCCACATGTCTTGGTACAAAGAAAGGGACTGACTGTTGTGATGGTTTCAGCTGCTGCCATCATGTCCGCCAGACCTTGACTGACTATATGTGTCTCCAGGTCCTGCAGCATGGGCTGGATGCCATCACTCACTCGGTCCATCAGGCTAAACATCAGCCGTAACTCTGTAACAGTCAAATAAATAACAGCTTTAATTCTAGAACAGTCAAATCAATAACAGCTTTAATTCTAGAACAGTCAAATCAACATCAGCTTTAATTCTAGAACAGTCAAATCAATAACAGCTTTAATTCTAGAACAGTCAAATCAATAACAGCTTTAATTCTAGAACAGTCAAATCAATAACAGCTTTAATTCTAGAACAGTCAAATCAATGACAGCCTTAATTCTAGAACAGTCAAATCAATGACAGCCTTAATTCTAGAACAGTCAAATCAATAACAGCTTTAATTCTAGAACAGTCAAATCAATGACAGCCTTAATTCTAGAACAGTCAAATCAATGACAGCCTTAATTCTAGAACAGTCAAATCAATGACAGCCTTAATTCTAGAACAGTCAAATCAATAACAGCTTTAATTCTAGAACAGTCAAATCAACATCAGCCGTAATTCTAGAACAGTCAAATCAACATCAAGCTTAGGTCTTTCTTACACCTGACCAAGATGTCCTCAGGTGTAAGAGAAAAAACTGATGGTAATCTTGGCTGAACCAGAGCCAGACATTAGCAACAACAAGAAAGTCCTAAGGGCTACAGGCTGAACAAGTGCCAGACATTTGCAACATCAAGAAAGTCCTAAGGGCTACAGGGGCTGAACCAGAGACATCAAGTATAACAAGTGGATTCCTACTTTCTGTTTCGTTATTTTTTATCATGCTGGCACACTCAGCTAGGATAGTGTCCTTAAAGCTTGTCACCAGCGCTCTAACACAGCAATCTGTTAACTAAAGAGAGAGATACATTAGATTCAACACACACACACACACCAGTAGATACAACACACACACACACCAGTAGATACAACACACACACCAATAGATACAACACACACACACCAGTAGATACAACACACACACCAGTAGATACAACACACACACCAATAGATACAACACACACACACACCAGTAGATACAACACACACACACCAGTAGATACAACACACACACCAATAGATACAAAAACACACACACACCAGTAGATACAACACACACACACACCAGTAGATACAACACACACACCAATAGATACAACACACACACACACACCAGTAGATACAACACACACACACACACCAGTAGATACAACACACACACACCAGTAGATACAACACACACACACCAGTAGATACAATACACACACCAGTAGATACAACACACACACACACACCAGTAGATACAACACACACACACCAGTAGATACAATACACACACACACACCAGTAGATACAACACACACACACACACCAGTAGATACAACACACACACCAGAAGATACAACACACACACACACCAGTAGATACAACACACACACACTAGTAGATACAACACACACACACCAGTAGATACAACACACACACACCAGTAGATACAACACACACACACACACCAGTAGATACAACACACACACACCAGTAGATACAACACACACACACCAGTAGATACAACACACACACACACACCAGTAGATACAACACACACACACACCAGTAGATACAACACGCACACACACCAGTAGATACAACACGCACACACACCAGTAGATACAACACACACACACACCAGTAGATACAACACACACACCAATAGATACAACACACACACACACACCAGTAGATACAACACACACACCAGTAGATACAACACACACACACCAGTAGATACAACACACACACACCAGTAGATACAACACACACACCAGTAGATACAACACACACACACCAGTAGATACAACACACACACCAGTAGATACAACACACACACACCAGTAGATACAGCACACACACCAGTAGATACAACACACACACACACACCAGTAGATACAACACACACACACCAGTAGATACAACACACACACCAGTAGATACAACACACACACACACACACCAGTAGATACAACACACACACCAGTAGATACAACACACACACACACACCAGTAGATACAACACACACACCAGTAGATACAACACACACACACACCAGTAGATACAACACACACACACACACCAGTAGATACAACACACACACACACACACCAGTAGATACAACACACACACACCAGTAGATACAACACACACACCAGTAGATACAACACACACACACCAGTAGATACAACACACACACCAGTAGATACAACACACACACACCAGTAGATACAACACACACACCAATAGATACAACACACACACACACACCAGTAGATACAACACACACACACACACCAGTAGATACAACACACACACACCAGTAGATACAACACACACACACCAGTAGATACAATACACACACACACCAGTAGATACAACACACACACACACCAGTAGATACAACACACACACACCAGTAGATACAACACACACACCAGTAGATACAATACACACACACACACCAGTAGATACAACACACACACACACCAGTAGATACAACACACACACACCAGTAGATACAACACACACACACACACCAGTAGATACAACACACACACCAGTAGATACAACACACACACACACCAGTAGATACAACACACACACACACACCAGTAGATACAACACACACACACACACCAGTAGATACAACACGCACACACACCAGTAGATACAACACGCACACACACCAGTAGATACAACACACACACACACACCAGTAGATACAACACACACACCAGTAGATACAACACACACACACCAGTAGATACAACACACACACCAGTAGATACAACACACACACACCAGTAGATACAACACACACACACACACCAGTAGATACAACACACACACACCAGTAGATACAACACACACACCAGTAGATACAACACACACACACACACCAGTAGATACAACACACACACCAGTAGATACAACACACACACACCAGTAGATACAACACACACACACCAGTAGATACAACACACACACACCAGTAGATACAACACACACACACCAGTAGATACAACACACACACCAGTAGATACAACACACACACACACACCAGTAGATACAACACACACACACACACACACCAGTAGATACAACACACACACACACCAGTAGATACAACACACACACCAGTAGATACAACACACACACACACACCAGTAGATACAACACACACACCAGTAGATACAACACACACACACACACCAGTAGATACAACACACACACCAGTAGATACAACACACACACACACCAGTAGATACAACACACACACAGACCAGTAGATACAACACACACACACACACACCAGTAGATACAACACACACACCAGTAGATACAACACACACACACCAGTAGATACAACACACACACCAGTAGATACAACACACACACACCAGTAGATACAACACACACACACACCAGTAGATACAACACACACACACACACCAGTAGATACAACACACACACCAGTAGATACAACACACACACCAGTAGATACAACACACACACACCAGTAGATACAACACACACACACACACACCAGTAGATACAACACACACACCAGTAGATACAACACACACACACACCAGTAGATATAACACACACACACACACCAGTAGATACAACACACACACACACACACCAGTAGATACAACACACACACACACACACACACACCAGTAGATACAACACACACACACACCAGTAGATACAACACACACACACCAGTAGATACAACACACACACCAGTAGATACAACACACACACCAGTAGATACAACACACACACACACCAGTAGATACAACACACACACCAGTAGATACAACACACACACACACACCAGTAGATACAACACACACACACACACACCAGTAGATACAACACACACACACACCAGTAGATACAACACACACACACCAGTAGATACAACACACACACCAGTAGATACAACACACACACCAATAGATACAACACACACACACCAGTAGATACAACACACACACACACACCAGTAGATACAACACACACACCAGTAGATACAACACACACACACACACCAGTAGATACAACACACACACACACACCAGTAGATACAACACACACACACACACCAGTAGATAAAACACACACACACACCAGTAGATACAACACACACACACCAGTAGATACAACACACACACACACCAGTAGATACAACACACACACCAGTAGATACAACACACACACACACCAGTAGATACAACACACACACCAGTAGATACAACACACACACACCAGTAGATACAATACACACACACACACGCCAGGAGACCATCAACACACACAAGACAATCTGCTCACACTGTTGACAGAGTTACAGCCATAGCCAGTCTCCAGGTAACGTTTAGCTCTTGCTTCCTCCTCTTTTAGTTTATTGTCAGCATACCGCATGTAATTCTGGACACCATTTTGTTCTAGATATGTCGGGGCATTTTGTTTGTAAAAATTCTCTGCTGCTTCGAGGTAAGCTTTCTCAAAGTTCTCACAGTAGATCTTCAGTTTGTCTTCTGTGTCAGAGCTAAGGTTCACTGGGGAAGACAAGCTCTCGTAAGATTCCCTGACTCCAATAACAAACTCACCATAGGATTCCCTGACTCCAATAACAAACTCACCATAGGATTCCCTGACTCCAATAACAAACTCACCATAGTATTCCCTGACTCCAATAACAAACTCACCATAGGATTCCCTGACTCCAATAACAAACTCACCATAGGATTCCCTGACTCCAATAACAAACTCACCATAAGATTCCCTGACTCCAATAACAAACTCACCATAGTATTCCCTGACTCCAATAACAAACTCACCATAGGATTCCCTGACTCCAATAACAAACTCACCATAGGATTCCCTGACTCCAATAACAAACTCACCATAGGATTCCCTGACTCCAATAACAAACTCACCATAGGATTCCCTGACTCCAATTACCAGCTGTGTATCAAAAGCTTCCCCATGGCGTTCTGCATGGACAAGTTTCATGGCACTGTACTGAAGCTTGTCTTTGATGTTAGAGAAAATGCTGGAGTTCCAACTGTCCAGCATCAGCTAATGTATCAGTTAGTGAGGAAATGTATCAGATAGTGAGGAAATGTATCAGATAGTGAGGAAATGTATCAGATAGTGAGGAAATGTATCAGTTAGTGAGGAAATGTATCAGATAGTGAGGAAATGTATCAGATAGTGAGGAAATGAATCAGATAGTGAGGAAATGTATCAGATAGTGAGGAAATGTATCAGATAGTGAGGAAATGTATCAGATAGTGAGGAAATGTATCAGATAGTGAGGAAATGTATCAGATAGTGAGGAAATGTATCAGATAGTGAGGAAATGTATCAGATAGTGAGGAAATGTATCAGATAGTGAGGAAATGTATCAGATAGTGAGGAAATGTATCAGATAGTGAGGAAATGAATCAGATAGTGAGGAAATGTATCAGATAGTGAGGAAATGTATCAGATAGTGAGGAAATGTATCAGATAGTGAGGAAATGTATCAGATAGTGAGGAAATGTATCAGATAGTGAGGAAATGTATCAGATAGTGAGGAAATGTATCAGATAGTGAGGAAATGTATCAGATAGTGAGGAAATGTATCAGATAGTGAGGAAATGAATCAGATAGTGAGGAAATGTATCAGATAGTGAGGAAATGTATCAGATAGTGAGGAAATGTATCAGATAGTGAGGAAATGAATCAGATAGTGAGGAAATGTATCACATAGTGAGGAAATGTATCAGATAGTGAGGAAATGTATCAGATAGTGAGGAAATGTATCAGATAGTGAGGAAATGTATCAGATAGTGAGGAAATGAATCAGATAGTGAGGAAATGTATCAGATAGTGAGGAAATGTATCAGATAGTGAGGAAATGTATCAGATAGTGAGGAAATGTATCAGATAGTGAGGAAATGTATCAGATAGTGAGGAAATGTATCAGATAGTGAGGAAATGTATCAGATAGTGAGGAAATGTATCAGATAGTGAGGAAATGTATCAGATAGTGAGGAAATGTATCAGATAGTGAGGAAATGTATCAGATAGTGAGGAAATGTATCAGATAGTGAGGAAATGTATTAGATAGTGAGGAAATGAATCAGATAGTGAGGAAATGTATCAGATAGTGAGGAAATGTATCAGATAGTGAGGAAATGTATCAGATAGTGAGGAAATGTATCAGATAGTGAGGAAATGTATCAGATAGTGAGGAAATGTATCAGATAGTGAGGAAATGTATCAGATAGTGAGGAAATGTATCAGATAGTGAGGAAATGAATCAGATAGTGAGGAAATGTATCAGATAGTGAGGAAATGTATCAGATAGTGAGGAAATGTATCAGATAGTGAGGAAATGTATCAGATAGTGAGGAAATGTATCAGATAGTGAGGAAATGTATCAGATAGTGAGGAAATGTATCAGATAGTGAGGAAATGTATCAGATAGTGAGGAAATGTATCAGATAGTGAGGAAATGTATCAGATAGTGAGGAAATGAATCAGATAGTGAGGAAATGTATCAGATAGTGAGGAAATGTATCAGATAGTGAGGAAATGTATCAGATAGTGAGGAAATGAATCAGATAGTGAGGAAATGTATCACATAGTGAGGAAATGTATCAGATAGTGAGGAAATGTATCAGATAGTGAGGAAATGTATCAGATAGTGAGGAAATGTATCAGATAGTGAGGAAATGTATCAGATAGTGAGGAAATGAATCAGATAGTGAGGAAATGTATCAGATAGTGAGGAAATGAATCAGATAGTGAGGAAATGAATCAGATAGTGAGGAAATGTATCACATAGTGAGGAAATGTATCAGATAGTGAGGAAATGTATCAGATAGTGAGGAAATGTATCAGATAGTGAGGAAATGTATCAGATAGTGAGGAAATGTATCAGATAGTGAGGAAATGAATCAGATAGTGAGGAAATGTATCAGATAGTGAGGAAATGTATCAGATAGTGAGGAAATGTATCAGATAGTGAGGAAATGAATCAGATAGTGAGGAAATGTATCACATAGTGAGGAAATGTATCAGATAGTGAGGAAATGTATCAGATAGTGAGGAAATGTATCAGATAGTGAGGAAATGTATCAGATAGTGAGGAAATGTATCAGATAGTGAGGAAATGAATCAGATAGTGAGGAAATGTATCAGATAGTGAGGAAATGTATCAGATAGTGAGGAAATGTATCAGATAGTGAGGAAATGTATCAGATAGTGAGGAAATGTATCAGATAGTGAGGAAATGTATCAGATAGTGAGGAAATGTATCAGATAGTGAGGAAATGTATCAGATAGTGAGGAAATGTATCAGATAGTGAGGAAATGTATCAGATAGTGAGGAAATGTATCAGATAGTGAGGAAATGTATCAGATAGTGAGGAAATGTATCAGATAGTGAGGAAATGTATCAGATAGTGAGGAAATGTATCAGATAGTGAGGAAATGTATCAGATAGTGAGGAAATGTATCAGATAGTGAGGAAATGTATCAGATAGTGAGGAAATGTATCAGATAGTGAGGAAATGTATCAGATAGTGAGGAAATGTATCAGATAGTGAGGAAATGTATCAGATAGTGAGGAAATGTATCAGATAGTGAGGAAATGTATCAGATAGTGAGGAAATGTATCAGATAGTGAGGAAATGTATCAGATAGTGAGGAAATGTATCAGATAGTGAGGAAATGTATCAGATAGTGAGGAAATGTATCAGATAGTGAGGAAATGTATCAGATAGTGAGGAAATGTATCAGATAGTGAGGAAATGTATCAGATAGTGAGGAAATGTATCAGATAGTGAGGAAATGTATCAGATAGTGAGGAAATGTATCAGATAGTGAGGAAATGTATCAGATAGTGAGGAAATGTATCAGATAGTGAGGAAATGTATCAGATAGTGAGGAAATGAATCAGATAGTGAGGAAATGTATCAGATAGTGAGGAAATGTATCAGATAGTGAGGAAATGTATCAGATAGTGAGGAAATGTATCAGATAGTGAGGAAATGAATCAGATAGTGAGGAAATGAATCAGATAGTGAGGAAATGAATCAGATAGTGAGGAAATGAATCAGATAGTGAGGAAATGTATCAGATAGTGAGGAAATGTATCAGATAGTGAGGAAATGTATCAGATAGTGAGGAAATGAATCAGATAGTGAGGAAATGTATCAGATAGTGAGGAAATGTATCAGATAGTGAGGAAATGTATCAGATAGTGAGGAAATGTATCAGATAGTGAGGAAATTAATGTCCACTACATGAATGTCTAACTGTGGAGACCCACTACATGAATGTCCACTACATGAATGTCTAATTGTGGAGACCCACAATGATAAAAAACCCACCTTCCTGACCAGGCTTTCATCTGGTGCTTGAGACTTTTTGGGCATACTGCTGTGTAACTTTCCCATCAAATTGGCCTCCAGCTGAGTGAAGGGTTTGGGCAGGTAGTCACACTGGGTAAAAAATTTTCCCCACTCGGCTATGTAGGCACGGAGTAAAGCTGATTCTTCTTTGTGCTGAAGTACTCTCTAAAGGAAGAAAATCTGATATCAAGACTTCTTTGTGCTGCAGTACTCTCTAAAGGAAGAAAATCTGATATCAAGACTACATAGGTTGCTGTCCCCAGCTAGTAAGTTATCTCTCCTACATAGGTTGCTGTCCCCAGCTATCAAGTTATCTCTCCTACATAGGTTGCTGTCCCCAGCTAGTAAGTTATCTCTCCTACATAGGTTGCTGTCCCCAGCTAGTAAGTTATCTCTCCTACATAGGTTGCTGTCCCCCAGCTAGTAAGTTATCTCTCCTACATAGGTTGCTGTCCCCAGCTATCAAGTTATCTCTCCTACATAGGTTCCTGTCCCCAGCTAGTAAGTTATCTCTCCTACATAGGTTGCTGTCCCCCAGCTAGTAAGTTATCTCTCCTACATAGGTTGCTGCCCCAGCTATCAAGTTATCTCTCCTACATAGGTTGCTGTCCCCAGCTAGTAAGTTATCTCTCCTACATAGGTTGCTGTCCCCAGCTATCAAGTTATCTCTCCTACATAGGTTGCTGCCCCAGCTAGTAAGTTATCTCTCCTACATAGGTTGCTGTCCCCAGCTAGTAAGTTATCTCTCCTACATAGGTTGCTGTCCCCAGCTATCAAGTTATCTCTCCTACATAGGTTGCTGTCCCCAGCTAGTAAGTTATCTCTCCTACATAGGTTGCTGTCCCCAGCTAGTAAGTTATCTCTCCTACATAGGTTGCTGTCCCCAGCTATCAAGTTATCTCTCCTACATAGGTTGCTGTCCCCAGCTATCAAGTTATCTCTCCTACATAGGTTGCTGTCCCCAGCTAGTAAGTTATCTCTCCTACATAGGTTGCTGTCCCCAGCTAGTAAGTTATCTCTCCTACATAGGTTGCTGTCCCCAGCTAGTAAGTTATCTCTCCTACATAGGTTGCTGTCCCCAGCTAGTAAGTTATCTCTCCTACATAGGTTGCTGTCCCCAGCTATCAAGTTATCTCTCCTACATAGGTTGCTGTCCCCCAGCTAGTAAGTTATCTCTCCTACATAGGTTGCTGTCCCCAGCTAGTAAGTTATCTCTCCTACATAGGTTGCTGTCCCCAGCTATCAAGTTATCTCTCCTACATAGGTTGCTGTCCCCAGCTATCAAGTTATCTCTCCTACATAGGTTGCTGTCCCCAGCTATCAAGTTATCTCTCCTACATAGGTTGCTGTCCCCAGCTATCAAGTTATCTCTCCTACATAGGTTGCTGTCCCCAGCTATCAAGTTATCTCTTCTACATAGGTTGCTGTCCCCAGCTAGTAAGTTATCTCTCCTACATAGGTTGCTGTCCCCAGCTAGTAAGTTATCTCTCCTACATAGGCTGCAGACCAAAGAAATAGATATGAATCTAAGAACAGCTAGATAAACTTTGCACTTACACTCTGTGCTTGCTTGATAAATTCAAGAATATCTTTCTCTAAGGCCTCATAGATATGAGTAGGGCCTTCTTTCTCATCCCACATACAAACTGAGTGGACATACCTACAAACATAGTAAAAGCATAGTGAATATACCTACAAACATGGAGTACAAGCATAGTGAATATATCTACAAACATGGAGTACAAACAGTGGATATACCTACAAACATGGAGTACAAACATAGTGGATATACCTACAAACATGGAGTACAAACATAGTGGATATACCTACAAACATGGAGTACAAACAGTGGATATACCTACAAACATGGAGTACAAACAGTGGATATACCTACAAACATGGAGTACAAACATAGTGAATATACATACAAACATGGAGTACAAGCATAGTGAATATATCTACAAACATGGAGTACAAACATAGTGGATATACCTACAAACATGGAGTACAAACAGTGGATATACCTACATACCATGACAAATGATCACAGATAAAATATCCCAGACAAAAGATATCAGAACAAAAGATATCAGGACAAAAGATATCAGGACAAAAGATATCAGAACAAAAGATATCCCAGACAAAAGATATCAGGACAAAAGATATCCCAGACAAAAGATATCAGGACAAAAGATATCCCAGACAAAAGATATCAGGACAAAAGATATCCCAGACAAAAGATATCAGGACAAAAGATATCCCAGACAAAAGATATCAGGACAAAAGATATCAGAACAAAAGATATCAGGACAAAAGATATCAGGACATAAAATATCCCAGACAAAAGATATCAGGACAAAAGATATCAGGACAAAAGATATCAGAACAAAAGATATCAGGACAAAAGATATCAGAACAAAAGATATCAGGACAAAAGATATCAGGACATAAAATATCCCAGACAAAAGATATCAGGACAAAAGATATCCCAGACAAAAGATATCCCAGACAAAAGATATCAGGACAAAAGATATCAGGACAAAAGATATCCCAGACAAAAGATATCCCAGACAAAAGATATCAGGACAAAAGATATCAGAACAAAAGATATCAGGACAAAAGATATCAGGACAAAAGATATCAGGACAAAAGATATCCCAGACAAAAGATATCAGGACAAAAGATATCCCAGACAAAAGATATCCCAGACAAAAGATATCAGGACATAAAATATCCCAGACAAAAGATATCAGGACAAAAGATATCCCAGACAAAAGATATCAGGACAAAAGATATCCCAGACAAAAGATATCCCAGACAAAAGATATCAGGACATAAAATATCCCAGACAAAAGATATCAGGACATAAAATATCCCAGACAAAAGATATCCCAGACAAAAGATATCAGGACAAAAGATATCAGGACAAAAGATATCAGGACAAAAGATATCCCAGACAAAAGATATCAGGACAAAAGATATCCCAGACAAAAGATATCAGGACATAAAATATCCCAGACAAAAGATATCAGGACAAAAGATATCAGGACAAAAGATATCAGGACAAAAGATATCCCAGACAAAAGATATCAGGACATAAAATATCCCAGACAAAAGATATCCCAGACAAAAGATATCAGGACATAAAATATCCCAGACAAAAGATATCAGGACAAAAGATATCAGGACAAAAGATATCAGGACAAAATATCTCAAGTCAAAATATGTTGAGTATTTGGATGGTTATAATTGATTTTAGCATTTTAAAAAATGTATTGTCTTATGGATTTTACATACTTTTTTACACATAATAATTGTTTGTCAATAGTTATATTTCAGTCACACCATAGTGATCAGGTGACACATGCTTAAAGACAGCTGTCATTTCAGAGCAAAGTTATTCATAGTGTGCCAGCTAAGCACTACAAGTGGTGATTAACAAGCTATGGCCTCTTTCTTTACATCACAGAGGGGCATCACATTGAAAATGATTTCATGTGTTTTGACTTAATTTTATTTGTTTGATGCAGTATTATGTGATTTCATGTGTTTTGACTTAATTTTATTTATTTGATGCAGCATTATGTCTAATACTTTTATACACAATGCTATTTTTTTTTAATTATGTGAACTTAGTCTTCTGGTTTGTTGAATAAGTTGTAGTTATTCGTGTAGTAGGCCTATACCTCACAACAGGTGTGTGAAAATAAAATACATAAAATCCATATGACATTCAATTTAAAAAATATTAAAATCGACTAAAAAAATATCCTAAAAACTATAAATATTTAACTTTGAGATTTTTGTCTGAGCTCATTTGTCAATGATATCATTTGTCCTTTTATATTTTGTCTTTGAGATAATTTGTCCTGAGATGATTTTCAGCTAGTAGAATGTAAACACCACCAGCTAGAAGAATGTAAACACCACCAGCTAGAAGAATGTAAACACCACCAGCTAGAAGAATGTTAACACCACCAGCTAGAAGAATGTAAACACCACCAGCTAGAAGAATGTAAACACCACCAGCTAGAAGAATGTAAACACCACAAGCTACAAAAATGTAAACACCACAAGCTAGAAGAATGTTAACACCACCAGCTAGAAGAATGTAAACACCACCAGCTAGAAGAATGTAAACACCACCAGCTAGAAGAATGTAAACACCACAAGCTACAAGAATGTAAACACCACAAGCTAGAAGAATGTAAACACCACCAGCTAGAAGAATGTAAACACCACCACCTAGAAGAATGTAAACACCACCAGCTAGAAGAATGTAAACACCACCAGCTAGAAGAATGTAAACACCACCAGCTAGAAGAATGTAAACACCACCAGCTAGAAGAATGTAAACACCACCAGCTAGAAGAATGTAAACACCACCAGCTAGAAGAATGTAAACACCACCCTCTAGAAGAATGTAAACACCACCACCTAGAAGAATGTAAACACCACCAGCTAGAAGAATGTAAACACCACCAACTAGAAGAATGTAAACACCACCAGCTAGAAGAATGTAAACACCACCAGCTAGAAGAATGTAAACACCACCAGCTAGAAGAATGTAAACACCACCAGCTAGAAGAATGTAAACACCACCAACTAGAAGAATGTAAACACCACCAGCTAGAAGAATGTAAACACCACCAACTGAATGTAAACACCACCAACTAGAAGAATGTAAACACCACAAGCTAGAAGAATATAAACACCACCAGCTAGAAGAATGTAAACACCACCAGCTAGAAGAATGTAAACACCACCAGCTAGAAGAATGTAAACACCACAAACTAAATGAAAACACCACCAGCTAGAAGAATGTAAACACCACCAGCTAGAAGAATGTAAACACCACCAACTAGAAGAATGTAAACACCACCAGCTAGAAGAATGTAAACACCACCAACTAGAAGAATGTAAACACCACCAACTAGAAGAATGTAAACACCACCAGCTAGAAGAATGTAAACACCACCAGCTAGAAGAATGTAAACACCACCAGCTAGAAGAATGTAAACACCACCAGCTAGAAGAATGTAAACACCACCAACTAGAAGAATGTAAACACAACCAGCTAGAAGAATGTAAACACCACCAACTGAATGTAAACACCACCAACTAGAAGAATGTAAACACCACAAGCTAGAAGAATATAAACACCACCAGCTAGAAGAATGTAAACACCACCAGCTAGAAGAATGTAAACACCACCAGCTAGAAGAATGTAAACACCACCAACTAAATGAAAACACCACCAGCTAGAAGAATGTAAACACCACCAGCTAGAAGAATGTAAACACCACCAACTAGAAGAATGTAAACACCACCAGCTAGAAGAATGTAAACACCACAAGCTACAAGAATGTAAACACCACAAGCTAGAAGAATGTAAACACCACCAGCTAGAAGAATGTAAACACCACCACCTAGAAGAATGTAAACACCACCAGCTAGAAGAATGTAAACACCACCAGCTAGAAGAATGTAAACACCACCAGCTAGAAGAATGTAAACACCACCAGCTAGAAGAATGTAAACACCACCAGCTAGAAGAATGTAAACACCACCAACTGAATGTAAACACCACCAACTAGAAGAATGTAAACACCACCAGCTAGAAGAATGTAAACACCACCAGCTAGAAGAATGTAAACACCACCAGCTAGAAGAATGTAAACACCACCAGCTAGAAGAATGTAAACACCACCAGCTAGAAGAATGTAAACACCACCAACTAGAAGAATGTAAACACCACCAGCTAGAAGAATGTAAACACCACCAGCTAGAAGAATGTAAACACCACCAACTAGAAGAATGTAAACACCACCAGCTAGAAGAATGTAAACACCACCAGCTAGAAGAATGTAAACACCACCAGCTAGAAGAATGTAAACACCACCAGCTAGAAGAATGTAAACACCACCAACTAAATGAAAACACCACCAGCTAGAAGAATGTAAACACCACAAGCTACAAGAATGTAAACACCACCAACTGAATGTAAACACCACCAACTAGAAGAATGTAAACACCACAAGCTAGAAGAATGTAAACACCACCAGCTAGAAGAATGTAAACACCACCAGCTAGAAGAATGTAAACACCACCAACTGAATGTAAACACCACCAGCTAGAAGAATGTAAACACCACCAGCTAGAAGAATGTAAACACCACCAACTGAATGTAAACACCACCAACTAGAAGAATGTAAACACCACCAGCTAGAAGAATGTAAACACCACCAGCTAGAAGAATGTAAACACCACCAGCTAGAAGAATGTAAACACCACCAGCTAGAAGAATGTAAACACCACCAGCTAGAAGAATGTAAACACCACCAACTAGAAGAATGTAAACACCACAAGCTAGAAGAATGTAAACACCACCAGCTAGAAGAATGTAAACACCACCAGCTAGAAGAATGTAAACACCACCAGCTAGAAGAATGTAAACACCACCAACTAAATGAAAACACCACCAGCTAGAAGAATGTAAACACCACCAGCTAGAAGAATGTAAACACCACCAACTAGAAGAATGTAAACACCACCAGCTAGAAGAATGTAAACACCACAAGCTACAAGAATGTAAACACCACAAGCTAGAAGAATGTAAACACCACCAGCTAGAAGAATGTAAACACCACCACCTAGAAGAATGTAAACACCACCAGCTAGAAGAATGTAAACACCACCAGCTAGAAGAATGTAAACACCACCAGCTAGAAGAATGTAAACACCACCAGCTAGAAGAATGTAAACACCACCAGCTAGAAGAATGTAAACACCACCAGCTAGAAGAATGTAAACACCACCAGCTAGAAGAATGTAAACACCACCAGCTAGAAGAATGTAAACACCACCAACTAGAAGAATGTAAACACCACCAGCTAGAAGAATGTAAACACCACCAGCTAGAAGAATGTAAACACCACCAACTAGAAGAATGTAAACACCACCTGCTAGAAGAATGTAAACACCACCAGCTAGAAGAATGTAAACACCACCAGCTAGAAGAATGTAAACACCACCAGCTAGAAGAATGTAAACACCACCAGCTAGAAGAATGTAAACACCACCAGCTAGAAGAATGTAAACACCACCAGCTAGAAGAATGTAAACACCACCACCTAGAAGAATGTAAACACCACCAGCTAGAAGAATGTAAACACCACCAGCTAGAAGAATGTAAACACCACCAGCTAGAAGAATGTAAACACCACCAGCTAGAAGAATGTAAACACCACCAGCTAGAAGAATGTAAACACCACCAGCTAGAAGAATGTAAACACCACCAGCTAGAAGAATGTAAACACCACCAACTAGAAGAATGTAAACACCACCAGCTAGAAGAATGTAAACACCACCAGCTAGAAGAATGTAAACACCACCAACTAGAAGAATGTAAACACCACCAGCTAGAAGAATGTAAACACCACCAGCTAGAAGAATGTAAACACCACCAGCTAGAAGAATGTAAACACCACCAGCTAGAAGAATGTAAACACCACCAGCTAGAAGAATGTAAACACCACCAGCTAGAAGAATGTAAACACCACCAGCTAGAAGAATGTAAACACCACCAGCTACAAGAATGTAAACACCACCAGCTAGAAGAATGTAAACACCACCAGCTAGAAGAATGTAAACACCACCAACTGAATGTAAACACCACCAACTGAATGTAAACACCACCAGCTAGAAGAATGTAAACACCACCAACTAAATGAAAACACCACCAGCTAGAAGAATGTAAACACCACCAGCTAGAAGAATGTAAACACCACCAACTAGAAGAATGTAAACACCACCAGCTAGAAGAATGTAAACACCACAAGCTACAAGAATGTAAACACCACAAGCTAGAAGAATGTAAACACCACCAGCTAGAAGAATGTAAACACCACCACCTAGAAGAATGTAAACACCACCAGCTAGAAGAATGTAAACACCACCAGCTAGAAGAATGTAAACACCACCAGCTAGAAGAATGTAAACACCACCAGCTAGAAGAATGTAAACACCACCAGCTAGAAGAATGTAAACACCACCAGCTAGAAGAATGTAAACACCACCAGCTAGAAGAATGTAAACACCACCAGCTAGAAGAATGTAAACACCACCAACTAGAAGAATGTAAACACCACCAGCTAGAAGAATGTAAACACCACCAGCTAGAAGAATGTAAACACCACCAACTAGAAGAATGTAAACACCACCAGCTAGAAGAATGTAAACACCACCAGCTAGAAGAATGTAAACACCACCAGCTAGAAGAATGTAAACACCACCAGCTAGAAGAATGTAAACACCACCAGCTAGAAGAATGTAAACACCACCAGCTAGAAGAATGTAAACACCACCACCTAGAAGAATGTAAACACCACCAGCTAGAAGAATGTAAACACCACCAGCTAGAAGAATGTAAACACCACCAGCTAGAAGAATGTAAACACCACCAGCTAGAAGAATGTAAACACCACCAGCTAGAAGAATGTAAACACCACCAGCTAGAAGAATGTAAACACCACCAGCTAGAAGAATGTAAACACCACCAACTAGAAGAATGTAAACACCACCAACTAGAAGAATGTAAACACCACCAGCTAGAAGAATGTAAACACCACCAGCTAGAAGAATGTAAACACCACCAACTAGAAGAATGTAAACACCACCAGCTAGAAGAATGTAAACACCACCAGCTAGAAGAATGTAAACACCACCAGCTATAAGAATGTAAACACCACCAGCTAGAAGAATGTAAACACCACCAGCTAGAAGAATGTAAACACCACCAGCTAGAAGAATGTAAACACCACCAGCTACAAGAATGTAAACACCACCAGCTAGAAGAATGTAAACACCACCAGCTAGAAGAATGTAAACACCACCAACTGAATGTAAACACCACCAACTGAATGTAAACACCACCAGCTAGAAGAATGTAAACACCACCAACTGAATGTAAACACCACCAGCTAGAAGAATGTAAACACCACCAGCTAGAAGAATGTAAACACCACCAGCTAGAAGAATGTAAACACCACCAGCTAGAAGAATGTAAACACCACCAGCTACAAGAATGTAAACACCACCAGCTAGAAGAATGTAAACACCACCAACTAAATGAAAACTTACCAAAACAAATCATGCCACTCCTGTCTGGGGACAGATTCTTGACGTAGAAGCTTCAGAACAGTAGGTCTCATGGACGGCCATTTTTCATCAAACTTACACTGTCCTTGTTGCTAAGAAAAGGAGTTTTTAACTGATAGAACTGATTGATAGAGGTATTGCACTTAACTTTTAGAGGTGCTTTCTTGTTTTAGAAAAAACAATAAGCTACATGTAATTGTTAAGTCATAATTTTCAAATAAATTTTGCAACTAATGTATTAATGGCAGTGTATTTTAATCAAATCCAATCTATCTTACAGAATATATATACTATTTTATTTTAATCTAATTCAACACATACAATTTTATGAATCTAATCCACCTGTATAGCCCACATAACAAGTTTTATGTTAATCTAATTTAAAAAAAACTATCATAACAAGTTTTATGTTAATCTAATTTAAAAAAAACTATCATAGTAAATACAGTTTGCCATGAAAATTTAAGGGGGGGAAGGCAGTGTCTCTTCCAGTCTTTTTTCTCAAGGAGACGGGACGGGATGGGAGGGAGGGGGGACAATGGTTAAAATATATATTTTCTATATATATTCCATCGGTAGACTTTCTTTGGGGGGCAGAGCCTTGCCATTTGGAGTTTCATACTATACTCATAGATTATAGCCATGTGGAAATCTTAACTAACATGAACATAGTTTTCAAGAATTTAAAAAGCTAAATAAATAATCAAGGTATAATCAAATTTATTTTTCTTAAGTTCCGATAGTGTTTTCCTAATATTTGAGAGTGTTTTGTTTGTGTTTATATAACACTACAGTTTATAAGCCAGTACATAAGTAAAGTGAAATGAACATGAAACATAATATAGATCTATAGGCTGCTTGGTTCACACCTTGCAGGTTGGTTTGTTTATATCCATCTCAAAATTAGAAACACATTTTTAAGATGGTGGCCTTTGTTTATATCCATCTCAAAACTAGAAACACATTACTAAGATGGTACAGGGATAAAGCTACTCATTTTTTTGAAGTCTTTAAAACCATCTTCTGTAATCTCACGATACAGCGTCAGAAATTATCCGGTAATGTTTATTGAGTTTCGTTAACATTTGTTGCTGTAAACCATAGTTTATTTGACCATTGAAATAAAAATAAGGTAAAGTGCATTGAATTAATGTTTTAACTTAATTTAAAGTTTAATTGAAAGAAAATTATCAACAATTAGTAGATCAAAATATTAATAATAAAGTCGCATGTATTAATGAATGTTTTTTAAAGAAACACAGAAAAGAAATTGGAGAAAATTTGCGACAACTAGATTCTAGATCTAAGTCTAGTGAAATAAGACGATTAGATTTACTTAAGTCTAAAGTAGTAAGAAGGACTAGAACAATGTTTAGTAGCAGCAATAATTAGCATATACACTTAAAATTAGAAATACAAAATAATTAGCAAAACAGTATTTAAAATGCAACTAAAATCAATGATTCAATCTATGCACATTTTAAAACATTGTGTATTAAAAATAATATGGCGCCAAATAAATGATGGTTTACAGTATTTCCGGTGGTTTCAGGAATGGAGTGACAGATCAAGCCATGGTTTTACTGTTTTTTACTGCTTTTCCATTCCGGAATCTTCTTTCTATTTCTTCTTCGTACTTAATTTTTGGTGTTGGAAGGGATCGAGCCTTATCTGCAGGAGGGTTTGAACTCGAGACTTTTTCGAATTTATCAACCATGAGCTTTTTGCCGACACGACCATGCCTCCATCACAATTAAAGATACGTGTCAACTGGTTATGTGCCATTGAGGCCATTGACTCCGATTTCAGCCTGCTTTTCTTTTTGGATTTGCTTCCATAGCCTTTGTCCGACCAAGAACAAACTACAAGGCAGCAGTTGTTTGATTTTGGAGTTGTCTCTACCAGAAGAGTGGCTGTCCCAAGCTAAAAAGCCTCAATATATAGTGATTTTACCTCACCATTTTAGTAAGCGCATGAGCCATGAAATGGCACGAAAACAACAAACCCAGAAACTTTTAATCGAACGGCCGGGGGAATTTTTATACCATTATCCGATAATAAAATCTTCTTTAAAAAAGGGGTGTTAGGTTACTAGAGTGAAGTTCCACAACCGATCACACATAGCGGAAAATTCTTAACTTACGACTTTCATCGGGCGCTATTTTGTAACAGTTTCACACAGAAACAAACTGAAAGTACTATGTTACTCCACTGCCATTCTACTCTAATATGTATGAGTTATTTTGTATTCCTACGCATAGAATTGGAGATATTCATGTTTTAGTGGCGACACTACTTGCAATATTTTTCCCCCTTCTTTTTTCCTGTGTCCGCCTGCACGACTAGCGTAACGATCATATTTTATACATTTTAATCCAATTTTAATAACTAAAATAAATATTTTACACTTTTAAACATGTTGTTGATTGTATTATTAATTCATTGATTGCAACACCAAATAAAAAACACTTTAATTAAATTTATTAACAACACATTACGGATGACGCTGTGATGACTCAAGGGAAGCAACTATAATAATCATAACACAAGGGATGTAACAATCACTAACAAGAAATAATGTAACATTTGCTTAGACACACTTGTATGTAGAGACACAAACTAGATTTAGAAGAAGTAAATGATCAAAATAATTTAAAACAACAGAAAAATTTTGAAATTATATAGATTCTAGACTTAGCTTGAAATATAGAGCATCTAGGCTAGTCTAGCTCAATTTGTTGGTGACGCAGCGATGTGAAACCACCCTAATTGTTACCCAAGCTGCGGCCACCCTGATTTCACATCTCAGGTTGCTTTAATAGCTTTAACTATCATATTTACAGAGTCCCGCACAAAATGTACAAGCTATTTATAGTTAACCTAGTTATAAAAAGCTTTGATTGGTTGGTTTTATTTGTCTCATCCGGGACCTTGTGCTTTTCTTAGGGGGAACTAGAATAGTCTATGATTTCATACCTCGAAACTTAATTTAAAAACTCGTCATCCAGATGGAGAAAACAAAAGAATTTGACCGCATATATTTAGAAACGGACATTTGTTTAGCAGATATAGGTAGTTTCGTATAAAACATCCAAACAAATATTATACAAAGCGATAAACAGGCGATCGCCGCATCATGTAACTTCACTCTAGTAGTTAACTAAATACACACACTGCTGGCTAATGTTAATGCTAACCCTGTCCCTGTAAAAAACCATTTTAGCATATTTTATTCCCCACTTCACGTTCACCTCCAGTTGAGCGTATTTTAATATAAACACAACCAAAACACACACAAAAATTAGGAAATCACTTGGCCTATTTCTTTATGAAATTTTTTTTTTAGTTTTATAAATTAATTTTGTCAAAACTTGAGAAAAATCCAAAATTTGGAATATTGAATGTGTATTATTTAACTATATCTAGATTTACCTTTTTTTTCTTGAAAATGTGTTCGTGTCAGTTAAGATTTTCATGGCAATGGGTAAAGTAGAAACGCATATTTGCAAGGCATGATACTATAATTTAACTTACAAGAACTCACAATGACCCTTAGCTATGACGTATGCTGCTAATTAAAGTCAATGTAAACTCACGGTGAACCCTTGACCATGTAGGGATTTTTTTCCCGCCAAATATCACTCACTATTTAGGCCTAATTGGAACTGTATATTTTTTTTTACCTTTTCTAATTAAAACACATTCATAAAAAAAAAATTTTTAAAATAAGTAGGCCTAGCCTAGATCTAAGCCTATATCAGTATACCTACCGTCTAATGATTCTAATCCTAGTGTTTTCCTAACATTTTTGTGTTTTGGTTGTGTTTGTAATAAAAAACGCTCAACCGGAGGTGAACGTGAAGCGGCGAATAAAATACGCTAAAATGGAGTTTTACCCAGACCCTCTACTCTAGTCACTAGTCCTGCCATAAGCCAAACCCTAGGCTAATTTCTTACCATAAAATTAGTCGAGATTACAATGCTACTTGTAGGTTGAATTATGGATTTTTTAAAATAAAATATTTTGTTATTTTAAATACACCATTAACTTCCTTACCCCTTAAGAGAACATTTGACACCACATTTAAATATCTAGCTTACTCGGTTGACGAGAAAAGAGAGAATTTAAAAATTATCTTAGAATGGAAAATGAATAACGGAACAGCAGTCATGCACCTCGACCGGCATAACATTACATCGTGGACTTGTGTACACGAGCTTTTCATTCCCGCCATGGTAATTGCGTCAGCTTAGGTTATTTACTCACCGGAAAATAACAAAAAGCAACTGGTTGATAATAAAACTAGATCTAGTTATTTTATTATTTATTAAATTCTACTCTACATGTTATTCATACCATTTTATGAAATAATGAACACCTGCATTAATCAAATGACCATAATAAATATTTTTATTTCAAATTCTAATTTTATAATTTTTAATAATAAATTATTAAATATGCTTAAAATGATATGATAGTAATAGTTATGATAGTTTATAAATACAAATACATTTTACACTCAATTCACATTATATTGAGTCAACAGTGTGGCAGCTGAGGTTCATACATGATATTAGTGTCTTTTTTTTTTTTACATTACATTTTTATTTCATCTTGAAAACATGACGTATGTGATTTTTTTTTTAAATAAAATCTCCAAACATCGTCACTCGCATGATTGCTTGCTTACGTTTACTATCATGTGGATGAAAAATCCCACCACGGTCGCGGGGTCACTGTGACTTCAGCAGGCCTATACACGTCATAGAATGAACACGCGTACACGAGATGGTCGGTGTCTTCACTTCTCTCTCTCTTCCCCCCTCCCCCCCCTTCTTCAAGCTAATTGAAAAACAGACCTATTTCCCTACTTCTGGTCCTTTTTTTAAAGTTCGGTCATTTTTTTTAAAGTTTCCATATCAGGCATGCGACAGCCAGCTGTATAAAAAAAATTACTTTTTTTTTAAACTAGATCTACTTCTAGCTTAAGAAAATAAATAAATAAACGCTTAAAATGCCCGTAAACAGATTACTTAGCGCCAAAAAAAAAAAGGCAGCTGAACGGCATTTTTAAAATACGCAGCAATGAAAAAGGCTAACGGCCGATCAATTAAGTCTAAAAATCGCCCATAATTAGGCCTAGCTCTGAAAAAGGCCACTGAACGAGCATCACTAATTATATAAACGAATAGGCCACGCAGCGTTGACGAGGTTAACCACCGGTCACGAATTAAATTCAATGCAGCTACTGTCTGCCCACAGAGAAGAAAAAATCAATATACAAATAAAATTACTAATACAATAATAATGTCCATAATTTTACTTTTTCCGCACATGCTACAATTGAATTATAATTAAAATACTAGACTTAACAGTTCATTCCGCAAAAAAACAAAAAAAACTAGTTGTTTCTGTCTGGCAACTAGCGTAACAATGACGCAACGTTACTAAAAATAGTAGAGAAATTGTCGCATGGTTACTTACGGGGTAATTGGATTTTTGGTAAAGATAATCCATAATACTGTAAATATACATGGTAAATATCTCAATTATATATTAATCTACTGTTATACGGGCCGTTTTCCCCGTTATACGGTCGTTTATGGCCGCAGTTCAGTTTATACGGAGAGTGCTCCACTAGAAATCCTCTCATTATTTACAACTACAATTCTCGTGATTTTTTCTGGCATTCTAAGGCATATTATCCATTTTATTAGTATCTTGTGTTAAAATAATGATAAGAATTTGCGAGATTAACAGTTTTTTCATTTGTCGTGGATAGGACCCCTAAAATAAACATAAAAACCGTCAGAAAACGAAGTGTGACGTTTCAGGGTCAGAGGTCAATCCAGCCATCTAAGCAATGAAACGGCCTACTACTAGATCTAGTACTAACAACCCAGCACACCTATTTTATGGAAGAATATTATCGGACATCAGGATCTAAAATCATCAGAACGGCCCACTAATATTTAGTAATTTTCTAGATCTATTCTAGAAATTCTAGATCTAGACTTCACTTCACTGACTTCAGACTTCTAGATCTAGAATTTTAGATCTAGAGATTCTAGATCTAGAAATCTAGAGTCTAGATAGTAGATCTAGAATCTAGTAGATAGACTAGATTCTAGACTCTAGCTAGGCAATTTTTTTGCCTAAACTAAAAAGTTGTAAGATTCAGGATTTCAAGCTATTTGCCAACTATGACATGATTGTTTTGTTGTTGTTTTTTTTTCTTTTAATTAAAATTTAAAAGCAATACTAGATCTAGATCACAAAAACAAAAATCATAAACAAATCTGTATCTAACCCCAAGCATAGTCATTTTCCCTTGTTGAAAATGGACTATTTTTGGTCAAAGGTTACTCTAAGAGTCGAAAGCATAAAAACGTTTCATTTGCGAACAGCATTTTAGAATGTTCTATTATACCTATTCCTATAAATAACCACATATTTATATTTTTCTATCATTTCTGTCCTTTGACGATGCAAATAAATGCAACTTCGACCACAATTTCTAAAGCCCCTCCACAGAAAAAAAAGTATCAAATATGTATTAGCATGGAGTTTAAAACTTATATGTTTTAAGAAAGTGCAAATCAACATACGATCGATTTAATGAAATGTAAACATTTTAGATAGAAATGTATATCTTCTTGGGCTGTATTTGTTTTTGGTACCACACGTAAAATTATTTAAATCTGAAGCATGTAGGTTTTAATTTCGTTATAGAATAGAATTATGTAGAATGTTTATGCCTAATCAGTTTTCATAGTGTTTTAAAAACAAACTTTGAATCAGCGTGAAATAGGAAGAAGACATGGTTAATATGATTAGCTGTCCTCAACTCGTTGCAACATGTGTAAAAGATCTCATGAGCGAACAAAGCTTTTATGAAAGAAAGCAAATTAAGTTGATTTTCTGATTTTTCAGTTAATTTAAAAGCTTGTTACTATAAAGGTTTTTAAAATTTGTTTTATTTTCTACTTTTTAGTGATTCTTAATTTATGAAGTCGTCACGACTAAAATATATTTGCTTTAATAGAACATCAGTAGCTCGCGATATCTGAAAGACTATTATCTGCCCTGTGAGAGCATCCGTCCGTGATCAAACGACAGCAAGTTCCAAATCTTTTTATCTCCCCTCTGTTTCAAATCGTTTAAAAACGTTATTATCTACCCCTGATGGCATTCACTTAATCGACCGGCTCTACGATTGTAAACATTCGGCGTGAACCACGGCTCATCAGACTGATTGGGTGATAGCATAGCTAGTTATAAATTGAGTGATTTAATTTTATCTCCCCTTAGTTTCAAAACAGTTTAATTAATTTTAATGACTAATTAAACAACTAACTATATTTTAAAAATAGATAGACTTGTATTGTCATCGAAGAAGAGAGTATCTGAAAAGTTTGAACAAAATCGCTGCATTAGAAGTGAGTCGAAATTGAGTTACAAGATCTGCCACAAACAAAAACACCCAACAAACATACTAAATAAAAGCTTGTATAAAACGAGACTGATAGTATCAGTAATACTATTAAAGACAATAGACATTTTTAAATTAATTTTTTGAATAATTAATTTTTTTTTTAAATTAGAAGCTTCAGTGCTTTATAAATAAAGGAAACAATAGCTATTTTTTTTTTAAATCAGAAAGCCTTAAGTACTACTTCCGTTCATCGAAAATCACTCAAATTTCACATACCTTTTCTGAAATTTCGTCCAGGTAACTGAATCGATATCCGTTATCGTTATTTTAGAAACCAATAAATAGAGTATACTACCATTTCTGGATGTTGGAGGCCACTGAAAAATTGAGTGATTAAAGTTTAAGATCTCATATTTATATATGAAATTTCGTCTACCTAACTGTAAACATTGGCCGTTATTTTTTAGCGCAATTTCCATTCTGGAGAATTGCGTTTATTAACTCGTCTTTTCTGGGAATGAATGGATGAATGGATGGATGGATGTGTGTCCGCAGCTTTAAGTCGTATCTCCTCCTCGACGAAGCAATATCGAGGACTAGTTCCAAAAGCAATTATGTTAAGCTAGCTACGAGGATGAACATAGGCCATACAAATTCCGGGTTTCTTTCATGGATTTCCCGGAAAAGCCAAAAAACCTAGAAAAAATGTAGTTTTTGGCCCATAAATCGGCAACCAGACCACTTAGCGGCTTGAAACATGTACCAATCGATTCCTGCCATAATTTAGAACAATATTGCCGAAGAAAGTTTTCAAAAATATCCTTTCGTTTGGTCACAAAAAATTTTTTGAATTAATTAAAATTTGGACCGAATTAGTAGGCATTTTATGCAACCACACCACACGCGTCATCACGTTCAATAGCTGCGCCATCACATTCGATATGTTTTTCGGTGTTTTACGATGAGCTTCGACATTTTCTCTGACCACCGTTTCTAAGATGGCTAGCGAAATAACCGAACTCACCGTGTCTCCAAACTTAGCTGGTGTTCCGCACGTTGATTTTGTGGTACATAGATCTAGGCTTATATCATTAAATAATTTAAATAATATGTTAGAACTCGTTAAAAAAACGGAGCAAAAAACCATTTTAGCCTTTTTTATTCGCCGCTTCACGTTCAACTCCGGTTGACAGTTGAGCGTAGTAGATTGTACTTGTAGTCACATTGTAGTGTAGACACTAGAATTAGTAGAATCATTGTAGATCTAGATCTAACCAACTCGAGTGGTAAATCGGTAAAACTCCATTTTAGCGTATTTTATTCCCCCGATTCACGTTCACCTCCAGTTTAGCGTATTTTATTATAAACACAACCGCAACATACAAAAACGTTAGGAGATCAGCAGATCACTAGGCCTATTTTTATGAATCTTTGGTTTAGTTTTTTTAAATTAATTTTGTCAAAACTTGAGAAAAATCCAAAATTGACTATGTGTTCGTGTCAGTTAAGATTTTCCTGGCAATGGGTAAAGTAGAAACGCATAATAGAAAGGCATGATACTATAAATTAACTTACATGAACTCAGTGGCGTAGCGAGGTCGGGTGTCACCCGGTGCGGCACTTAATGGTGTCAGTAGTGTCACCCCCAGAGGCGTAGCAACCCTTCCCGGGGACAAACTTTCAAATTTTCGATTTGCATCCCCCCCCCCCCTCAAACTTTCGATTTGCACCCCCCCCCCAAGTTTTTCTCTGTATATTTTGCTATTTTTTGCCTTGGTGTCACCCCCCTAAATGGTGTCACCCAGTGCGGTCCGCACCCCCGCCCCCCCCCCCCCCTTGCTACGCCCCTGCATGAACTCACAATGACCCTAAGCTATGACGTATGCTGATTATTAGACGTATGCTGATTATTAAAGTCAAAGTGAACTTACGGTGAACACTTGACCATGTAGGGATTTTTCTCATGCCAACAATCAAACGCTATTTAATTGCCACTGTAATGATAATTAATAATGTTTTTTTATTTTTTCAAATTAAAACATTCATAACAAATAAGTAGATCTAGGCCTATATCTATCAACTAATGATACTAATCCTAGTGGTTTCCTAACAATTTTGTTTGTTTTGGATTTGTTTATAGATCTAGGCCCTAATAAAATACGTTAATAATCTCAACCGGTGGTGAACGTAAAGCGGCGAATAAAATACGCTAAAATGGAGTTTTACCCCAACTAGTACCTAGAATCAGAGTAGATTCAAAAGATTCCTAGATCTAGTAGATTCTATCTAGCTAGCTGCTAGACTAAAGTAAAAGTACTACTCTATTATGAGTCTAGATGTATACTCTATAATCTATAATACTCTAGATCTATATCTATATATAATATCTATAGGCCTAATATTTAATATTATAATTTTATGATTAGGCCCTATACTACTACACAACAGAAACACACAAACGTTAAGAATAGGAAAACACAAGGATTAGAGTAGATCTAGATCTACATATTTTTTTTATGAATGTGAGTTTTATTTAGTAATATTTAGAATAGGTAGGCTTAAAAAAAAGCAGGTAGGCCTAGTCTATCGTTTTAGGTACGTAAAATTGGCTGAGGCTAGTAATGTGCAACAGTTTCCTCTTTGTTAATGTTAATTATTAAGGCGTTAATAGAAGTACATTTAATTTAGTATATTAACAATATTGTAGCTTGAATTATGGATTTTTAAAATTAAAATATTCTGTTATTTCAAATACACTATTAAGTTCCTTACCCCTTAAAGCCTTAAGGGAACATTTGACATCACATTTAAATATCTAGCTTACTCAGTGGCCGAGAAAAGAGAGAATTTTAAAATTATCCTAGAATGGAAAATGAATGCCAAAACCACGTTCTTGCCCCCCCCCCCCCCGCAGGCACACAAGTTTTTTAATGCTGCCATGGTAATTGTGTCAACAAAGGTTATTTACTCATGGGAAAAGAACAACTGGTTGATAATAAAACTAGATCTAGTTATTTATTAAATTGGTAAAGGGAAAATATACATTACAAATTCTACTCTAGATGTTATTTATACCATTTTATGAATAATGAACACTTGCATAAATCAAATGACCATAATAAATATTTTTATTTCAAATTCTAATTTTAAATATGCTTAAAATAATATGGTAGTTATGATACTCTATAAATATAAATACACGAGCCGACCCGCGGCATATCATACGCCACTATTACTTTATATATATATAGCATGGGCCGCTATAATAATAAGTATTTAAACAAGCGGCCCACGCTTTTAATCATAGTTTTATAAATAGTAGTGCATTAATATATTTTAAGAAAGTAATTTTTTATATATAAAGTAACCGTAGATTTATTATATTTTTAAAAATGATTTTATATTTAATAAAATTTGTATTATTTTCTTCTTTTTAGTGTTAGTGCATCTTGTAATTATAAACGTTTTTATGTATTTATTATTTATCATCCAGTAAGTACCCAAAGTATGAAATTTGATTGTCACCATTGAATTGTTTATAGGAAGATGTGGATCAATTTATGAAAAGTCCGGACAATGATTCTGCAGAGACTGTTTTAAAAAGACAAGAAGAACTCCACAACAAATTCAAATTTATGGAATATAACCTGAATATGAAAAAATCTAGGTACATCTTACTTGTTTCATGTAGTCTACCATCCAAGTCCAAGTATGAACAACTATTTTATTTTACATATTTAAAACCATGGTACTTACTTGCTGTATGGCATTGTTAATTGTAAGAGGTCACTTGGCCAGAATGAACTAGCAATAAAGAATATTAATCACATGATCAGATGTTTTGTTTTTTTGCCCTGTTATTTCCCAATTGTTATATAAATGTTATAAATAGTCATAATTGTTTCAGTCATCCATAAGAAAGTTTTTAAGTTGAAAAAAATGACAAATATCTTTATTGTTCATTGTATTGTTTGCATTCCTTTAACCGTATTCCTATAAACTGAAAATATTTTAAAAATTATCTGTAAAAATAAGCACACAATGCTTAACATTTTTTTTCTTGCAGTTGTTTTAGTAATACTGTTATTTTAGAAAATAATACAGTTTGAATTGTTTAGTGCTATTTCATTAACAAACAATAACATATTTTTAAAAGCACATCAGATATTTTTACATTTGTCTTCATTATTTCTTTGCAGATTAAAAAATCAGATACCTGATATTAAAAGTTCTTTAGATATTGTCAAGCATTTGATGGTGAAAAAGGTACTATATCTTTATATTTATGCTATTATATTATTTTCTATGCAGCGATTGTTAAAATATTCAGTAATTTTTTCTTTTTTTTTTAGTTGACCAGTTTGAACTAGTTTTAAACAGTTTACAATTTTTTTCTACAGGATAATACAGAGCCCATGTCAACCAGGTTTTTACTCTCAGATAATGTTTATGCAAAAGCAACAATACCACCAACAGAGAAAGTTTGTTTGTGGCTGGGTGTAAGTATTTAGATTTCTCTCCCAACTTTTTGTGGCTGGGTGTAAGTATTTAGATTTCTCTCCCAACTTTTTGTGGCTGGGTGTAAGTATTTAGATTTCTCTCCCAACTTTTTGTGGCTGGGTGTATTTAGATTTCTCTCCCAACTTTTTGTGGCTGGGTGTATTTAGATTTCTCTCCCAACTTTTTGTGGCTGGGTGTAAGTATTTAGATTTCTCTCCCAACTTTTTGTGGCTGGGTGTAAGTATTTAGATTTCTCTCCCAACTTTTTGTGGCTGGGTGTAAGTATTTAGATTTCTCTCCCAACTTTTTGTGGCTGGGTGTAAGTATTTAGATTTCTCTCCCAACTTTTTGTGGCTGGGTGTAAGTATTTAGATTTCTCTCCCAACTTTTTGTGGCTAGAGTATGATGTATATCAACTTTCCACAGGCTAATGTTATGCTAGAGTATGATGTATATCAACTTCCCACAGGCTAATGTTATGCTAGAGTATGATGTATATCAACTTTCCACAGGCTAATGTTATGCTAGAGTATGATGCATATCAACTTTCCATAGGCTAATGTTATGCTAGAGTATGATGTATATCAACTTTCCACAGGCTAATGTTATGCTAGAGTATGATGTATATCAACTTTCCACAGGCTAATGTTATGCTAGAGTATGACATCAATGAAGCAGACGATGTGCTGATGAAAAACCTGGACGCTGCTAAAAAGTCCTTGGGTCAAGTGGAAGATGACCTGCTGTACATCCGTGATCAAATGACTACACTAGAAGTCAGTATCCTTGGCCAATACTTGCTTGGTGGTCTCTCTCAATGGTCACTTTATGTTTGTCTTCCTGACTTTGAAATGTTGTTTGTCTTGCTGACATTGAAATGTTGTTTGTCTTGCTGACATTGAAATGTTGTTTGTCTTCCTGACATTGAAATGTTGTTTGTCTTGCTGACTTTGAAATGTTGTTTGTCTTCCTGACATTGAAATGTTTGTCTTCCCCTGACATTGAAATGTTGTTTGACTTGCTGACATTGAAATGTTGTTTGTCTTCCTCATTCCTGACATTGAAATGTTGTTTGTCTTGCTGACATTTAAATGTTGTTTGTCTTCCTGACTTTGAAATGTTGTTTGTCTTGCTGAAACAGTGTCTGTCTTACTAAAATGTTGATTATGGTGTTGAAATTGTTCCTGAATTGATCCTAAGACATGGCCAGAGTTTACAACTGGGATGTGAAGCGTCGTCAGTCAGAGAAAACATCCAAACCCTAGCCAAGGCATGCAATATGTACCAGACAGTCATTTGATCAGCCCTCCCTATATGACTTAACTTCACCATTGAATAGAATTAAAAGTGCTTGATTTTTATTTCCTTTGTTGTGCTTGAAAAAAAGTACATAATTAAATTAAACGAGCCGACCCGCAGCGTATCATACGCCGCTATTTAGTTGTTTTATTTTCTACTTTTCAGTAATTCATAATTTGTAAATTCGACAGTACCAATGCTGCCACTGAAAATATTTGCTTTAAAACACAAACCCCCCCCCCCCCCGTGAAAGCAGCCTCCTCTTAGTTATTTCTTAGTTACCTCCTGTAGGTTTAAAATCGAACTAAATTATCTGCCCCTAATAGAAACCCGGCTCGCTGTACGGCTCTTCGATTTGTAAACATTTAGCTTTGTAAACATTTAGAGTGAACACCGCTCACCAGACAATGTTGGGGTGGGGTGGGGGGTTTTAGTGATAGTGATAGAGAGAAAGAGAGGGGACTGCAAGGAGGCGCTTGCAGCTTGTTTTCTAACTGATCCCAGAAGAGAATTATTAAATTAAATTATAACCTTACCATTTAACCCCAGGTATCCAAATCAAGCATCACCATCAGTCTTACAGTTGAAATAATAAAATTCTTACACTAGCATGCATCTGCTAGTTTTATAAGAACACAATACCTGACATTGAATAAACATTTAAAACCATTAGTACTATAATACACTAGCGCACGGGTTCCCAACCTGGGGGTCGCGACCCCCAGGGGGGTCGCAAAGGTCTTTCTGGGGGGTCGCCAACTGGTATACTAAACCTTAGTAATTTGAAACAAAACATAAATATTTAGAAGAATTTTTGAAATTCGGCTTCATTAACATAACTGGAAATGTAATAGAGAAGAAACAAAGCGCACTGTACAAAGTTGTTCTCAGTCACGAATCTATGAAATCTTCAAAACTAAAACGTCATTTGAGACGAGTCATTCGGAACACACCAAAAAATATATGGAGTTCTTTCGTCGGTAAGAAGCTAGTTGCAAACGCCAGAGACTTGATCGAACAGGACGTTTTCACCAGCATTAGTGCAAGCATCAAATGAAGTCGCGATAGAAAATGCCAAGCAAAAAAAAAAAAAACAATAGGAGAAAATCTCATCAAACGTAAATGTTAAATAACACATTTTTATTGAAATTAAGCTTTCACCATTGTTTGCTTTTCAAGTTGATAAATCAACAGACGTGAGTTCGTGTTCGCAGTTGCTGATCTGTGTCTATATTCATGCGGATGATAGCAAAGAAGAGTTGCTCTTTTGTGAAGATAGCATGGAGAAAATAAATACCTTTTTTGAAAATGGATGATTAAAATTGGTTAGAAAGGCTGTGGGGGTTTGTACGGATGGTGCGCCATCTATGTTTTGGTCAAAATCGGGCTTTCAGAAAACAGAAAAGATTTAGCTCCCTAACCACTACCCTAACCAATCGACACCAAGAGTCCATTGCTAGTTTAAGTCGTAAATTATATAAAATCTGGAGCCTTCAAAGAACTGAGCAAAGACCTGAATAAAGATCACGAGGTTCTGCTCTTCTACACTACAGTGCGCTAGCTGTCAAACGAATTGTTGTGAATCGTGTTTTTGAATTGAAATCTGAAATCAAATTGTTCTTGGGAGTGCAATGGAAACAACACTTTTTGGTATACTTAAAACGACATAGAGTGGTTGGAGAGAGTATCATACCTAGCAGATGTGTTCGAACATCAAGATAAGCTTAACCTGAAGCTTCAGGGAAAATGAACAAATATTATAACTTTCCATGATAATCTCGGGGCATTTTTATCAAAGCTGCAAAATCGGTAAAGAAAATAAATCTTGGAAATATTGTAAATTTGAGAAACTCTGCGGTGTGGTAGATGAATCTGATTGTGAGATAATTAAAATTTTGAAAGAAGCGATTTCTGGGCATCTTGAACCTCTTGAAAACGAACTGCATCGCTATTTCACTGAGCTGGAAAAAAAAAGAATGTGCATTTAAGCATTACCCATTCTCTTCTTCCCTTGATGTTGCCAGCATTCCCGATAAATTACAAGATGAATTCTTTGATTTGCAGAATGATTCCGAGTAAGATGAAAAACTGCAGACACAATTTTGGTGTAGTATTCACCATTCATACCCAAAAGTAAAATTGATTGACTTTTCGAGAATATATTTTCAACACTATTCTTCGATTAAAAATAAAATTAAGATAATTATAATGACATAGGTTTGCGTTAAACAAATTTTTAAATTAAAAACTTAACCAAGAAGGTTTAGTGAATAGTATGCAATTTTACTCATGCTATTAAAACTGTTTTCAAGAATAGTTCATATTAAAAGTACTAGAAAATCTTTTTTAGTGCTTATTAATTTCCATACTAATTTCGGCTTTTTAATTTTATGGGGGTCGCGGGTCACTTACTTTTTATAAAAGGGGGTCGCCACTCGAGAAAGGTTGGGAACCACTGCACTAGCGTATACTTCTTATATTTAAGACAACATGAGGCTCATTGAGAGAGTTGTATCTAGTGTATAATGGTCTGGAGTTGAGAGCAACATCAGAATGTCTTCCATAGTGTTTGTCTGTCAGCTATTATTTGAAGGAAATATTTCTTGCACAATGTAGGACTCAGCTGTTGGCCTTTGTTTGATAAAGAGCTAACTTGTGCTTATGTATACTGTTTCAATGAAAGTAAAAAAACCAATCCAATGAATGGAAGTATAGCATGTAGTTTATTTGATTAGAAAACATTGGAGTGTACAAGCAGGTCAGGTCTTAGTTGTCTGGGTTGTCTGGCTCAGCTGTGGGCTCTAACTGCTGCAGCTGGAAAAACAAATCACATCATTAGCTCCTCAAGTAGGGGACATTTACTCTATGCTATTCAGATGACATATTTCATGCAATTGGTTCAAGATTCTAGAAAGTTACCCGTGCTTTGAGGTCATTGTTTTCTTCTTGCAACTGTTCACATTTCTGCCTGAGTTCAGTGACCTCAAGCTTCAGAGCCTCAACGTCTGCTGTCTCAGGTCCAGTGGCATTCAAATTTTGTCGCAAAAAACTTAGAGGGTTAAGGAAAATGTTTATAAAGCTACATAAGCATCAGAACAAAGTCAACCCATGAAATAGGTCTATTCAGTTATAGCTGCTGAGAAACACACATTAAAGTAAAGATAAAAGGGTATCACTCACACATTTTTACTTTTTCGTATACGAAGTATAGTGAAAGTATTGTTAATCGTGCAAAAAGTTTTACACCTCCCTGAGTCTGAAAAACATAGTTTTGCAATCTTGTTCGTATGTCTGTGTGTACGTCTGTAAACATAATAACTTGAGTACCGTTACAGCTAGCTTGATGAAATTTCATATATAAAGTATTATATCTAATTTGTAAATATGTATCAACTTTTTTCCGATAACTGGAAGTGGAACTTTTTCTACTTTCAATTTTTCAAAAGCATATAAGTTGAGTACTATTTCAGATAGATAAATGAAATTTCACATGTAAGTAAAAGATCTAATTCTCTGCCTTCTATCAAATTTTCAGTAATTTCCGTTGACCTGAAGTAGTAATTTACGCTTTTTCAGATTTCTAAAAAAAAAACGCATGTGAATTTATAAAGTAGACTACTAATAATATTCCGCACTATTATACACATTGTGTTTGGGGTTCACTTGGTGCGCAATTCTTTTTTCTAAGAGATTCTATTTTAAAATGTTTAAGTAATTTAAAATAGATTAAAAATAGTGTCTATATCCCGAGTTGCCATCCTCCGTAGTGTTATATAAGAATATTCAAGAAAGTTTAGGGGAGATCCCTCCCGGTTTTTATAAGGATTCATGAACGTAGGAGTGTATCACTCACACATTTTAAAATGGATTCATGAACGTAGGAGTGTATCACTCGCACATTTTAAAATGGATTCATGAACGTAGGAGTGTATCACTCACACATTTTAAAATGGATTCATGAACGTAGGAGTGTATCACTCACACATTTTAAAATGGATTCATGAACGTAGGAGTGTATCACTCGCACATTTTAAAATGGATTCATGAACGTAGGAGTGTATCACTCACACATTTTAAATGGATTCATGAACGTAGGAGTGTATCACTCACACATTTTAAAATGGATTCATGAACGTAGGAGGGTATCACTGCCAAAATTTTAAATGGATTGATGAACCTAGGAGGGTGTCACTCACACATTTATGCACTGCAAAAATAGGATAAAAATGTATTTAAAATTGTCAACATTGAAAAATGGATAACGCTAGCTACTATATTTAGTATTGAAATTTGACAGTATGAACGGAGTTTACATTTAAGAACAGACATTTTAATAAGATACTTTGATGTATGTTTTGAACAGAGGAGTAGGCATAATGATGTGGCAGAAGAAGAGGTTAAAAAATGTTTCAATATATATCAAACTACCAGCCCCAGTGTCACCATGTTTGTTACAGTACCAGCTAGTGTCACCATCTTTGTTACAGTACCAGTGTTAGTGTCACCATGTTTATTACAGTAGCAGCTAGTGTCACCATGTTTGTTACAGTACCAGCATTAGTGTCACCATCTTTGTTACAGTACCAGTGTTAGTGTCACCATGTTTGTTACAGTATCAGCTAGTGTCACCATGTTTGTTACAGTACCAGCTAGTGTCACCATGTTTGTTACAGTACCAGTGTTAGTGTCACCATGTTTGTTACAGTATCAGCTAGTGTCACCATGTTTGTTACAGTACCAGCTAGTGTCACCATGTTTGTTACAGTACCAGCTAGTGTCACCATGTTTGTTACAGTACCAGCTAGTGTCACCATGTTTGTTACAGTACCAGTGTTAGTGTCACCATGTTTGTTACTGTACCAGTGTTAGTGTCACCATGTTTGTTACAGTACCAGCTAGTGTCACCATGTTTGTTACAGTACCAGCTAGTGTCACCATGTTTGTTACAGTACCAGCTAGTGTCACCATGTTTGTTACAGTACCAGCTAGTGTCACCATGTTTGTTACAGTACCAGCTAGTGTCACCATGTTTGTTACAGTACCAGCTAGTGTCACCATGTTTGTTACAGTACCAGCTAGTGTCACCATGTTTGTTACAGTACCAGCTAGTGTCACCATGTTTGTTACAGTACCAGCTAGTGTCACCATGTTTGTTACAGTACCAGCTAGTGTCACCATGTTTGTTACAGTACGAGCCTTAGTGTCACCATGTTTGTTACAGTACCAGCTAGTGTCACCATGTTTGTTACAGTACCGGTGTTAGTGTCACCATGTTTGTTACAGTACCAACTAGTGTCACCATGTTTGTTACAGTACCAGCGTTAGTGTCACCATGTTTGTTACAGTACCAGCTAGTGTCACCATGTTTGTTACAGTACCAGCTAGTGTCACCATATTTGTTACAGTACCAGCTAGTGTCACCATGTTTGTTACAGTACCAGCTAGTGTCACCATGTTTGTTACAGTACCAGCGTTAGTGTCACCATGTTTGTTACAGTACCAGCTAGTGTCACCATGTTTGTTACAGTATCAGCTAGTGTCACCATGTTTGTTACAGTACCAGCTAGTGTCACCATGTTTGTTACAGTACCAGCTAGTGTCACCATATTTGTTACAGTACCAGCTAGTGTCACCATGTTTGTTACAGTACCAGCTAGTGTCACCATGTTTGTTACAGTACCAGCGTTAGTGTCACCATGTTTGTTACAGTACCAGCGTTAGTGTCACCATGTTTGTTACAGTACCAGCGTTAGTGTCACCATGTTTGTTACAGTACCAGCTAGTGTCACCATGTTTGTTACAGTACCAATATTAGTGTAAGGATACTCTAATGCATTGTTGGGTTTCTCTGGCTCTTCATACAATCCAACCAAAACTGAAAGAATTCAAATGTAGATATTTTGTCAAAGCATAATATTTTGTGACTAGTTTATATCTTAAATCCACTACTGACATACCAAAAGAAATGTAACCTGGAAAGTAGTTGAATTACCGCCCTATCCCGTTTTAAACAACATTGACTTTTGTTAAAGGTTAAGAAACTATATATTTCAATAAGAACAGCTAGCTGACCCACGACGTAGCATGTGCCGCTATTTAGTTGTTTTAATTTATATTTTTCAGTAATTCATAATTTGTGAATTCGACACTACCAATGCTGCGACTGAAAATATTTTGCTTCAAAACACTGCCAGTAGCTCGTGAAGGACACTTATCCTCACCCTCACTTTCCACTCCTCCCCCCTACCCCTACAATTGTAAACAGCTCACCAGACTGGGGGGGGGGGTGGTAGCATTATGGTATGTTGAGCATACCTGGAGAGCGAGGGAGGGGGCGGCGTGCCGCATAGTCCCTCCATGAAGAGAATTTTATATGTAGATTATACCCAAGTTCAACGAAAACACCATTTCATTTGGTTTAAAAAAAAATAATTTTAAAATAAAAATTATAATAAAAACTTTAATTTGAAACGGAAGTCATTAAAAAAATGTATGCCTGTTTGTTTTTATTTTAATGAATGAATTTTCTTTTTTTTTTTTAATTCATAAGGTTTCTAAATTCTTAACTACTCATGTATTTGACATATTTAACAGAATTTATGCTAACATAATATGTATACACATATGTATTCTGACTTACATGTATTGTATACACATGTACATATATATATACATGTATATATATACTTGTGTGTGTATATATACTTTGTGTATACAGATAAAGTGCACATGTGTGTATTCATATATATACATGTGTGTATTCATATATATACATGTGTGTATTCATATATATACATGTGTGTATTCATATATATACATGTGTGTATTCATATATATACATGTGTGTATTCATATATATACATGTGTGTATTCATATATATATATATATATATATATATATATATATATATATATATATATATATATATATATATATATATAAATAAAGATCCCTTTCAAACCTGACAGTCTCTAGGGCAAGTGAAGTAGAGTTCACTTGTTTGTGTGACCTTGGCATATAATAGTGTGGCCAGCACTATGCCCCCAAGACACCTTTACTTACTCTAACTCACACACAAACATATATATATTCACATACATGTACGTAGACATGTGTATTTACAAGTGTATACATGAATGTGTGTGTATATACATAGATATTGGAAGAGATATATGCATATAATATATATATATATATATATATATATATATATATATATATATATATATATATATATATATACATATATATATATACATAAATATAATGCTGTTTTTTGTTTTCATGAGGTTCACGCTAAAAAGAAACCACCTCATAATTATTATGACTGATTTGTTTCCCAATTAAAAAAGAATCATGTGGGCTGAAGGAATATCCATAGGTGATGTATATGCAAGGGACGTGCTATTGCATTATAGTGCCAACAAATTGTAACCAGTAGATCACAAGAGTGTCCTGTGGTGCCCCTGACAACTGGGCAGTCAACAAGGGGTGTATTGTCTCACTCTTGATCTAATAAATATAATGCTGATAATGTTTACATTTAAATAGCTCAGCTCTTGAAAACAAGGACAAGATTTGGACATCTGTATGTGGTCAGCATGTCAAGTATAAACAAAACAAAAAAATAATAATTGTGCATCCAAAAGGGCTTGCATAAAGAAAATGAGAAGGACACTGAAATGATTACCTATCTTCTGAGACAGCACATCTAGTGCCACATCTACGCTACTGGGTCATACCTAGAGTGAGTAGAAGTTTTAAACGAGACCAATAAAAGTGAGACTTACCACGAGTGAGTGCATCCATTACCCCTGCCTTTTCCAAATATTTTCTAAATTCTTCTCGTTTTGAATCATTTGTCTGTAGGACAAATAAAAATAATCTTTTTGCGCACATTTAAAAAAAAAATATTGAAAACTTCTGCTGATAAGAACCCATGCCATCATTGTAAATGCCTTTTTTTTGTTTTTCCAAACTACAGAACCCCCCCCCCCCCCCTAGAACCTCTAGCTGGTTACTGGTGGGAAATCCCAGCACACATCTGTATGCTATACCCAATCATCCTTTTTTTTAAAAAAAACAGTAATGTTTATTGCACTCTGTCAACATTTATATTGATCAATCTATACATATTATTTATTCTCTTCTTGGAGACGATAGAAAACACCAAGCTGTAAGCGCGCTCCCTACCACCCCCACATGTTCTGGTGAGCTGAAGTTCACGCTAAATGTTTACAATCGTAGAGCCGGGTTTAGTGACTGCTATTAGGGGCAGATAATTTAGTTTGAAACGATTTTAAACTTAGGGGAGGCAACTAAGAGGAGTTTACTTTCATGGGGGGGGGAAGGGTTATCGTCCTTAACGAGCTACTGATCAGTGTTTCTTCGTTTCTTCCAGACTTTTTTCTCCGGGGGGGGGGGGGGGGGGGGGGGGGGCACTTGAAATTTTCGGGGGGGGGGGGGGGGGGGGGGTAAATTTTCTTTGAAGAGATGCCTGGAAGAAACTCTGCTACTGATAGTGTTTTAAAACAAATATTTTCGTTAAAGACGATAACATGCCTTTTGACCAAAACTATTGTATAAAATATTTTTCTCAAACAAGTAGGCCTATAACTATAACATTAAAATATATTATATAGGCCTATAATCAGAGGCGTAGCGACCCTTCCTGGCGCCCGGGGACAAACTTTCAATTTGCCCCCCCCCCCCCCCTATGAGCACATTTTCAATTTGCACCCCCCCCCCCCACTAAAACTTTCGATTTATAATGCAAAAATGCAGCTAAAATGACATTTTAATTTGTTTTTACAACCCATTTTCGCGCCCCCTAAGGTCGGCGCCCGGGGACATATGTACCCCCCTGTCCCCCATCGCTACGCCTCTGCCAATAATTCATGTGTAACGAGTACAGACGGCTAGAAAAACTATAAAATACAAATGTAAATTTGGTATCAGTGAAAAGCTATTATTCTCCTTCAGTTAATTCACATGGGTTTGGGATATTCTGAGATTTAAAAAAAAACTTAATGAAGGCCTAATGAATGGATGTTTGTTATGTTACTACTCCACTACTTACTACTACTCACACTAGATGTAGAAACTAAAGGTAATCTATCGTTTTGGGTATGTAAAATCGCCCGCGGCTATTAATGTACGAAAACGTTACCTCATTGTCAAGGCTGTAATAGAAGTAGGCTATATTGTGATATGTTTGTGTCAAATATTATAGATAAATGAATAATAAACCTAAATCAATGGCTAAATTTATAAATATGGGCCAGAAATTAACTTTAAACAGCAGTGTCTGCGAGCAAGATTTACTAGAATCTATATAAACAGCAGCCATTTGTAAAATAGAGTGACTTCCGCCTGAATCTTGCGCTATAAGTCTATAAAAATAAAACTTAAACAAGATGGCTGCTATAGTAAATGAGCATGGTTGCATCTGTTGGAAACATCGCTGGTGTTCATTTATTACTGAAAAGTTTTAATTCAATTGTTTAGAAACAGGTACATAAATGAAATAAGGAAACATTTTTGTATTTTTCAAAACATAAATCCTCCTCAAAATGTGAAATAATTATTAAAATGTAAGGAGTCACCTGTTTTTCACATTACTAGTCGCGGGCGATTTCACGTACCTAAAACGATAGATTACCAAACTAAAAACTTGATAGATCTAGACTACTAGATAAGTAGATATTAAAGTTACAGTTAGGCCTAATTTTACTTTTTTTTTTACTAGGTTAGATCTAGTTGGTAGTTTAGTTAGTAACTAGATCTAGAGTCTAATAAAGTTAAGGAAAGTCAGTAAATGAATTGTTTAGGAAGCTTACTTTGAATGCGTTCATTGTAATTAATAAAAGATGATTTAAAACACGCGGTTAAGTTTACAAGATCTCAGAACAAGTTGTATTGTGTATATCTGGGTTGTCAAGGATGAGCTCTCGTTTAGTCTCGTCTATGAATTAGCGCCTCGTGAAGTCTAGCCAGGTTTTTTTTTCTAGCAGACTAACCAAAAATGGAATTCTAAGTTTTAACAAAATATAAAATAAGTTCACTGCCAATGAATCATTACATCACTTAAAATGAACCATGGCGTTTAAAAAAAAAACTGGCTTGATTGATGACAGGAGCGTAGCTGAGGAGCGGGTAAGCGATGGTGGGGGTCGTATCACACGGGGTGTACTGGTCTGTTCAAGAGGACTGGGAATACTAGCGACCACATCTGATTCGATTGCATCCAGTTTCTTCCAGACTTTTTCTCGGGGGGGGGGGGGGGGGGGGGGCGGCGCGGACTAGTGGCGAGGCGAGAGTGTGTACCGTACCGGGTGGCACCATGGAGAAAATTTGCAAATATATATAAAATAATTAGCTATTTGTCAGTTAAATTAAGGAGCAATTAGACAAGAGTTAATCCACCTAAATTTATAGCTGACTATAGATGAAAATATTTCCTTTGAACTGTACGCACTTTAAAACTATTACCCGGGGGAGGTAGTAACACCAATTGCAAAATTTTACAGAGGATATATATTTTGAATAACTGTTAACTCAGTTTAATGAAACGTGACACCAACATTTAATAATTTACGCTGAAAAAAAAAGTGTTTTTTCCAAATTAATTAAAAGGAGGATTAATATAATTTGCGCACAAATATTTATTTATAAATTATAAATATATATACAAATATATTGCCGAACCGAGTGACACCCGGCATAGCGACGCTACTGAGATCGAAACTGGCATAATTTTCTAAATATATTATATTTTGCCATCTCACCCCCTCCCAGAGAAGATGCTTAAAAGAAATGATTTAAAAAAAAAGAATGTTTGGCCCTAGTTTTTTTTTTTTATGCAGAACTCCACGATTTGCGATTCATCCGATCGCCTTGAGGGTTAGAATTAAGACGATGTTTTTCCCTTCATTTATTTTTTAAAATATCTGAGAAATTAGTAGCTCCCAGCGGCTAAAGTCTCTAGAAGTAGAAGAAAGGTAAAGACGATCTATGGCTGACCACTAGTCTCTAGAAGAAAGGTAAAGACGATCTATGGCTGACCACTAGTCTCTAGCACAGAAGACTGATAGTTAACTGGGTACACATAAACGAAGAATGTTTGGACTGACAAAAATAACATCCGCCTTGCTATTCTGCTGCATGGCAATCAATTTTTTTTTTCAAACTTGGCATGTGGGTTAAGACCTGATGACAATGCAATCCGTCATCAAATTTGACTTAATTTAATATAAGCCAGTAATTTTTATGAATTAGATTCCTATATAAAACAATATTTTCCGTGATATTCTAATTCTACACACGTTTTAGATGTTCATTTGGTGCGCAGGTGTTTTTAGTCATGCAACTCTGTTGTAGTTGTATTAAAATATTGTATAAAATTAATTAAAAAAGGTTTTGATAACAAGCTTTTGTATAGTATAACCATACACTAAAAAGGTGAAAATAAATGATAATCTTTAAATATATAATTATGCTCTACTATTTAAATAACTATAAATAAAGAAAAGCGTGGGTCCCTATGTTATGTATGGAATACCTTTACAAGGTTTGTACCCAATGATAAAAATGTATAGATCACTGATGTTATCACCGGCTTTACAATACATGCAGCCAGAGACGGCGTTAGGGGTACGCGGGGCCTATGGCCAACCATCCGCGTGGGGCCTTATATTTTTCCATTGGTGTCTAAAACATGTACAGTGAGGCGTTTTTTTTTTCTTCTCAACGCGAATTAATATTTATAACGATATATATAATATTTTTAAGCTGCTTATCAATGTCGTATTAACATAAAGACACTGATTAACAAATAATTGGTTTACTTAGAAGTGCTTTTGAAACGTTGCTTATTTCTGTTAAGGCTTTTTGTTTGAAAAGTAAAAAATAAATGTAACACATATGGTTACCAGCCAAAGGGGGATAAAACTATGAAGTTTTTATTCATTGGGTTGCGGCCCCTGTGGGACTGCAACTGAACTGTTGACGTTTTTTTATGCTTTTGTGAGCGAAATTACACCTGTGTTCCATGTCATGTGACATGTGCCTAGCCGTGTCGCACACGCAAGGCTGCTGTCTGTGGACCAAGATGTAGACCTAATGAAGGTAGTTATATAAATTATGTTTGTTAAAATACTTAGTTGTGTATTCCTGCTAGTGCTGCATGTGCACACTAGTTAGGGTGAGTATTAATATAAGTATTTATTTGAAGTACTACGTATTGGTACTTGTTGGCAGTACTGTGTACTGGCCAAAACATATTTTATTGTTACCCGTGTATATTGTAGCCTACACATGGTGTTGTCAGGAATGTAACTTTTTTTATTTACATTTGTTTTAGGGCTACAGCTATTGGTTTTTGCTTTTGGTTTTTGGATCTTTTGGTTTATCTTGGCTAGTTTGTTTTGTACTACTGTGTTGCATCGCCGTCATGGCTCGATGCTGTAAATAAAGCGAGTACTTGACAACAACTGTCGGTGTCTTCTTAATCTCAGGGTCAGTCCGTCTTAACCACAACACCTCAGTGGGTAAAAGCATCCCCACTGAGTGAGGGTTACATAAAACAGATAGAAGTTTGAGACACCTGATTTTTTTACATTAATGTTTATTTATGAAAATCTTACCAGTACGTTCACAAACGAAGATCTACTTTTCTTGCCTTTCGTGAGGAAAATTCCATGATTATATCATCATAGTCCAAACTGGAGGCTATGTCTTTTTCTATTGACAGAATCGACAGGCCGCAGAGCCTGTCTTGGGACATAAATGACTCGGAGATTCATTATTACCGTCATCACCACAAATGGTAGTACTCTCATTGTAGTCCTTTTTGTTACGTTCCACATTTGCGACATTGGAATCCACAACCAAATCAAAAAGTTTTTGTTGTTTAAAGACTTTCTTTGGATAGTGTATGCACTTGTCCAACGCGCCTGCTAGTGTTTTATCAAATTCTTCTCTTAAATTGCGTGTACTCGTTTTTGATGCACCTGATTTATACTTGCGAAATCTATCTCTGTCTCTTGTAGCCATGGCGTTGAGGAAAAATGGTGAAATCACTTTGAATTGAAGCAACGTTAAATCGGTCCACAGTGGCGGGTGATAGTATCGATATTTTCTCAATTTATCGAGTGTTAACAGTGGCATTCAAAGTGTGTGGATGCCGGGGAGAATAGCAAAACATTGATAGATTTCGGAATAACTCAATAAGCTCGAATCGTGAAGAACACTGTTTACGGCTATAGATATCCAAATGAAATGACTCTCAAATGTAATCACGGACGCTCAGTAGGGTGGAACACTGGGGTGGGTGACAGTTGGTGGGGTGAGGTAAAGGATAACTGTACATTTAAATCTATGGGATGCCAAACCCTACAAAAAATCAGTTCGGGTACTACGTTACTGGATCTCTGACCGCAGCCATTCAAGAGAAGGTGCGTGTTTGGAGAGCGTCCACGTATTACATTACAGGTTAAGACTGCGTTATCACAAGAGAAGATTCGTGCCTATAATTAGAAAGTGAACCATGTGACAGCCAGCTTTACCTTATTTATGAGTTTCGCGACGGCATGCTCGGACTGCCGGTAATTTAGACGTTTGAGAAATCAGGAGAACTTTACCATAAAACAGTCTCGGTCCGATGTATCATACAGTATAGACTTTATAATTTGTTTAATATGCCTACACTATTTTAAAACAAGAATCACTATGGCCTTAACAATTATACTGAATATCCCTATACTTAATTAAAATAAATCACTTTACGAATACCGTTAAAGTTTACCAAAATGAAAATGGACATAATTACTGTATAAATTCCCTTCAAAAATATATAAATTAATATAAGTATAATTCATTTAAAGATGACCTGACAATATATAAAATCAATATGAACATAATTACTGTATGTATGCCTATCAAACGTATCGTAGTGAATAAACATAATTACACAAAAGATGCCCATACAGTGTATAAATTATGATTTTAGGGATAAATACTCTGGATGTCCGGGGCATGTCCCCAACCGCTCTCTCCCCCCCCCCTGCAAGCCATCATCAGGTCACTGACTGTTTACTACAGACACCCGCCTGCTCACTAAAAAAAAAAAACCCTCTTCAACGGTCCGCATACAATAGGGTATCTCTTACGTGTTTTCCCGATTTTACCTACCATGTCAGGTCGGGGGCTAATTCGCGACCGCCATCTCCAGTCACCTCAGGACAATAGCGAGTCGACCGTGCCAGCGATGTGTGACACTAATTTCCTTTCTAGAATAACGGTCTGTCCCAGTCCATGTAGAGGATAACTCACTAACATCAGCCGTGGCCTCAGTTTTAACATACAACAACTTCGGCCATTTAGTTGTTGTTTTTTTTTAAATTTAATTCAGCAAAGGTTATTTAAGTTTACAAACTAATTCAGACAACAATGGCGGTGCTAAAGCGCGGGGCCTGGGGCGACCGCCCCGTTTGCCACCCCCTAACGCGGGCTCTGCATGCAGCATTAAAATAAAAGCATTACTTAGTAATGAATAATGTGACAATTAGAAGATGCTATTTTTGTATGTGTGTCGCTGAAACCAGAATTTGGATAATTCATGTATGATAAATATACACAGAATTGTTGGTGACTTCTAAACGGACAATGCACATACAGCAACCACAAGTGATGAGGTTGTCAAGTGCTGACTCAGGCAGGTTGGCTCAAGTGATGAGGTTGTCAAGTGCTGACTCAGGCAGGTTGGCTCAAGTGATGAGGTTGTCAAGTGCTGACTCAGGCAGGTTGGCTCAAGTGATGAGGTTGTCAAGTGCTGACTCAGGCAGGTTGGCTCAAGTGATGAGGTTGTCAAGTGCTGACTCAAGCAGGTTGGCTCAAGTGATGAGGTTGTCAAGTGCTGACTCAGGCAGGTTGGCTCAAGTGATGAGGTTGTCAAGTGCTGACTCAGGCAGGTTGGCTCAAGTGATGAGGTTGTCAAGTGCTGACTCAAGCAGGTTGGCTCAAGTGATGAGGTTGTCAAGTGCTGACTCAGGCAGGTTGGCTCAAGTGATGAGGTTGTCAAGTGCTGACTCAAGCAGGTTGGCTCAAGTGATGAGGTTGTCAAGTGCTGACTCAGGCAGGTTGTCTCAAGTGATGACTCGGCAGGTTGGCTCAAGTGATGAGGTTGTCAAGTGCTGACTCAAGCAGGTTGGCTCAAGTGATGAGGTTGTCAAGTGCTGACTCAGGCAGGTTGGCTCAAGTGATGAGGTTGTCAAGTGCTGACTCAGGCAGGTTGGCTCAAGTGATGAGGTTGTCAAGTGCTGACTCAGGCAGGTTGGCTCAAGTGATGAGGTTGTCAAGTGCTGACTCAAGCAGGTTGGCTCAAGTGATGAGGTTGTCAAGTGCTGACTCAGGCAGGTTGGCTCAAGTGATGAGGTTGTCAAGTGCTGACTCAGGCAGGTTGGCTCAAGTGATGAGGTTGTCAAGTGCTGACTTAGGCAGGTTGGCTCAAGTGATGAGGTTGTCAAGTGCTGACTCAGGCAGGTTGGCTCAAGTGATGACTCGGCAGGTTGGCTCAAGTGATGACTCGGCAGGTTGGCTCAAGTGCTGACTCGGCAGGTTGGCTCAAGTGCTGACTCGGCAGGTTGGCTCAAGTGCTGACTCGGCAGGTTGGCTCAAGTGATGAGGTTGTCAAGTGCTGACTCAAGCAGGTTGGCTCAAGTGCTGAGGTTGTCAAGTGCTGACTCAGGCAGGTTGGCTCAAGTGATGAGGTTGTCAAGTGCTGACTCAGGCAGGTTGGCTCAAGTGATGAGGTTGTCAAGTGCTGACTCAGGCAGGTTGGCTCAAGTGATGAGGTTGTCAAGTGCTGACTCAGGCAGGTTGGCTCAAGTGATGAGGTTGTCAAGTGCTGACTCAGGCAGGTTGGCTCAAGTGATGAGGTTGTCAAGTGCTGACTCAGGCAGGTTGGCTCAAGTGATGAGGTTGTCAAGTGCTGACTCAAGCAGGTTGGCTCAAGTGATGAGGTTGTCAAGTGCTGACTCAAGCAGGTTGGCTCAAGTGATGAGGTTGTCAAGTGCTGACTCAGGCAGGTTGGCTCAAGTGATGAGGTTGTCAAGTGCTGACTCAAGCAGGTTGGCTCAAGTGATGAGGTTGTCAAGTGCTGACTCAGGCAGGTTGGCTCAAGTGATGAGGTTGTCAAGTGCTGACTCAAGCAGGTTGGCTCAAGTGATGAGGTTGTCAAGTGCTGACTCAGGCAGGTTGGCTCAAGTGATGAGGTTGTCAAGTGCTGACTCAGGCAGGTTGGCTCAAGTGATGAGGTTGTCAAGTGCTGACTCAAGCAGGTTGGCTCAAGTGATGAGGTTGTCAAGTGCTGACTCAGGCAGGTTGGCTCAAGTGATGAGGTTGTCAAGTGCTGACTCAGGCAGGTTGGCTCAAGTGATGAGGTTGTCAAGTGCTGACTCAGGCAGGTTGGCTCAAGTGATGAGGTTGTCAAGTGCTGACTCAGGCAGGTTGGCTCAAGTGATGAGGTTGTCAAGTGCTGACTCAGGCAGGTTGGCTCAAGTGATGAGGTTGTCAAGTGCTGACTCAGGCAGGTTGGCTCAAGTGATGAGGTTGTCAAGTGCTGACTCAGGCAGGTTGGCTCAAGTGATGAGGTTGTCAAGTGCTGACTCAGGCAGGTTGGCTCAAGTGATGAGGTTGTCAAGTGCTGACTCAGGCAGGTTGGCTCAAGTGATGAGGTTGTCAAGTGCTGACTCAGGCAGGTTGGCTCAAGTGATGAGGTTGTCAAGTGCTGACTCAAGCAGGTTGGCTCAAGTGATGAGGTTGTCAAGTGCTGACTCAGGCAGGTTGGCTCAAGTGATGAGGTTGTCAAGTGCTGACTCAGGCAGGTTGGCTCAAGTGATGAGGTTGTCAAGTGCTGACTCAAGCAGGTTGGCTCAAGTGATGAGGTTGTCAAGTGCTGACTCAGGCAGGTTGGCTCAAGTGATGAGGTTGTCAAGTGCTGACTCAGGCAGGTTGGCTCAAGTGATGAGGTTGTCAAGTGCTGACTCAGGCAGGTTGGCTCAAGTGATGAGGTTGTCAAGTGCTGACTCAGGCAGGTTGGCTCAAGTGATGAGGTTGTCAAGTGCTGACTCAGGCAGGTTGGCTCAAGTGATGAGGTTGTCAAGTGCTGACTCAAGCAGGTTGGCTCAAGTGATGAGGTTGTCAAGTGCTGACTCAGGCAGGTTGGCTCAAGTGATGAGGTTGTCAAGTGCTGACTCAGGCAGGTTATCTCATGGCACCAGCCAAACACGCAGCAGATCCAATTCACACACAAATTGTAGCATGCATTAGGCCTGCACACACACACATACATGGTAGCTTGAGTTAGGCCTTGAGGCAATGGCGGAACTAGAAAAAAAAAAGGCCACCCTGCAAAAACTTTTTGTAGTATTATTAATTTTTAAAATATTATTTATTTAATACATTTCCTTTTTATACAATGTTATTCTTAAGTAATTACTTATACTTATAAAAAGATAATAACTAAGAGAAGTAATTGGTTTTTAATTTGTTTAGTACAAATCTATTTAAAGGAGCTTATTATCACCCCTATTCGACTATTTTTAAAAAAAAAAAGGGAAATAAGTCATTGAAGTGGTTTGAACATTTGCTTATCTTTGTAGACGAAAGACTCGGCTTTCACAGTGGTTTAAAAACAAAGGGAAAAAAAAAATACAATTATACAAGAGCCCGGGGTGGTGTCTATAGAATAAAGATAATCCAATCGCAGCTTTGGTAATTTTTACAAAACAATCATAGGTCAAAAATGAAAGAAAATTTACTTTTTTTTAACTATAAATTTTTTTTTATTATGGTCGGCTCTGGGCCCCTAAATGGCATGCCCCCCCCCCCCCCAATGCGGGGTCTGGCGGTACTGTAGTTCCGCCACTGCCTCGAGTTCAAGAGATGAGTCAGATTTAAAAAAAAAAAGGATACAAAGGGATTGTGTTCCAGTTTATTGAGACAATTTGAATTGCAGGAAATTTCCAGCATATCATCCATCACCCTTTAAAGAATTAGAATCCAAGTAAATACTGAGTAGAGCTATATTTAAACAACAAATGAGGTGGCTGCCAGTAAGGCTTTCAATAAAGTAGGATGCTTGGCTGTTTTCTCTGGTTCAGTTTTCTGGAATCTCTGGCTCAGTCGCTGGTTCCAGCTGCTGAAGCTGTAACAAAACAAACATGTCAAAATAATGAAAGCCATAATTCTATGTTTATGCAGACATAATGAAAGCCATAATTTTATGTTTATGCAGACATAATGAAAGCCATAATTCTATGTTTATGCAGACATAATGAAAGCCATAATTTTATGTTTATGCCAACATAATGAAAGCCATAATTGTACAACACTCTTAAACATTCAGCGCTGTTTCATGTTTGTTTGCTCCCTCATGTCCTGTGTTATAGTTTTATACACCAAATGATTAAAACTTGGGTTTGCCAGGGCAGATGATTATCTTTATCCATCAATTGTTGATAAAACCAAGGCTTACAAAGGGTTACAAACACTATAGTTACCCGTGCTTTGAGGTCATTGTTTTCTTCTTGCAACTGTTCACATTTCTGCCTGAGTTCAGTGACCTCAAGCTTCAGAGCCTCAACGTCTGCTGTCTCAGGTCCAGTGGCATTCAAATTTTGTCGCAAGAAACTTTGAGGGTTAAGGAATGTCTAGGACACTTTATGATGTACAGTGTGCTAATTTTTATTGTAATCAAACAGCCGACTCCATTCTCCCCACTGAACCATCCCCACTGTTCTCACCAAACATCTCCACGTAGCTATTCAAATCTGTGTCACCTCATTGTGTAACCTAATTGTGAGACTTACCAAACTAAGGGGCTGTGCCATCATAAAATGAGACATTTCATAGTTTCAACAACAATTATTAGACTATCAGCTGGTTGTTAAACTGTCACCCGAGATTTTGTAACTCTTCTGTGAAAGACTGTAACCATACTGCACAAGAATGTCTCATCAAACTGTATGAGACTGTGAGAAACCAAAGCGACTGTATTCCACAACCAGCTACTTAGTGTCAATAAATAGGGACCAGTTGTGTCCAGGGACAAAAGGATGCTCCATAGCATTGTTAGGTTTCTCTGGTTCTTCATACAACACTACCAGGACTGAAACATTCAAGTCAGGACAATGATGCAAGTTCACATAAAAATGACAATTTTTCAATTTCATAACACAAAATTCAGTCAACTCTTAAACTGGTGCTTACCTTTAGTAATACAGTCTAGGACTCCGGTCTTTTCCAGATATTTTCTAAATTCTTCTCGTTTAGAGTCTGTAGTCTATTAGGGGAAAAAGCTAAATGTAATATTATTCTTAAAAATTATTTTAAGAAACAGTTGTATTAATAGGCGGTAAGCTATACTTACTTTTAGAGTAGAGGCATAAAATCAGCAAAAACTAGTAATGTGAAAGAATGATGACTCATTAATATGGCTTTAATACAACAAGTAGCCTATACTGTGATATATTTGTCATATAATATTAGATAATTAAATAATAAACCAAACACAATGTCTAAATATATCAATATTGGCCATACAATGGGTTCAAACAACAGTGTTGGAGAGCAACATTTGCCCTAAAAAGAGTAGCCTGAGTAGCCACCAGTAAATTAGAGTGGTTTCCACTGAAATTCTAACATTAATTTACCAAAACTTTAAAAAAAATAACTTAAAAGATAGCCGCTAAGTTTGGTTTCATCTGGTGAAATCATCCCTTATCTTTATTACTGAATAGTTTTAATAAAATTGTCTTAAAACAGGTAGGCTACATGAAACATTTTTGTAATGTTTAAAACATTAATCATTGGAAAATTGCCAAATATAGATTAATTTAATAACTAATTTAATCACATCTCTTTTGGCCAATTTTATGTACCTAAACCAACAGATTACCTAATAGCAGTGGCGGAACTAGAAATCAAAGGCTCCCCCGCAAAGAAAAAACTAGGGCCCCCTATATATATATATATATATATATATATATATATATATATAATCTATATCTTAACTGAGTAATTTAGTCTACTACATTGCAATATATAACCATTCTGAGAGAACAAACCAGAAAAAATTTAGTCCAAACTTATCTTGAGTTTAATAATGTATTATAATCATGCTGGTCAAAAATATATAAAGACGTTAGCTTGATTCGTAAATGGTTTCTCGCGTTATGTTTATTTTTTTCATTTTTGGCTTTTATAATATCAATTTTGAAAATATTGATTTTTATAGCTATACTATTGTATAGTACGTCTTATTTAAGTAACAATTCAGAGAATCAATTGCTTTTTAATATACATAGTACAAAACTATTTAAATGAGCTTCGTGGGCATCCCTATTTTAAAGAAGGGCAGTAAGTCATGGAAGTAGTGTGATTGTTTACCTACCTTTCAAACTATAGCTCTTGTAGATTTTAAAAGATTTTTCTACGCAACAATCTCTGCTATAGTAGACCTGTTTTTTTTTTTTTTACAAAACCACTTTCAAGATGCATGAAAAACATAATTTTTGAAAAAAAAATTCATTGTTTTTTGGTCGGAACTGGGCCCCTAAACGTCCTGGGTCCCCCCGCATTGCGGGGTCTGGCGGTATGGTAGTTCCGCCCCTGCCTAATAGGCTATATTCCTATAGTATAAATCTAGTATATTAAGTAAAAGTATAGGCATAGCCTTACCACGACGTCACTCAGATCTAGATCTACCTATTTTCTGAGTGTGAAGTAATGATGGACAATACCGAGAATAGTCTCAAAATTATTCGAGAGGCCCATAAAATAGTTTTAAAATCATGCACGTTGTAATTATAATTAATATGGTTATAATAACCTGACTGTTTGGTTAGCATATCCGGTAATTAAACATAATTTTACAAAATGCAAAAGCAATCTGGTTTTTAACTGGTAATGGAGACATAAACAAAAACATTCTGCTATTCAATAGGCTAGCATATATTTTATCATACAAAATGCAAACTAGAAAAGCATAATTCGATTTAAAATTTTTTTGGCAAAGTTTTGTAAACAAATAACTGTGATGTGGGGCTGTCAGAATCTGAATCACTGAGTTTCTGTACACCCAATCAATGTTAATGTTTGTCTTACATAATACATTGATTCTAAAAATGTTGAATTTCTGATTTTTTTAAAGGCTTAAGTTTTTAAAATAATTATTTTTTAAGGTCACTTTGGTTGCAAGATAATCTAAAAAAAAAAACAACATCTTCTTATCCTTGTCAACAATAATGATGGAATGCTTGCCTTTTTGTGTATAATGTCCATTACTGAATTACTATGTCACAGGTGAGGTCATTAGTACTCATTAATATTAGGCCTATCTAGTATAGTTAGTATAGTATAATAAATATTAAATAATATAGGGCCTTAGCCTACTAATTTAATATTCTAACAGATAAAAGCGCATGTAAGCACTTCTCTTTTTCTATGTCTGCAACATATTTTCCCGATGCTACGAGATCAGCATCTTCAGTGATATTTGGAGAACTTGATACTGACTTTTGTTAAATATAATATGCTGGGTGTATTAAATGTATAAACTAAATTTTATTTAAAGAGGGAAAATAAAAGTAATAAAATATTCGAATGCAGAAATACATTTTTAATTATGCAACCATTAAAGTGTTGTGTTTATGGAACACTCTAAAAAAGATAACAAGGAACAAAAAACAAAACATCACATGTCACAACTACTCAAAAGTACACAACACTTATGGGTCATTGATTTTAGGACAAAAATAGAATTATACATCAATGTCGTTAATCATACACAAAACTAATGAGGTTATCTTCAATATGATTCACTTTCCACATCTTCCGATTTTAGAATATGAAGAAATGAACCAAATAATTCAAATTTGATTTAGATCGACTTATGAAGATGCACACTATGAGATTGGTTTGTAACGGAATTTATGTCACTTAGTCACAACTTAGTGTGTGCATTTAATATGGTGTTGTGTTGACTAATAATGTAGGTCCTAGAATCTATATAATCTGGTTTCAATTTTTCTAATAAGGATTCCTATTATTACTATTGGTAGCCTATGTTATTTAAAATGTAGGCCCATGCCATAGGATTTTTAGCTATTTAGTTATTTCTATGCTTTGTCACTAATATCTTTCAACATGTAGTAAAGCACATTGCGTTTTGACCCACAACTATAGTATATTATAAATTATTTTTCTCAAACAAGTATAACATTAAATTTAAAATATTTGCCAGGGCGATTATGTAAGGATTTAATATTAGTAGGCTATATTGTGATATTTTTTGTGTCAAAAATTATAGATAACTGAATAATAAACCAAATAAATATATATCAATATAGGCCAGAAATTAACTTTAAACAGAAGTGTTTGCGAGGAAGATTCGCTATATAAACAGCTGTCACTGAATCTCTAACTATAGGCCCTAATCTGAAAATCTTAAATAATTTAAATTTTACCACAAAAAAAAATAAAAAATAAGATGGCTGCTAAATGCTAAAGTAAATGAAAAATGTCAATAAATGAGCTTGGTTGCATCTGATGAAAACATCGCTAGTCTTTATTTTTTTACTGAAAAGTTTTTATACAATTGTTAAGAAACTAGTACATTAATGAAACATTTTTGTAAAAATTAAAACAAATCAGAATAAATCATTCTAAAAATGTGAAATAATTACTAAAATTGGTTATCTATCGCTTTAGGTACATAAAATCGGCAGCAGCTAGTAATGTACAAAAAAGTTACCTCATTGTTAAAGCTTTAATACTTAATAAAGTTAATAGAAGTAGATCTATATATTGTGATATATTTGTGTCAAATATTAATAATATTATAGATAACAACTGAATAATAAACCAAAATCAATGGCTAAATATATCAATATATTATAGATATAGGCCAGAAATCAACTTTAAACAGCAGCGTTAGCAGGCAAGATTTATATAAACAGCCGCCATTTATAAAATAGAGTGGCTTCCCCTGAATCTCCCGCTATAAGTTTACAAAAAAATTTAAACAAGTTGGCTGCTATGGTAAATGATAGTGGTTGCATCTGATGGAAACATCGCTAGTCTTCATATATATATTACTGAAAAGTTTTAATTCAATTGTTTAAAAAATAAAAACAGGTTTAGATCTGACATAAATGAAACTTTGAAACATATATTTTATAAAATTTTATATTGTAACTTTCAAAACTAAAATCCTCCAATTATGTAATGTGAAATAATATTAAATAATTAATTAATTATTATATTAGTCTTAGATTACCGCCCTAAAATTCAATTATTTTAAAATTTAATGAGTAACCTTTTTTCACATTACTAGTCTCGGCCGATTTTACGTACCTAAAACGATAGATTACCAATGTAACATATTTTAAAATGCATAATAGATCTATATATTATAATGACCCCAAAAGTCATAGCTTGCTTATTTATTTACGCACCCTAAACGAAGTCATTTTAATAATAATTTAATAATCGTTTGTATCTGCTGGCGGTATATTTAGTGGAAATGAGATAAATGCCGTCTTGAATAAACTCTCGCTGAATCTCGCTACGTTGAACAATACATTGCCAGATTTTTGTCACAAAAATTAGCCTAACGCCTGGAGTTCATTTTATTCCTAATCAAACACAAATTCAAGCAAAAACAAACAATTTAAAATGATTATAACTACAAGCTTTGATTTATGCGCTAAAAAGAGAAAATAAAAGGATTAAAAATGTACTTATACAACTATAAAGTAAAGCGTGAGTCAATTTGGATCGCTATTTAATAAATATCTACTTCTATAACGGAACTACAACACAAATACAACCTACAATAATAACACACCTAACCAAAACCTACAACTACAACCTACAACTAGTTTGCATAACTAGATAACTTTATTTTCACAGTAGAAATATTAAGAATCCATCATTGAATGAGTGTGCAGCTTAGACCTGATATAAAATAGTAAAAAATTCATTTGACATATCTTTCACACAATTCTCGGGCATAGTTCCTTCTTGCATTTCTCTATGGTGGCTGTATAGCATCGCATTTACCCGGATTACATAGCACTACATTTTCTCCATTCTGACAGTGAGCAAAAAAGCATAGAAAATACTGTGATTGATCGCTCAAGCATTCACTTAAAATGGCCAGGTATTCAATTATTATACACGTTTCACTTCAAACACACATCTATAACATACGGCTATAACATGCACACCTACGACCTACAACTATAACACACAAGACTACAACCTACAAGAATAACACGCACAACTACAACCTACAACTATAACACAACTACAATCTACAACTATAACACGCATACCTACAACTACAACACACACAACTACAACCTACAACTACAACACATCTAAAACCCACATGGACTGCAAGCATGGTTAAACAACTACAACACACACAACTACAACCTACAACACACACAACTACAACCTACAACACACACACACAACTACAACCTACAACACACACAACTACAACCTACAACACACACAACTACAACCTACAAGTATAACACGCACAACTACAACCTACAACTACAACACACACAACTACAACCTACAACTACAACACACACAACTACAACCTACAACTACAACACATCTAAAACCCACATGGACTGCAAGCAAGGTTAAACAACTATAACACGCACAACTAAAAACTTCAACTACAACACACACAACTACAACCTACAACACACACACACACACAACTATAACCTACAACACACACACAACTACAACCTACAACTACAACACACACAACTACAACCTACAACACACACACACAACTACAACCTACAACTATAACACGCACAACTACAACCTACAACACGCACAACTACAACCTACAACTACAACACAATTAAACAACACAATTAAAACCCACATGGACTGCAAGCAAGGTTAAACACCCTAGACGTGAGTTAATCTTTCTAGTAAAGAACAGGATTGTAACATTTATCCTCGGCTGTGTCTCCTATAGCTTGCTGGTACTCTACGCATTTTTTGGTCCAATTATTGTTGAGTTGCCAATGTTGCACTGACAAGATCTCTGACTGACGACATGTTGGATAGATTATCTGTATGACATAGACCCGGCATATCTTGAAATAACAATCTCGTTGTTGGCTGACGATAAGACTAGCTATCGCGAGTTACGTCATCTGTCAGGTGTTGAGTTCATGTCTTTTCTTCCTCCTTTGATGGAGAGTTTGATGCAGTTTGATGGAGAGAGGATATATGAAAACGTTCCAAAAAGTAGGTCATCTTGTTAGATTGATGTACTTTTCAAAATTGCAATTCCTATGAATGTTAATTGTTGATAAAAAAGTTTATTTTTTATTTTGTTGTTTTTTAAAGTAGTTATTTGCAAACAAAAGTTTTTCGAGGTGATATAAATATTAGGACATTTTTATAAAAATGTTCTAACAGAAAATAATAATCTTGAGGATTTGTCCATAGGAAACATCAGCAAAAAATAATCCATTGGAAATGATACAGAAAAATTGTTCTATGGAAAATTTTCTATAGGAAAAAATACGGTTTAGAAGAAATGTTCTACAAGACATGTTTTCGAGTAAATTTTCTAGAAAAAATAGTTCTAGCAAGAGAAAGTTTTCAAAATGTTTACAGGAAACCCAAGTGTAGGATCAATATGAGATGTTCTCCAAGAAATGTTGATAGGAAAGGATGAGTAGCTAATATTGTATGAGAAATGATCCAGATGAAATATTCTAGAGAAAAAAGCTTGGGCCTTGTAAGAAATAACCCATATGATATGATCTAGTTTTACAGAAAATGTTCTACAGGAAATGTTCAATTAGAAATGTTTTTGAAGAAATGTTCTACTAGAAATGGTCAATTAGAAATGTTTTTGAAGAAATGTTCTACAGGAAATGTTCAATTAGAAATGTTTTTGAAGAAATGTTCTACTAGAAATGTTCAATTAGAAATGTTTTTGAAGAAATGTTCTACAGGAAATGTTCAATTAGAAATGTTTTTGAAGAAATGTTCTACAGGAAATGTTCAATTAGAAATGTTTTTGAAGAAATGTTCTACTAGAAATGGTCAATTAGAAATGTTTTTGAAGAAATGTTCTACAGGAAATGTTCAATTAGAAATGTTTTTGAAGAAATGTTCTACTAGAAATGTTCAATTAGAAATGTTTTTGAAGAAATGTTCTACAGGAAATGTTCAATTAGAAATGTTTTTGAAGAAATGTTCTACTAGAAATGGTCAATTAGAAATGTTTTTGAAGAAATGTTCTACAGGAAATGTTCAATTAGAAATGTTTTTGAAGAAATGTTCTACTAGAAATGTTCAATTAGAAATGTTTTTGAAGAAATGTTCTACGGGAATTGTTCAATTAGAAATGTTTTTGAAGAAATGTTCTACAAAAAACGTTCGAGAGGTAACTTTCTGTGGGCGTTTAAAGGATGAGCTAAAGACACATGAAGAGAAATGGATGGGGAAGCTGTCAATAGATGGGACAATCTTACAGTTGCTGACCTGACAATCTTACAGTTGCTGACCTGACAATCTTACTCTGACAATCTTACAGTCGCTAACCTGACAATCTTACAGTTGCTGACCAGACAATCTTAAAGTCGCTGACCTGACAATCTTACAGTTGCTGACCTGACACTACTCTCTGTGTCCACTACACTCTCTGTGTCCACTACTCTCTGTGTCCACTACTCTCTGTGTCCACTACTCTCTATATCCACTACTCTCTCTGTGTCCACTACTCTCTGTGACCACTACTCTCTGTGTCCACTACTCTCTGTGTCCACTACTCTCTGTGTCCACTACTCTCTCTGTGTCCACTACTCTCTGTGTCCACTACTCTCTGTCCACTACTCTCTCTGTGTCCACTACTCTCTGTGTCCACTACTCTCTCTGTCTACTACTCTATGTGTCCACTACTCTCTGTGTCCACTACTCTCTGTGTCCACTACTCTCTGTGTCCACTACTCTCTGTGTCCACTACTCTCTGTGTCCACTACTCTCTGTGTCCACTACTCTCTTTGTCCACTACTCTCTGTGTCCACTACTCTCTGTGTCCACTACTCTCTCTGTGTCCACTACTCTCTGTGTCCACTACTCTCTGTGTCCACTACTCTCTGTGTCCACTACTCTCTCTGTGTCCACTACTCTCTCTGTGTCCACTACTCTCTGTGTCCACTACTCTCTGTGTCCACTACTCTCTGTGTCCACTACTCTCTGTGTCCACTACTCTCTGTGTCCACTACTCTCTGTGTCCACTACTCTCTGTGTCCACTACTCTCTGTGTCAACTACTCTCTGTGTCCACTACTCTCTGTGTCCACTACTCTCTGTGTCCACTACTCTCTGTGTCCACTACTCTCTGTGTCCACTACTCTCTGTGTCCACTCCTCTCTGTGTCCACTACTCTCTCTGTGTCCACTACTCTCTGTGTCCACTACTCTCTGTGTCCACTACTCTCTGTGTCCACTACTCTCTGTGTCCACTACTCTCTGTGTCCACTACTCTCTGTGTCCACTACTCTCTGTGTCCACTACTCTCGATGTGTCCACTTCTCTCTGTGTCCACTACTCTCTGTGTCCACTACTCTCTGTGTCCACTACTCTCTGTGTCCACTTCTCTCTGTGTCCACTACTCTCTCTGTGTCCACTACTCTCTGTGTCCACTACTCTCTGTGTCCACTACTCTCTGTGTCCACTACTCTCTCTGTGTCCACTACTCTCTGTGTCCACTATTCTCTCTGTGTCCACTACTCTCTGTGTCCACTACTCTCTGTGTCCACTACTCTCTCTGTGTCCACTACTCTCTGTGTCCACTATTCTCTCTGTGTCCACTACTCTCTGTGTCCACTACTCTCTGTGTCCACTACTCTCTCTGTGTCCAAGACTCTCTGTGTCCACTACTCTCTCTGTGTCCACTACTCTCTGTGTCCACTACTCTCTGTGTCCACTACTCTCTCTGTGTCCACTACTCTCTGTGTCCACTACTCTCTGTGTCCACTACTCTCTGTGTCCACTTCTCTCTGTGTCCACTACTCTCTGTGTCCACTACTCTCTGTGTCCACTACTCTCTGTGTCCACTTCTCTCTGTGTCCACTACTCTCTCTGTGTCCACTACTCTCTGTGTCCACTACTCTCTGTGTCCACTACTCTCTGTGTCCACTACTCTCTCTGTGTCCACTACTCTCTGTGTCCACTATTCTCTCTGTGTCCACTACTCTCTGTGTCCACTACTCTCTGTGTCCACTACTCTCTCTGTGTCCACTACTCTCTGTGTCCACTATTCTCTCTGTGTCCACTACTCTCTGTGTCCACTACTCTCTGTGTCCACTACTCTCTGTGTCCACTACTCTCTCTGTGTCCAAGACTCTCTGTGTCCACTACTCTCTCTGTGTCCACTACTCTCTGTGTCCACTACTCTCTGTGTCCACTACTCTCTCTGTGTCCACTACTCTCTGTGTCCACTACTCTCTGTGTCCACTACTCTCTGTGTCCACTTCTCTCTGTGTCCACTACTCTCTCTGTGTCCACTACTCTCTGTGTCCACTACTCTCTGCGTCCACTACTCTCTCTGTGTCCACTACTCTCTCTGTGTCCACTACTCTCTGTGTCCACTACTCTCTGTGTCCACTACTCTCTGTGTCCACTTCTCTCTGTGTCCACTACTCTCTGTGTCCACTACTCTCTGTGTCCACTACTCTCTCTGTGTCCACTACTCTCTGTGTCCACTACTCTCTGTGTCCACTACTCTCTCTGTGTCCACTACTCTCTGTGTCCACTACTCTCTGTGTCCACTACTCTCTGTGTCCACTACTCTCTGTGTCCACTACTCTCTGTGTCCACTACTCTCTTTGTCCACTACTCTCTGTGTCCACTACTCTCTGTGTCAACTACTCTCTGTGTCCACTACTCTCTGTGTTCACTACTTTCTGTGTCCACTACTTTCTCTGTGTCCACTACTCTCTCTGTGTCCACTACTCTCTGTGTCCACTACTCTGTGTATTTGTTTTGTCCAGGACCAACCCAGCCATGCCTGATGCAGACCCGCAGGATGCTGAAAATGCCAGCCTGTTCCAGAGAGCCAGACGCTGGTCACATGACCTCATCTCGCCTGGAAAATTTCTGGCTGTCAAAAGGTTTTCTATCCCCGCCCCTCTCCCCGAAACAGGTCAGTTGTCCATGCTGTCTGCTCGTGCACCCAACCACCAGCGACCCTCTCGGTCAGACAGGCCCGCATCTGACGTCAGGAGTAAGCGACATGTTTACTTCCTGCTTCTGGAACTACAAGACGAGAGGAAAGTCTTGGTAGGGACCAACATGTCACGTGACCAACATGTCCACTGACCAACATGTCCACTGACCAACATGTCCACTGACCAACATGTCCACTGACCAACATGTCCACTGACCAACATGTCCACTGACCAACATGTCCACCCACTGACCAACATGTCCACCCACTGACCAACATGTCCACTGACCAACATGTCCACTGACCAACATGTCCACCCACTGACCAACATGTCCACTGACCAACATGTCCACCCACTGACCAACATGTCCACCCACTGACCAACATGTCCACTGACCAACATGTCCACCCACTGACCAACATGTCCACCCACTGACCAACATGTCCACCCACTGACCAACATGTCCACTGACCAACATGTCCACTGACCAACATGTCCACTGACCAACATGTCCACTGACCAACATGTCCACTGACCAACATGTCCACTGACCAACATGTCCACTGACCAACATGTCCACTGACCAACATGTCCACTGACCAACATGTCCACTGACCAACATGTCCACCCACTGACCAACATGTCCACCCACTGACCAACATGTCCACTGACCAACATGTCCACTGACCAACATGTCCACCCACTGACCAACATGTCCACTGACCAACATGTCCACTGACCAACATGTCCACTGACCAACATGTCCACTGACCAACATGTCCACTGACCAACATGTCCACTAACTAACATGTCCACCCACTGACCAACATGTCCACTGACCAACATGTCCACTGACCAACATGTCCACTGACCAACATGTCCACCCACTGACCAACATGTCCACTGACCAACATGTCCACTGACATGTCCACTGACCAACATGTCCACTGACCAACATGTCCACTGACCAACATGTCCACTGACCAACATGTCCACTAACTAACATGTCCACCCACTGACCAACATGTCCACTGACCAACATGTCCACTGACCAACATGTCCACTGACCAACATGTCCACTGACCAACATGTCCACTGACCAACATGTCCACTGACCAACATGTCCACTGACCAACATGTCCACTGACCAACATGTCCACCCACTGACCAACATGTCCACCCACTGACCAACATGTCCACTGACCAACATGTCCACTGACCAACATGTCCACTGACCAACATGTCCACTGACCAACATGTCCACTGACCAACATGTCCACCCACTGACCAACATGTCCACCCACTGACCAACATGTCCACCCACTGACCAACATGTCCACCCACTGACCAACATGTCCACCCACTGACCAACATGTCCACCCACTGACCAACATGTCCACCCACTGACCAACATGTCCACCCACTGACCAACATGTCCACTGACCAACATGTCCACTGACCAACATGTCCACTGACCAACATGTCCACTGACCAACATGTCCACTGACCAACATGTCCACTGACCAACATGTCCACTGACTAACATGTCCACTGACCAACATGTCCACTGACCAACATGTCCACTGACCAACATGTCCACTGACCAACATGTCCACTGACCAACATGTCCACTGACCAACATGTCCACTGACCAACATGTCCACTGACCAACATGTTCACTGACCAACATGTCCACCGACTGACCAACATGTCCACCCACTGACCAACATGTCCACCCACTGACCAACATGTCCACTGACCAACATGTCCACCCACTGACCAACATGTCCACCCACTGACCAACATGTCCACTGACCAACATGTCCACTGACCAACATGTCCACTGACCAACATGTCCACCCACTGACCAACATGTCCACTGACCAACATGTCCACTGACCAACATGTCCACCCACTGACCAACATGTCCACTGACCAACATGTCCACTGACCAACATGTCCACTGACCAACATGTCCACTGACCAACATGTCCACTGACCAACATGTCCACTGACCAACATGTCCACCCACTGACCAACATGTCCACTGACCAACATGTCCACTGACCAACATGTCCACTGACCAACATGTCCACTGACCAACCTGTCCACTGACCAACATGTCCACTGACCAACATGTCCACTGACCAACATGTCCACTGACCAACATGTCCACCCACTGACCAACATGTCCACTGACCAACATGTCCACTGACCAACATGTCCACTGACCAACATGTCCACTGACCAACATGTCCACTGACCAACCTGTCCACTGACCAACATGTCCACTGACCAACATGTCCACTGACCAACATGTCCACTGACCAACATGTCCACCCACTGACCAACATGTCCACTGACCAACATGTCCACTGACCAACATGTCCACTGACCAACATGTCCACTGACCAACATGTCAACTGACCAACATGTCCACTGACCAACATGTCCACTGACCAACATGTCCACTGACCAACATGTCCACTGACCAACATGTCCACTGACCAACATGTCCACTGACCAACATGTCCACTGACCAACATGTCCACCCACTGACCAACATGTCCACTGACCAACATGTCCACTGACCAACATGTCCACTGACCAACATGTCCACTGACCAACATGTCCACTGACCAACATGTCCACCCACTGACCAACATGTCCACTGACCAACATGTCCACCCACTGACCAACATGTCCACTGACCAACATGTCCACCCACTGACCAACATGTCCACTGACCAACATGTCCACCCACTGACCAACATGTCCACTGACCAACATGTCCACTGACCAACATGTCCACTGACCAACATGTCCACTGACCAACATGTCCACTGACCAACATGTCCACTGACCAACATGTCCACCCACTGACCAACATGTCCACTGACCAACATGTCCACTGACCAACATGTCCACTGACCAACATGTCCACTGACCAACATGTCCACTGACCAACATGTCCACTGACCAACATGTCCACTGACCAACATGTCCACCCACTGACCAACATGTCCACTGACCAACATGTCCACCCACTGACCAACATGTCCACCCACTGACCAACATGTCCACTGACCAACATGTCCACTGACCAACATGTCCACCCACTGACCAACATGTCCACTGACCAACATGTCCACTGACCAACATGTCCACCACTGACCAACATGTCCACTGACCAACATGTCCACTGACCAACATGTCCACTGACCAACATGTCCACTGACCAACATGTCCACTGACCAACCAACATGTCCACTGACCAACATGTCCACTGACCTACATGTCCACTGACCAACATGTCCACTGACCAACATGTCCACTGACCAACATGTCCACTGACCAACATGTCCACCCACTGACCAACATGTCAACTGACCAACATGTCCACTGACCAACATGTCCACTGACCAACATGTCCACCCACTGACCAACATGTCAACTGACCAACATGTCCACTGACCAACATGTCCACCCACTGACCAACATGTCCACTGACCAACATGTCCACTGACCAACATGTCCACTGACCAACATGTCCACTGACCAACATGTCCACTGACCAACATGTCCACTGACCAACATGTCCACTGACCAACATGTCCACTGACCAACATGTCCACCCACTGACCAACATGTCCACCCACTGACCAACATGTCCACTGACCAACATGTCCACTGACCAACATGTCCACTGACCAACATGTCCACTGACCAACATGTCCACCCACTGACCAACATGTCAACTGACCAACATGTCCACTGACCAACATGTCCACCCACTGACCAACATGTCCACTGACCAACATGTCCACTGACCAACATGTCCACTGACCAACATGTCCACTGACCAACATGTCCACTGACCAACATGTCCACTGACCAACATGTCCACCCACTGACCAACATGTCCACCCACTGACCAACATGTCAACTGACCAACATGTCCACTGACCAACATGTCCACCCACTGACCAACATGTCCACTGACCAACATGTCCACTGACCAACATGTCCACTGACCAACATGTCCACTGACCAACATGTCCACCCACTGACCAACATGTCCACTGACCAACATGTCCACTGACCAACATGTCCACTGACCAACATGTCCACTGACCAACATGTCCACTGACCAACATGTCCACTGAGCAACATGTCCACCCACTGACCAACATGTCCACTGACCAACATGTCCACTGACCAACATGTCCACTGACCAACATGTCCACTGACCAACATGTCCACTGACCAACATGTCCACTGACCAACATGTCAACTGACCAACATGTCCACCCACTGACCAACATGTCCACTGACCAACATGTCCACTGACCAACATGTCCACCCACTGACCAACATGTCCACTGACCAACATGTCCACTGACCAACATGTCCACTGACCAACATGTCCACTGACCAACATGTCCACTGACCAACATGTCCACTGACCAACATGTCCACTGACTAACATGTCCACTGACCAACATGTCCACTGACCAACATGTCCACTGACCAACATGTCCACTGACCAACATGTCCACTGACCAACATGTCCACTGACCAACATGTCCACTGACCAACATGTCCACTGACCAACATGTCCACTGACCAACATGTCCACTGACCAACATGTTCACTGACCAACATGTCCACCGACTGACCAACATGTCCACCCACTGACCAACATGTCCACCCACTGACCAACATGTCCACTGACCAACATGTCCACCCACTGACCAACATGTCCACCCACTGACCAACATGTCCACTGACCAACATGTCCACTGACCAACATGTCCACTGACCAACATGTCCACCCACTGACCAACATGTCCACTGACCAACATGTCCACTGACCAACATGTCCACCCACTGACCAACATGTCCACTGACCAACATGTCCACTGACCAACATGTCCACTGACCAACATGTCCACTGACCAACATGTCCACTGACCAACATGTCCACTGACCAACATGTCCACTGACCAACATGTCCACTGACCAACATGTCCACTGACCAACATGTCCACTGACCAACATGTCCACTGACCAACATGTCCACTGACCAACATGTCCACTGACCAACATGTC